CTCCCCCACCAGCCAAAATAATCAAATTGCAAACTTTTTTTTTATTTTTATTTTTGCGCTTTGCTTTAGCGCGCTTCTTCTTCTTTGCTTTTTTTTCTTCCAAAATCGCTTCTCAGTCAGCTCACAATTTTTATATATTTTATTTTTTAATTTTTATTATTTTGTTTTACACACCAACTTGTTCGCTTAGCGCGAATAATATTTTTTTCTGGATTTTATTTTTAATAAATATTTAATTTAATTATAGGAGGCTATTTGAGTTTGGGAATTTTTAAGACTGTCATTTTTATTCAAATAATTCAAAAAAAATTTTTGGGTTTTATTTTTAGTTACATGTTTAGATTTAAATATGGGGTTGTTTAAGAATATTGTTGGGAGAATCTTTACTTACCCTCCTTCCAACCAAGATTTCTGTTATAATTGATAACGTGTAGCCTTATTAGTATTATTGCCGTTTTCGAGCCATGTCGACGTTCGAGTCATTTTTATTGGATCGGACCGACCGAGTCTTTTTCGGGTCAGAATTCGATGCCCGCCGACTCGATCTTTCGGACCTACTTTAACTCTTGAGGCCGGAGTTGGTTAATTTAAACGACCAAATGAATACCTGACTTTATTCTTCATCTTTTTATCTTAGAAAAAAATTTTTTGCAGCCTCTTTGATCCAATCACGTAGCGTGTAGTTAAAAAATAAGCTAGGGAAAATAGCAATTTTATTATACATAAAAAGCATTTTGTTTTCCTCCAAAAATTCTTTCAAAAATTAAAAATATATTTTATAAAAATTGTGTGCTTTAGGCGACAATTAAAAAATAATATTAAAAAATATTTTGTTGTTATTACTGTCATTTTTAATTTTTATTTATGTTTTTTGGCCTTCTCTTTTCTCTCTCCTCCAAATCAACAACAACATGCTTTTTTAAAAATATTTTTTAAAGCTATTAGTTGTGAGGGTCCGACGTCTAATTTTTTCTTTGATTTTTGCCTCTTTAAAAATTCTTTTTTTTTATTTTTTGATTGCCAGCAAAACTATGCATGAAACGGAAAAAATATTTGTGTATGTGAATAAAAAATGTGGTAGGTGGGGGGTGTGATAGTTGCGCGTTGGAAAAATTAAATGAAACTTGGAAATTTAAATTAATTTTTAATAAAATTTTTAATTTAGAAAGGGGCTTTTTAATTTATTTTTTTATTGACAAACATAGAAAAAATCATAAAAAATCATGCTAGACTCTCTTCATAGCCTAAATCGGTTCTAATACGATCCCCCTTTTAAATCCTCTGAAAAAATCACGATTGCCCGGACTTGACAGCTTATAACTCTTTACAGAATGATCGTATCATAGCGGTCTTCTTGGGTAAAAGAATCGGCACATTCAGGGCTTTCGAATGATATAATATTTATTCGAAATGATCAAAAACTCAAAAAGTTATTAATCGAAATGTGCCTCTGGGAAGGCGGGACTCTGTCTCTCTCATTTTTCTATGCTATTTCTTTATGTCTGCCATCGCGCAATAATTATTTTTTATAAAATTGTACATGAGCCAAACTTTAATTCTTGGCTTTTAATAAATTATTTTTAACTCTCAACATTAATTTTCTTTTTAATTTTTATTTTTTTCCTCCTTCAAAAAGTGATCTTTAGAGAGAGAGAGAAACTGCGCAAAAAACACGCACCGTTTTATTTATTTTTTTTAAATTAATTTAAAAAATTAATTTTTATATATTTTCTTCGTTTCTTTCCTCTGTGTGGCGTATAATTAATTATTTTTTTATTTTTTTTATTTTTTTTTCAATTTTTGCGCTGCAAAACACCCATCCAAACACCCAACAAAACAACAACTATAGAAAAATGTCTGCGCACTCTCTCATTTTCTATGCTATTTCCTCTATGTCTGCTTAACTAAAAATTAAAAATATAATTTTTTTTTGGCTTCTGTTTGGATTAAAAAAAATAAAGGAGAGGATAGGGGGAAAATTAAAAATAAATAAAAATACTAGAAATTTTGTGAAAAAAATTTTTTTCTGTTGAAGCAAATTAGTAGAAGAAAAAAAAATTTTTTTGTCGTTTGGTGGGAAAGAAAAACTGGAAAGTTTTTTTTGTTGAATAAAAGGGGGGAAAATATGTGAGGGAAAAGAAATTAATAAATTGAAAGGCTTTTCTAGCGCAACAATAAAAATTAATTTAAATTTTGTTATTTTTTCTTAAAAATTTTTTTAATCCCTATATACTTTTAATCTTTCTACTCTCCCTTTTTTTCCATTTAATTTATCTAGATGAGGGATAACTAGCAAATGTTGGGTGGGGAACATGACATTGGGGGAGATGAGATAAGGATGATCTATGGGACAACTATGGAATAATATATGTACATAGTTCATCTGGCCATATCTGGGATAAGTAGGCATGTTCATTTTATCTGACTGAAAAAGGTCTTTGGCATAATGCCAAAATTTGGCGTTTTTTAAAAATATCAAAAATTCTCATTTTTGATATTTTATAGCCAATTTTTTCCTGTACCTAGTTTAGCTTGTAAAAAAATTTTTTTTTCATTCTTTGATTTAAATTTAATGGCTCAATTTGGCCCCCTAAATTAATATTTATTTAGATATTTAATTAGACCAATTTTCTTTTAATTAATCATAAATCAAAATTTTTTGGGCTATTAGTTTAAAATTAGTCTTTTTTTAGTCTTTAAATATTGTTGCCTTTAAAAAATTTATTTTATAGCCCTCTAAAGTTTGGTCATTTTTAGGGGGTGTTTTTGGTCATTTTTTTATATTTAAAGAATTATTTTTTTATTTTTTTTTTTACCTTCTATTTCTCTTCAAGATTGATTACAAATCGAAAAATAAATACACCTTCACATATTTTCCCTCTTGCCATGTTGTAAATCAAAATATGGCATTCATCATTTTTATTTTTATAAAATGTCAAAACTTGGTTTCCCCCTCATTCTTTACTTTTACAAAATAAAAACATTAAATTGCAACATAAAAACATTTATTTTTATTTTTAAAAATAGCCGCACGTTAAAATAGCAAAAACAGCCTCCTCCTTTTCCTTATCTTTTTTAATTTTTATTTTGTAATTATTTTTAATTTTGATAATTTATTGAGTTGTGAGATAAGCTTGTTTAATTAATTTTAGGTTATTAATTTAATTATTCTAATTATAGGACTTTTTAAAAAAAATTTTAAAGTAAGGAGGACTAGTACTCCTGGAACGGTGACTTAAGTTGCTTCTATTTTTCATAACTCAAGATTGAATTATCCGTTTGGAAGGATTTTGGGCTTTTTCGATAGAGAATTAAATTAGCTATAAAATGTCCTTATTAATTAAATTATTCTAATTGTAGGACTTTTTAAAAAAAAATTTTTTAAAGTAAAGGGGACCATAGGTTCTGAAGAGGGCAACTTAAGTTGTTTCTTTTTTCATAACTCAAGAGTGGATTGTTCTTTTGGAATAATTTTGGATTCATCTTATAGGGAATTCAATTAGCTACAAAATACTAGAAAATTGAAATTTTAAGTCTATCGAGAAAAAAGTTTTGGTCAAAAAACTAACCATTTTCGCGATTTTTTGTTTATTTTTCGAACACACCATTTTTTGCTATTTTACCTATAATTTTACTTTTTATATCATTTTCAGACAAATTTAATCCTCTATTTTTTAATACTTCCTGGAAAGTTTAAAAGATTATTTTTTTTAAAAAGTTATGGAGGTTAAAACATAATTAGGTCGGGGTATTTTAATAAAAAGAGGGGGTTTTTTCTCCTTTTCCTCTTTCTCCCCTTATTTAATTTTTGACTTATTAAAAATTTAAATTTTTAGTGAAATAAAATATTCTTTCGTTTTTTAATGTTTGACATTCCCTTTTTTTAAATAATTTATCAAAAACCATCTTTGACCCTTTTCTGCATTTTAATCTTATTTTAAAAAATTTTTAATCGCCGAACATACGCACACAATAATTTTAAACACAAAATTTTATATAATTTATTTGAACATTAGTTAAAAAAATTTTTAAATTTAATATTTTATGTAAAACTGTCAAAGTAACGGAAATGACATATTTTAGTAATTAATGGGGTTTTATATTTTAATTTTTGGGAGTCTCTCCGTTAAAATATTATTCTCTTAAAAATGCGCTTAAGTTTATTTATTTAAACTTTAATTCTGCAAACTTAAGATTCCGGAAAAGATGTGTATTTATTTTTTTCCGGAAACTATTAAATAGAATTTTATTTTTGTTCCGGAAGAGAAAATACAATTTTCCGGAAACTTAATATTCAAGTTTTCAAACTTGAAATTTATTCGTGTTCTAGTTTCCGGAAGAAAATATAATATATTAAAGTTTTCCGGAAAGTTTACAACTACAAACTTTATAAGTTTGCAAACTTAAAGTTTTCCGGAAACCTTTCCGGAAAACTTAAAGTTATTATATTAAATAAATACTGTTTCCGGAAAAATTATTTCTCTAGGAAAAATACATACAACTTTTCCGGAATCTTAAGTTTGTAAACTTTAAAGTTTATAATCTTAAAACTTTTCCGGAATCTAATTTCTTTTTTATTCTCTTCCGGAAAATTTAATTAAATTTATTTTACTATTTTTACCCTTCCATTTCTCACGATAATTTATTTATTAAATTTACCGAATTGACAATTGACCGATTTAATTTTATTTAAATTTATAATATTTTTTAAATTTTTTTTTATTAATTTTTCTTTTGTTCAATTTTTAATCATTTTATTTAATTTATAATTTTATTTATTTTTCAGTAGATAGATAATTCTCATATGAGAAAAAATAAAATGATGGGCATTACCATTAAAACAACAAAAATAATATCAACAAATTTTATTAAATCATTATCATCATATTAATTTTTAAAAAATTTTTTCACTCATTATTTTGACTTACTACACATTTAAACAACGATATATTTATTTTTTCTTTCAGAAAAAAAATTTTTTTTTAATTTTTAAAATCCCGTATTCTCTAAAATATTTTTTATTTTAAATTTGACTACACATCCAAAATTATTTTTTTGTTTAAATGCAAAATTTAGCTGCGTCAGCAAATCTACAGCTTTTCTCGAAGGGTAGGGAAATAAAGAAATTAAAAAAAAATTAAAAAAAAATTTTTTTTAAGCTCTTCAAGAAACTGCCCAACAACCAAACGACACTTCAGAACATAAACAACAGCAGCAGCAAAACCCTGTAATTTCTGCTGCCGATTTGCAACATTATATGTTTCCTCATTTGGAAAATCATTTGGATCAGGCAAGTTTTAAAAAAATTTTTTTCATTTTTTTCCGATCTTTTCTTTTCCTATTTCTAAATTCTTGACATTTGGTAATTAAATAATTTTGATTGGTGTTGCTAAAATTGCGAACGATATTGCCGGATATGACAATAGCGTTATAAAATTTAGGAAAAAAACGTAAAAAATTAATGAAGTAAAAGAGCCTGCTTTGAAGTGCCTATTAAAATAGGTTCCATATGACCCTGTAATTTTGCCATAGTATGAACCCTTCAGTTTTTCAGTTGATTTTTGGATTGATATGGCGCTAAAAAATATTTGAAATTAAATTTAAAAAATATTTTAACTTTATATCCGCAATTGTCGTTCGCAATTAGTCGCATCCACAATTGTCGCAACACCATTTTGACTTGTTTTAATTTTTCTCTCTTTTTTCTATTTTTCAAATTTAAAGGAAAAGTTTAGTATATACGATTAATTAATTTAATAATAAATTAACAATAAGAAAAGACTAAATTGCGAAATTTAGCGAGCCATTAATTTTCTTTATTAAAATTTATAGAGTAATTTAAAGAATTTAAAATTAGTTTTTGTGAAATTTAAAGAAAAAAAGATATGTGGGGGAGAGCCTTTTATTTAAACGAAAAAAAGTAGAAAAATCATCATCATCACGCGCTATTAAAAATTCCATAAAATTTAAAAGAAAAAAAAAAGAAAATATTTTACTCTAAAAATAAATTTATTTTTATTTTAAAATATAATTATTTTTAAGATTTTATAACAGATGATAATTAAATTGTTTTTTTTTAATATTTTTATTTTACAAGAATTTATTTTTAATTTTTATTTAATTTTATTATTTTTCCCCTTAAGAATTTATTAAAAACATTAAAATATTTTCAGAATAATTTAAATTCTTAGAAAACCAGAATTTTAAATAAACATGTTTTGTTTTCAAATAAATATGTTTTGTTTTAATTCTGATTTTCAAAATAAAAATCAGAATTTTAGAATTAAAAATTCTGAACTTGTTTTAAATTAATTCTGATTATTTTTTTTAAATCAGAATTAAAAATAAACATTTCACAAATTCTTTTCACAACAAGCTTATTAATTCTGGTTTTTAAAATTTAAGTTTGAGAAATGTTTATTGTTTTTAATTCTGATTTTTATTTTTTGTTTTACAAAACCAGAATTAATTAAATTCTAAATTATATTTTATATATTTTTTTGAATTTTGCAAAAATTATTTTTATTTTTAATTTATTAAATTAATTTTATTTACACCACTTTGCACATTTTTAACATTCAAATTAAATTTAAAATTAAATTAATAACACATTTATTTTTTTATCTAATTAAATATTTAAAAATGTAAGCAATAAAAAAATATGACAAATATAGTAGCAATCAACCAAAAAGCAGGCAATTAAAAATAAATTTTTTAAAAATTTATTTATTTTTTTAAATTACTTGGAATTTGCAGCGCGATTAAGTAACTTTTAATTTTGCAAATATTTTTTTTGAAATAAAATTTTTTTGAAAAAATATTTTTTTTAATTGAGAAACAATTTTTTTTAATTCTAGATGAATCATATTAAGAAAAAAATTTTTTAGATTTTATTTTTGAATTTTTAAAGAAAAAAAAATAATTTTTCATCTGTAGCCTAAATACATGCTTTAGTTTTTAGCCTAAGACTGTATAAGCCTACTAATCCTCTTAAAAATGCCTATTATAAAATTCCTTAAAAATTCAAATTTTTTAAATTAAAATTCTAACTATTTTCCTGAATAAATAGCCTATGTATTAAATAGGTTATTTAATAGCTTAAATAATTTTTTAGTTTTATTTTTATTTTTTTTTCTATCTAATAACATTATATCCCACTTTTGCAAATTTACATATTTAACTGTCGCACCCTTTTTTAAATTAAATTTATTTTTTTATTTTCTTATAATTTAAAATAAAATATATATGTTATTTGCTTCATATTATTTTTGTTTTTTTTTATTAAATTATTTTTTACTAATTATTTTCTAATTTTTCTCCTTTAATAAAAATACTAAATAATTTATTGACCAAACAACAAGCAAAAACAAATTATTTTATTTTTATTTTTAAAAATAGTAGTTTGGCTTATTTTTATTGCCATTTGACTAGTTAAATTGTAAAAAAATAAATAACGATACTTTATTTATTTTTTTAATATTAAAATGAATTTTTTGTTGTTAGGTAATGCTGGTTATTATTTGCGTTATTTGCGCACACCCGCAAAGGGCAACAATTCTGATTTTAAAATTCTGATTTGAACAATACCAGAATTTTAACTAAACATTGTTTATATTTAATTCTGGTATTACAAGAATTTTTAAAATTCATGTTTGTTTTTAATTCTGATTTTAAAAACATTACCAGAATTTTAATTAAACTTGTTCATATTAAATTCTGGTTTTTTAAAACATCAGAATTCTATATAAACATTGTTTTTATTTGTTTTTAAACAACAAATCAGAATTTTAACTACACTTAGTTTTATTTAATTCTGATCTAAAAAATATTATCAGAATTATTTGTTGGTCATGTTTATATTAAATTCTGATTTCAAAAACATTCAAAACATCAGAATTTTAAATAAATTTGTTCATATTTAATTCTGTTCTAATTTTGTGTTTTCTTTTTTAATTCTGATTTAATCTTTTAATTTTTTCTCTATAAACCCCCTATTTTTCATTATTTTTATTTAACTATTTCTATATTTAAAAAATTTTTTTTTAATTTTAAAAAAATTTTTTTTTAATTTTTAAAAATATTTTTAATATTTCAGCAACTTTATTTCAACGACCATTTATCAAATAATTATGTTTCTGCCCCAGAAACAACTTCAACAATAAATAATTGTTCTTCAACATCGCCTACTTCATTAATATTTTCTTCTACAGCCTCCCAACAACCTTCAAATAATACAGTTATATCTTCAAATAATTGTTATTCTGATACAGAAATACCCTCAACAACAACCACTAATAATATTTCATTTTTATTACCAGAAGAAATGGGAAGTCCAAAGCAACAACAGTTGCAACAACAACAACAACAGCAACAACAACGCTTACCTCCAACAACGTCAATAAAAAAAGAAACATCAATAGCAACGACAACAAATGTTTCTTCTTCTTCTGTTGTTCCCCAATTTTCCCCTACTTCAAATATTGAAAATGAAAGAAATTTAAATTTAGCCCAACAAAAAATTGTTGATCAATTGCTTGAAGCTGGGGGAATATTTAATTCTTTAGAAAATAATTTGGGTGGAGGAAATGATGAATTGGGGCAATTAATGGCACAATTAATTAGTGGAAGCAATAATAGAAATGAAACAGAATTGCAAGCAGCACAGTTAGCTCAACATTTAGTTGCTGCTACAACTGGAGGAAGTGGTGGTGGTGGTGATGTTTTGGTGGGTTTTTAATTTTTATTAAAAAAACCAGAATTTTAAATAAACATGTTAGTTATCCCTTAACTAGAAATTAGAATTTGTTTTTAATTTATTCTGATTTTTTAAACACTAATCAGAATTAATTTAAAACAAAACACATTTAACAAACTTTATTAATTCTGGTTTTTAAAATACAAGTTTGCGATCATTGTTTTAATTAATTCTGATTTGTTTTTAAATAATCAGAATTAAACATGTTTGTGAGGTGTTCGTTTTTAATTCTGATTTTTATTTTAAAAACCAGAATATCAATTAAGTTTGTGGGTTGTTTACTGTTTTTAATTAATTCTGATTTGTGTTTTACAAAACAGAATTAGTCAAGTTTGCGAAAAAATCTCAATTAACACAAAATCTATTTGCTTTACTAATTTTACTTAAGAAACAAGTCTGTAAATAACCAAACATTATTTTACATATTTTTTAATTATTTAATTTTTATTTCTTTGAAATTATAAAATTGCCTTCTTTTCAATTTTTTAAAATATGGCTCCACAAATTAAATTATCCTTTATAAGGTAATAAAATTTATTAAAATTACATATTTTTGTCAATTATATAAAATATGAAATTTTCTTTTTAAATTTTTATTTTATTAATTTTATCAGTAAAAATTAAAAAATTTTTTAAACCACAAAATATAAAATTTTATATTTTATTTAAAAAAAGTACAAAAATTAAAATAGTATTTTAAAAATAAACTAAACTTTTTCTAGTTTACATAAAATTCTGATTTTATAATTTATAAACTACAAACAAACAAATAATTGTTTGTTTATATTTTAAATTTAAAATAAGAAATTCTGGTTTTCTTAGTTTAACAGAAATTCTGATTTGGAATAGGTAGAGTTATATTCTGATTACAAACTTACTTCTATGTTTCGCAAACTTAATTCTGGTTTTTTATTACGAACTTAATTCTGATTATTTAATTCTGGTTTATATTTCATAAACTTTATTCTGGTTTTTATTTTACAAACTTATTCTGACTAACTTAATTCTGATTATTTAATTCTGATTATTAATTCTGGTTTTTATTTCACAAGCTTAATTCTGGTTTATATTTTATAAACTTAGTTCTGATTTTTTAATTCTGGTTTATATCTACTAAACTTAATTCTGGTTTATATTTCATAAACTTAATTTCTGATTTTTATTTTACAAACTTAGTTCTGATTTTATTTCAGAAAGTTTTTATTTCGCAAACTTGTTTCTCCTCTTCTGTTATATACTTAATTCTGGTTTTATTTCGCAAACTTGATTTTTTGTTTATAAAATGTATTAATCAGAATTAATTTAAAACAATGTTCTTATTGTTTTAAGATCAATCTTGTGTTTGTTTAAAATTCTTGTCTTAAGCATACACACATATACTACGTAGTATTTTCTTTAGAATTAGACTAACTTTATAATATTTTTATTTTTTTTTTAATAAAAAAAAATTTTTTTAAATATTTTTTAATTTTAAAATTATTTTTCAAAAATTTTTTAATTAAAAAAAATTATTTTTCAAGTCCCCCTCATCTTCTCAACAACAAATCTCATTACTTGACCAACTCCATTTACTGCAAATGTTGGGAGGTAATAACAACGCTTTAGCAGAATTATTTTCTGGACAACATTTTGCAACATCTTCAGGTCACGAACAACAACTTTTTGGTAGTGGAGGTGGAGGAAGTGGAGGAAAATTTACAAGTGGTGGTAGTCCAAACAAGGACGATACTTATTGTGAAATTTGTAATAAAAATCTTTGCAATCGCTACTTTTTAAAAATACATATGAATAAAAAACATGGAATTGGTGGCGAAAGAGTGGGTGTTTTTAATTTTCTTTTGTTAAATTAAAAATTAGAAGGTATATCTTCTAAAATTAGAGGCTGAACGTGTCCTTGGCTTTTTCCTATTTTCACTTTTTTTGACTCCCAAAAAATTTTCGAACTCTCCTTCTTTTAGTTTGTCAATCCCAGTGGATGTATTTTTACTCACGTAGGTAGGCCACTGGGTAAAATCAGAACTGTCTAAGTGATACCTCTGGATTTAGGTTACTGCTAAGAACAGTTGCAGTCAATTTAATTTGCGTTTTAATTAATTAGGCCAAAGGTTATAAAATTTTCTTCTGTCTATTTTCTATATTCTCGATGTCTAAGCAATACCTCTGGATTTAAGTTACTACTCATTATAATATTTTGGGAAATTTTCCCAGCTATAAGCTTGTATTTTATTTTTTCTCAGCCTGTATTTTTAAATTTTTTAAGTTTCAGTCTCCAGTCAAGCTCGGAAACAGCAACTTTTTTAATTACCAAATTCCCACTTCTACGGAACAACAACAAAATTCACAACAATTACCTGGGAGGGCTCAATCAGCCACCCTATTAAATACTAATCGAAGAGAATCTCCCCCAATTAATTCATTTAATAATTCAAAAACTTCAATACAAAAACAAGAAGAACTTCAACAATTTTTATGTTCGTCTACACCTGCCTCAGTTAATAATAATAATAATAATTTGGGTGGAGGAGGTTCTACTAATAATTCTGCTGCAAACTCTGCAAATTTATTGGAAACATCGCCTAATGCTGCTGGTGGGGGAATTTTTTTAATTAATTAATTAATTAAATGAATGAATTTTAAAAAATTTTTATTTTGGAAAATATTTTACTTATTTTTGAATTTAATTTTTATTCAAAATTTTTTTTTAATTTTTGAAAATTTTTCTAAATTTTTTTTTCGCTAAAATTCTGATTTTAATTAATTTTCTGGGGTATCCTTTTTTTATTTATTTTCTGATATTCTCTGATTTATTTTGTTTATTCTGGTTTAGTTTAAATTCTGATAATAGCTGTATGTTTTGTTTAAATTCTGATTGTGTGCTTTTGTTGAATATTAATAGTATGTTTTGTTTTAATTTTGATTTTAATTCTGATTTTCTTTTTATGTTTGTCTATGTTTTGTTTAAATTCTGATTGTTTTTATTTTTGATTTTAATTCTGATTGTTTAAATTTTGATTCAGTGCTTTTGTTTTGTTTTTCTAATAGAATTAATAGTCATATGTTTTTGATTTTAATTCTGATTTTCTTCCTATGTTTGTCTATGTTTTTTTTAAATTCTGATTGTTTAAATTCTGATTCGGTGCTTTTGTTTTGTTTTTCTCAACATTAATAAATATGTATGTAGCATGTTTTATTTAAATTCTGATTTTCTTCCTATGTTTGTCTATGTTTTTTTTTAATTCTGATTTATTCTGTGTTTTCCTCTTAACTTATTTAAATTCTGATTTTCTTCCTATGTTTGTCTATGTTTTTTTTTAAATTCTGATTTATTCTGTATTTCCTGTTCTCTTATTTTATTTAAATTCTGATTTTGTCATTTTTCATATTTAATTTAATTTGTCCACATTTTTATAGTATACTAATTAATTTATTTTTAAATTTAGATTACTTACATTTTTAATAAAAAATATTTTTTAATTAAGAAAAAAAAATTATTTTTTTTTGTGTTTTAAACCTGAAACACTAAAAAATAATTTTTTTTAATTTTTGTGCTCTTCTAAAATTTTTTTTAATTTTATTTTCTCTCTTTTTAATATAAAAATTCCATTTCTAGCGTTACTTATAGGAGGTATTAATCTTTCCTCTACTTTAAAAATATTTTTACAACATTTTAAAAAATTCCATTTTTTCTGTAAAAATAAAAAATATAAGAGAAATAATATTTAAAATAATATTTTGGAATATTTAAAATTTTAATTTTATTTTTAGCAAAAAATTAGAAAAAATAAATATGTAAAATAATTAATTTTGCAAGCTATTTTAATTTCCTAAAATTTTGAATTTTTTTTTTAATTTTTCTAAAAATAAATTTTAAATTTCTGAATGACTATTTTTGAATGAGTATTTTTTCTTCTATTATTTTTCTAGTAATTTTAATTTTTATAGAAAAATGGAATTTTAAAAATAAAAAGAGGAAGGAAGGAAATTCCTACGGAAATTCTTAAAATAGCTTGCAAAATTAATTTTATTTTTTTAAATTTTTTTAAAATTAATTTAAAAACAAAATTAGATTGAAATTTATTTTTAGAAATTTAGTAAAAAAATTTTATTTCCAAAAAAATTGAAAACAATACCCGTAAATATAGTCATTATCTTATTATTTTTAATTTAAAAATTACCGGAAGAAAATTTTAAAATATTCAAAAAAAATTTTTTTTGGCTCATTTTGGTTTAAAAAATTATTTTTTATACAAAAATATACACATGATTACCTAAAAACATTTTTCAAAAATTAAAAAAAAATTTTTAATTTTTTTATGTTTTTTTAATTTAATTTTTAATTTAATTTATTTCAAGGAAAAAGGGGCTTTCCTTTTCATATTTTCTATTTTTAAATATTTTTTTTGAAAAATTGTTGAAAAGGGAATGGTGACGAATTGTGTATTATGTAAGTAGCCTTTCTCTCCTCTCTTTTTTAAAAATATTTTTAATTATATAGAAATTAATTTTATTATTTTTAAAATTTATTTTTGTTTTTATTTTCTATGTAAAGCTTATTAAATTTAATTGAGAATAATACATAATTAATTTTATAAAAAAAAATTTATTTTTTTTTAAATATTATTTTTATATAAATTAATTTATTTAATTTATTATTCCCATTTTTTAAATATTCAGAAAAATATTTTTTTCACAAAAATAAATATTTAATTTTATTTTATTCTTGCAAAAAATATGCTAATATTTAATTATATTCTGTGTGAAACCAAAAAATAAATATTTAATAATTTACTGTAAGCATTTTTGCAATAGAGAATTTTTATTTCAAATGTGTTTGCGTATGCGCATACTTTTTTCTTTGTGTAGTTTGATTTTTTAAACTTTTATTAATAAACTTATTAGCGGATTACTGCAAGTATTTAATATATTTGCGGATATAAAATAAAAATTCTGATTTTTAGAATTCTGATTTTTAATTTAATTTCTGATTAATTCTGATGTGTTTTATTCTACATATTATAGTTATTCTGATGTTTTTATTTGTTTTATTTTTATTCTGATTTTATTTTTAATTCTGATGATGTTTTTATAGATAATTGTGTTATGTTTTGTTTAAATTCTGATTTTGTTATTTTTTAATTCTGATTTTGTTTTTATTTAGCCAAAGCTGTGTTTTGTTTTATTTAAATTCTGGTTTTAATTTTATTCTGGTTTTAATTTAATTCTGATTTTGTCTTTCTATTCTAATGTTTTAATTAAATTCTGATTTTTCTGTTTCCCTTCTTTTAATAAGTAATATATTTTGGTTTTTTTTAATTCTGATTTTATTATTTTTAATTTTCGTCTTAAATCGTCCGCAATTTTTAAATTTTCTGCTTTTTATAAATACCCTTTAATTAATTATTTAATGTTTCGCGCCTTTCTTTTTTTCTAATAATTTTTTGTCATTTATTAAATTTTGAGTTTTGCTCTCTACAATTTTTTTTTTGAGTTTTGATATTTTTTTAAATTAAAAATAAAATTTATTTTTAGAAAACTAAAATTACACCTTTTATTTTTTAAATACTAATATACTTTTCTGAAAATACAAAAAAAAATATTTTATTTTTTTCTATACCATTTTTAAAATTTTTATTTTAGCTTATATTTATATTTAAATAATTCTTTTATGTCCTTTATGTTTATTATTTTATTTTTCTCAAAAAAAAATTTTTTTTGAAAATATTATTTTTATTAATTTAGGAATTAAAAGAATTTTTAAAAATAAAAAAAAATTTTTTTCAATTTTAATTTTTCTTTTTTGTTAATTAATTTTATGAAATTTGGCTTAATTTTACACACCTTTTATTTTTTAAATATTTTTAAAAAATTATTTTTTTAATTAACATTTTTTTAAATTTTTTAAAATTTTTTTTTCAATTAAAAAATTAATTTCTAAAAATTCCCATACAGTTTTTAAATTTTTTAAAATTAAATTTAAAAATTAATTCCAAAAAAAAATTTTTTTTTTGGAATTAATTTTCTTTTTAAATTAAATAATTTTATTTTTAAATAAGCCTTACAATTTTTCAATTTTTTTAAAGATTCATTTTCAACCGACCAACAATTAATGGGCCAATGCCTAATGCAGCATTTAGCTTCTCAATTAGGCCTTTCGTCTGGAGGAGAACGTTCTTCTATTATTGAACAATTAATTGGTGCTGGGTTGCCTTTAGCTGAATTACTTCAACAACAACAACAACAATCGGCACAAAGGTAGAATAAAGAAATATGGTTATCTGATATCTATTAATCTCGAGTCTTGGTCAATCCTCAAGTCCAAATTGAATAGAGAGAAACTGAGGGATTCTCAAGTTTAGATCGATTGATCCTCATATTCTGCTTTTAGTTTATAAAAGGTCGTATAAAAAGATTTTTTAAAACTAAATTACAGATTAAGGGGGTTCTAATTTGTTCTCCAATTTTTTAAAAAAAATTGGAAAACTCCCTAATTAACCTTTTTACTTTAGCTGTCGATTCATAGCGTAATCGAACCGAAGGACTTTTTCTGCTTAAAGTTTCACTTGGTTCCTGATCTGAATGTGAGGAATTTGGTCCCTTTCGATCATTGCTTGTAAGCGTGTACGAAAATTAGTCTTGTACTTGCTACGAGTAAAATTAAAGTTTATAAACACTGGTTTCAATTAGTCTGAATATTCGAAAAGTTTACAAGAGCCGACAGCTCTAACCCTGACTTAAAAAATTTTTTAAATTATTTTTTTTAAATAATTTTTCTTAGATCTTCTCCTTCTCCCGATCTCAATAATCAAATTATTCATTGTACCCAATGTGCTAGACAATTTCCAACACCTACCGCTTTGTTACATCATCAAATAACTGAACATATTGGCACAAATTTGGAACAACCAAACAATGAAAATAATAATAACCAATTAAATCCACTTGCATTACGTTGGGCAATGAATGAATTAAATAATAGTGGAGGTAGTGGAGATGGTAGTGGAAGTGGTGGAGGAGGAGGAGGAGGGGATGGAACAACTGCTGCAACAGTACAACAACAGCAACAATTTCTGAGTAGGAATTAAATTAAAATAGAGGAGCTAAAAAATTAAATTCAAAAAAATTTTTTAAAAATTGAAAAATATTCTTAAAAAATTTTAAAAAATTTCTCCGGTTAAAAAAAAATTTTTGAAAATAGAAAAAAATTTTTTTTTGCAATTTTTAAATTTATATTGCTAAATTTTCATTGGCTAAAATTATTAAAAAATTAATTTTAGAAAATTTTTTAGAATTAAAAAAAAACAGGCTCTTTAAAATTTTATTTTTATTATTTTTTATTCCCTCCCCTAAGTCATTAATTACCTAATTAATTAATTTAATTTAATCAGACCAACTTCTCGGCTCAAATTTTTCTCCAAATTCTGCAGCCTCGTCATTACTTCTCCCTGCATTTGGAGCATTAAATAATACAGAAATGGACAATGCTACAATGTTAGCTAAACTTAGTGCGGAATTAGCGTCTGTGAGTCAAGCATCTCAACAACAACACGGCTCTTCTGGATTGCTGTTTCAAAATGGGCTTTCTCTTGGGCAATCTGGACAAGTTGGGGTAAGAAAATAATATTTTTTGTTTGGTTGTTTAATTGTTTGAATGTTTAATTGTTTATTTTAATTGTTTGTTTCGTTGAATGTTTGTTGTTTCGTTGTTTGTTTTGAATATTTCTTTTTGGTTTTGTTTGTGTTTTTAAATATGTTTGCTTGTTTTGATTGTTTTGTTGTTTAATTGTTTTAATATTTATTGGTTTGTTTTGTTGTTTGTTTTGAATATTTGTTTTTTGTTTGTTCTTGTTTTGTTTGTGTTTTTAAATGTTTTATTGTTTTGGTGTTTGTTTTAATGTTTGTTTGATTTTGGACTTTTAAGTTTGTATGTTTTTCAGGTTTGTGTTTGTATGTTTAAGTTTATTTTTGCACTTAAGTTTTTGTGTTTTCTTTCATGTTTATTTAAGGTTGTATTTTTTATGTTCATTTATGTTTGTGTTTTATGTTGTGTTTATTTTCAAGTTTGTGAATGTATTTTCTTTCAAGTTTGTGTTTTCTTCTTATTTAACGTTGTATTTTCTTCTGATTTTGTTTTGTATTTTCGTCTGAGTTAACGTTGTATTTTCTTCTTCTGATTTGTTTTGTATTTTCTTCTTCTGATTTGTTTTGTATTTTCTTCTTCTGATTTGTTTTGTATTTTCTTCTGGTTTAACGTTGTATTTTCTTTTAAATTAGTTTGTATTTTCTCAAGTTTGTGTATTTTTCTGTATTTCTTCTCGAACATCTTTCTAAAAACTCGCTGTTTTTACATGTTTGTCTGTTCAATGTTTTAAGTTTGTATTAAATTCTTTTATGTTTTGTTCGTCCAAAAACATATTTTCTTCTTTAAAAATGTTTAAAATTTATAGTCAAAACCGCCTCCACCAAAACGCCAATATTCCTCAACAAGCAAAAACTTTTGCGATCTTTGTAATAAAGAAGTTTGCAACAAATATTTTTTGCGTACTCATATGTTGAAAATGCACAATATTGTTATTGATGAAAATAAGGTAGATAAAAAAATTTTTTTAAATAAAATATTAAAAAAATAAATTTTGGGGGGAAAATAATATTTTTTGGAATTTTATTTATTTACCCAATGAATGATGAATGAAATCTATTTTTTGGGGGTAGAGGAGACGTGTGATCCTTCTCTCCATTTTTTCCATAAATAATTTATAAATAGAATTTATTTTTTTATTTGAAAAAAATAAACAAAAAATATATTTAAGTCTTTATTAGTAGGTGTGTTTGGAAATTTAAAAAAATTTTTTTAATCAAAAAAAAATTTAAAAAATAGGGAGATATACATAAAGCCGATTTTGATTCAGAATAGACGGAAAAAATTTTTTTCTTCCCAAAAATACATATTTTCTGATTTTAATATAACTCGGTAAAGTTAGCATCCTTTTTTGCTTCTCCCATTTTTGATAGGAAAAAAAATTTTTTTTTGATAAAAAAGGAAAAAAATTTTTTTTGAATGGGTTCCTTGTCTGTTTCTATTTTCAGCCTTTATTTTTATTTTTAATTTAAGAAATCTTTTTTTTTTGAATATAGGCTGTTTAAATAAATAAAAATAAATAAATTTCAGAAAATAAAAAAGGATTTTTAGGTTGGGTTACCTTTCTCTCTTTATGAATCACAGATTTTTATTTTTTTAAAGCATTTAGAAATGCATGGGACCAAAAATAAATTTTTTTTATTTTTTTCTTTATTTCTCTTGTCTCGTCTATAATTTGGAAAAAAATTTTTTACGCCAACAAGAATGCACTTTTCATTTTTTATTTTTTTATTTATTTATTTTTTTTTCTAAAATACAATTCCTCTATCAAACACGCAAGATAACCTTTCATTAAATACAAAAAAATTTTTCTTTCTTTCTTACGTTAGATGATTCAATCATTTATACATAGGCCAAAGTTGAGTAAAAATTTAAAAAAAAATAATAAAAGAGGATTTATTAGAGTCTGATTTTTTTTGGGAATTATTTGAAATTTTAGGAATCTTTTAGCTTGCTAGTGATGGGCAAGAAAAAATTTTTTAAAGAAGGGCTTTAGGCGGAGATTTGAGAAAGATTCATTGGTACTATGTTTGCGTTATAGGGAAAAAATCATTGGGTGGGAGATGGAATGGAACCATCATGGAATGAGCTGAGCTTCGATCTGAGCCAGAGGTGTGTCGGAACTATCAGATGTGCCGGAAATCAGAACTTTCGGAAATGGCTCAAAAGTCGGAAATCGGAAATCAAATTTTTTTCGGAAATCGAAATTCCGATTCACCTTTGATATGAGCTCATTCCATGATACCTAGTTCTATTCAATCTCCCTTCCGATGAAATTTTTCTACTGCCAACGGACATAATAGTTAGGATACCGAGAAATCTTTGGGACATCCTGAATAACCATTCTTGGAAAAACTTTGTGAAAGAAAATTACTTTCAGACTCTAAAATATTCTTTTCTCTCATTCATGATAAAAAAAGGGAGAGAGGGGGAGGGAGTGGAGAGATGGAACACTTAAAAATCACACACAAGTAAAAAAAATTTTTTTATTCTCCTTTCCTCCCACTAAAAATTTTTCTCTTTTTTCTCAAATAAAAATCGAATTTTTCCATTCACATTTTTCTTTAAAATCTTTAATTTTTTCCTACCAACCGAACGTTTAAAAAAATAAAAATAAAAAAATTTTCTTTAAAAATAATTTTTAAAAAATTTCTTCAGCTTGTAATAGCCAACATTGACACTTCCGAAAAAGAAAGACGAGGAGAAGTCAAATTTCGTTGTGAAATTTGTTTGGCTAGTTTAACGGGACGTGAACAACTACGGGCACATAAAAGAGAAGTACACGGAATGCAAGCACCTTTAGGGGGTGGAGGAGGAGGACATGCTTCAACATCTTCCACACCAAGTTCAAGTATCGGAAAAATACCCATCTTGGCTCCTTTGTTGCCTTCTTCTTTAACTGGTATAGTTGAGATGACTGCCGCGGATGGCCAAAAACATAAAATCTGCCAAAGCCCAACCACCATCAAAAGAACAAATAATTTAAATAATGAGGAGGAGGAAGATGGGGATGGAGATAGAGAGGGAATGTATCCAATAAAGAGACCAAAAATTGAAAATGATGAGGAGGAAGTGGATGAAGAAATTAAATTTAGAAGAAGAGGGGGTAGTGGAGGGGAAACTGATGAAGTTACCGATGAAATGATGTTACAACTACTTCAACGTTGGGAGGGTGAAAATGGACATAATGGGGAGGAATTAATGGGTGTTAATGAACAGCGGCAACAACAAACTTGTAGTAATAAACAGGAAAATAATAATAATGTTGGTACGAAAGAAGGAGAAAAACATAGTCATACTGTGAGAATTTAAAAATAATTTTTTAATTAAAGAAAATTTCCTAAAATTAGGGAAATTGTCTGATACATTTTAATTAAAGGATAATCCGGTTTGTCAAGTTCAGACAATCTGGATAACCCCCGAAACTAGAAAAAAATCTGGAATTTTAAACTGGCACTAAGCATTTTCTGGTGTCCTTATTCAGTCTGTTATATTCAGAAAACCAGGATAACCGTTGAGTTTGGATTCTGGTTTCCATTATTCTGCCTCCAAAAACCAGAAATTTTTAATAAAAGATAAAATAGGGGGTGACCTGTTCGGCTTCAGAAACCATAATTTTGGAACGTTATTAATGTGGAAATTGTTTAGAAACCAGAACCTTAAACCCAATTCCAAAAATTTTTTTCGGAACTGGGACGTACTACTCTTAAATATCCCTTTACTTCCATACAAATTTTTTTTAAAATATTCTGAAATTTTATTTTTTCATTTTCACCTTCATTATTAACTTATATTTTCCCCTTTCTCCCCTTTTAGAGTGGTTCAGCAAGCCCAGTTTCTCTCCATAACGCAACAACTTCTAATTGTAATATAGTAACTACCTCATTGCCCGAAGGTTTTGTTCGCCCAACAATTGATAATCAAAAATCTTTTTTGCTTCAATCATTTACAATTAGAACCGTTTCTTCTGAGGGCGATTCAACTACTTCATCTTCCCAATCTCCCCTTCCAGAAGAACTCGTTGCTTATTTACCTGTTAGATCAATGTTGCTAGAACCGTTGAAATTGACTTTGGAATTAAGGCCTAATCCACAAAATACTGATTCTTTGGTAAAAAATTATCTTTTAAATTTTTTAGAAAAATTGGGGAATTTTTAAATTTTCTGGAAAAAATAAAAAAAAATTTCCTAGAACAACTAAGAGCCGTTGACTAAAAGACGTTGAGTTGTCTTTTCCGTAATTTGTCTCTCTATTTTAATAAACACTTCCGGAATTTTCCGGATACACTCTCCCTCGCTTTTTGTCTATACTCACATTCCGGAATACATTCACAATCCGGAATATACGTCTATTTATTTTCTATTAAATCAGAATATATTGTTTTCCGGAATTTTCCGGATCCGGTTAGACAAATAGCGAGATAGTGTATAATTTTGCTTAACTTTATGAGAGAGACTCACTTAATATTCTTAAAATTTTTTTTAAATTAAAAAAATTTTTTTTCCAGATTCGTGATCAACAGCTTCAACATTTAGAAAATCAAAAACCGATTCTCAGAAAAATGGAAAATTTTGAAATGTGCGATAATAATAGTTATGGAGCTGGAAATGAAGTAGTACCCAGCAGTGTGCCATAAAAAGCCTCATCAACAATATTTTGTTAAAAAATCTCTCTTCTATAAAAAATATATTTATTTTTATATTTAAGCTAATGGGGGATTTGTTAGAAAATAAGAATAGAATACAGTCAGACCTCTCTGTGATACACCTATGGGCTAATAGAGAGTACTATTGCCTTGGCAGATCCCCCTCCCCCCTTTCAAACTAATTTTAAAAAAACGTCTCTTAAATAGAGGTGTATCTAATATTGGGAGTATTCTATAGTGAGGGATACCTTATAATGAGGGATACCTCAAATAGAGGTTATCGCTTGGATAGCTTCCCCCACCCAATATAAATTTGGGCAGATCCCTACCCATTGTCCAAACTAATTTAAGGGGGTCTCTTAAATAGAGGTGTATCTAATATTGGGAGTATTCTATAGTGAGGGATACCTTATAATGAGGGATACCTTATAATGAGGATACCTTAAATAGAGGTTATCGCTTGGACAGCTCCCCCACCCAATAGGGAAACCAAAGTGGAGTCTCTTATCTTGAGGGTGTATAACATAGAGGGTGTATAATGAGGTCAGACTGTAACTATCTTTAATAAACCCCATCTTAGTTTAACCCATTATTTAAAGACCAGTTTGTTTGTTTTCCATTTCTGCCTTATTTTTTAAATTTAAAAACAAAGGCCCAACCACCATAAATCATCTTATACAGGGTGCGGCAAATTAAGCGCGCGTTTGTTTTTTGCCATAACTTTCTTCAATTTTAATGAAAATTGATAATTCTTTTTTTGTTTTATTCCCAACACTTTAGGAAACTTGCTGATACCAAATATTAAAAATTTGGTTCACTGTTGGCAAAGATAATCGAGTTCGATCGTCTGGAAAATTTAAAAACATTTTTTATGCCAAAGTTTAATTGATCATAACTTCGTTCAAAATCGTTCAATACCAATGATTTTGATACTAAACGACTCATCTCGTTCAGGAGCATCGAAATAGCTTATAATCTCATTTTTGAAAATTTTACACAAAAATTTTATTTTTATCAAAATTATTTTAATTTGTCATTCAGAGGACCGTATCTCATTCGATTTTTGTCTTAGCCCCATGATTTTTATGTCATTCGAATCAGAATGAAGAGCTGATTCGAATGATATAAACATTTCCAATATTAAAATCTCAGCCTTGAATCTAGGCCAATTTTTATCCAAAAAATTCTGCTCAAACTTTGAGGGAAGTTTACTCAGAGTAAACTTAAAATTAAAAAGCAATTTTGGTATCAGCAAGTTTCCTAAAGTGTTGGGAATAAAACAAAAAAAGAACTATCAATTTTCATTAAAATTGAAGAAAGTTATGGCAAAAAACAAACGCGCGCTTAATTTGCCGCACTCTGTATATTTTTCAAAAATAATTTTGTTGTTGAACAATTTTTAAATTTATTTTTTTCTCTTCAATTTGTTATTTTTTTTGTTTGTTTTTCGATTCATTAAATATTTGTTAAAATAAAAATAAAAAAATATTTTTTTCTTTGGAATTACAAATTTTTTTTTCAAAATTGCTTCCCTGATAAATTAATATACCTAAAATATATTTAATTATTCTATAGTCGACTCTCTCTCTTGATTATCCTCGTTTATAAATTTTCTCCATTTATGAGGAGGGTTTTCCCTGAAAAAAATTTTTTTTCGCCTGATATTCCGATACACATCCTGATTCAGTCTTTCAATTCTTAGATTCCCCCTTCTCCCATTTGCCCCAACTTTTCCAGTCTCCCTCAGTTTCTCCCCCAAACCACAACCTTTTAAGTGGTTAGTTATACAATTCACAACCCTCATCTTCCCCTCATCCTCTCTTGATTCTTGGACCCCTTCCCCTCTCCCTTATTTTGATTATGCCTGGGATACCCGAGAGTGTCGACTAATTTTTTATTTTTATATTATTTATATCCAATCCAACTTCTTAATATCCCCAATTCACTCAAAACCTCATTTTATTATATTCATTTTTTGCACTCCCACACAATTGCCACACTAAAAACACTATTCTCGAATATTTTTAATCGGCTCTTTCATTTTGCTTTTACCAAAAAATTTTAAAAAATTTAATAAAATATTACATTCCCATTTTTGCAATATTAAATAAAAATTTAATTAATTTTTTGGAACCAAAAGAATACTTTTTACAATAATTACCAGAAAAATAAAAGCATTAAATTAATAAAAGAATACAATCTTAAGTTTGTAAACTATCAAAACTTGAATTATTAAAACTTGAAATTACTAAGGTTAAGTTTATTAAAGTTGTATTTTCTGAACTTAAGTTTGTGTTTCTTATGTACACTATCTCAAGTTCCGGAAAATTCCGGAGTGTCTATTTACACTCCTGAAAATAAATCTATTCACTTTCCGGAATGTATGTCTATTCATTTTCCGGAAGAAACATATGTCTATTCATTTTCCGGAAGAAACATATGTCTATTCAGAATCCGGAAACTATGTCTATTTACACCCCGGAAAGTATTTCTATTAATATTCCGGAAACTATTCTATTAATATTCCGGAAAGTATGTCTATTCAAAATCAGGAAAATACACCGCTATTAAGAATCCGGAAAATTCCTGAACTTATTCGAATATTTCTTTTTCCGGATTTTGAAGACATAAAGTCGATGCATACATATGAGAGACGATTTCCGGAACAGACATTTATGGTCACTAAAATCAACCAACCTTAATCTTTTCTCTAACATTGTCTCTATTGTTTTTGCTTGTTCTTTCACCCCTATTTTTTATTTTGCCATTCTCTCCTTATTCATATTGTGTAGTCTTCCTTTTAGATTTTTTTAGTATTTAAAATTCTCCCGTTATTATTTTTTGTTTTTAAATGCCTTTAAATTAATCATAATTAATATATTCTTCATTTATTTAAAAAAAATATTTTCTCATTAAAATCGAATCCTCTTAATAAAAATTTAATTTCTCACATTTTAATTAATTAAATGTTGAAAAAAAATAAAAATATTTATTTCTTGTTTTTCCCATTAAATATTCATTTTTTATTATTTGCTGGCACAGATTTAAAATAATATTATCATTATTTTTTTAATATTTAAAAATTGTTTTATTTAAAAATCGTGTTCAAATGAGACAATAAAATAAAATAATAATTTAATTAATTTTTAAGTCATTTATTAGAAACAAAAAATTTTTTTGTTAAGGCAAGCATGAATTATTAAGTACCTTTTTTGAATAGCCCCCTCTCACTTGTTTGAGTAGCAATTATTTTTTTCTTCATTTTTGGTTAGGTATATTTGACTAACATTTATTTTTTTACTTGCATTTCATATTGCTTCCGGAAGGTATGTCCTTCCGGAAAATAAGTCTATTCAGAATCCTGAGAACGTGTCAATTCAGATTCCGGAAAATACGTCGCTATTAAAAATCCGGAAAATTTCCGGAGACTATTCAGATTCCGGATGCCTAAAAATCCGGAAAATTCCGAAAACTATTCAGATTCCGGAAAATTCCGGAGACTGTTGAATATTTATCTTTTTCCGGATACTGAATAGATACAAAGCAAAAAAAGACCCAAACTATAGGGAGGGGAACTATCCACAAAGTACTGAATTATTAAAAATAAATTAGTCAAAAAAATCAATTTTTTCCCGGTCAATTTTGTGTTAATTCTAGTGTCCTTTTACTAATTACTCACTCATTTTGTCCTATTCTCTGCATATACCTTTTCAAAAACTGAAGGAATCGAAACTTTACAATCGTATTTAGCACGCAACCAATCGTAGAGAGCCGCCTTTAAATTAAATTTTTTATTTTAATCCATTAAAATTCTCCTTACATCAAACATTTCCCAAAACTCAGCAGCATTTTGGTGAGAATCAGAACATAGCATTTGGAATCTGTTAGAAAAATACATTAGTTAAACAAGAAAGATTATTTTAAGAATCTTAAAAAAAACTTCTTAATACACAATGAATAATACAGAAATACAAACTTGATTTCAGAAAAGAATTAAATCAGAATTGTAATCTGGGGCCGTAAAATAAGAACTCGGTCACCTAACCATGGTTAGGTAAACACAAGGTCATGGTCAAGTGGTAACCAGCAACCGAGTTCTTATTTTACGGCCCCTGATTGTAAACTAAAAATGCAAACTTAATTCTTATAAATTAGACAAAAATTAAAGTTTTGTATCAAAATATAAACTTGAGATTGTAAACTTGAAAAATACAAAGTTTATTTAAGTATGTCAAAAACTTGAAAGCAAACTCAAGTTTGAACTTAAAGTTTTGTAATAAATTCAAGTTTCTAAGTTTACAAATTTGTTGGCAAACTTAAGTCTGTAAACTTGAATTTACAAACTTAAAAATGTTTTTAGAAACAATTAAAATTAAACGTAAAATCAAGCTTGTAATTAGTCGAAAATTCATTGGGGCCAAACCTTCCTATTAAAACTAAAGATTTAAATTTTACCCCTTAACTTCTCTCAAATAACCCTCCAATGTCTTAATCTTTTCAACCACTGTATTAGAACTACTTTCTTCTTCATCAAAACTAGTGTTCGGCAAATGACCTTTTCCGGTATTCGGTATCGGTATACCGAAAAAATACCGATACCGAAAAATACCGTTTTTTACAAAAATTGACCGGTACGGTATCGGTATCGGTATACCGGAAAAATACCGATACCGGAAAATACCGTCTCAACATTTTCGGTATACCGGCCGGTATTCGGTATTTTTTAAAAAATTTTATAAAATTTTTTAAATTTTATTTTTAAAATTTTAACAATAAATCTTAACAATCTCGAGGACTTGAGCTTCTTCTAATCGATCATAGGCAAGATTTGAATCAGCAAAATGTCCAACAATTGCTCGACATTTAGCTAATTGAAAAATACAATGCCCCCTCCATTAGAATACCCTGCTTTAATAGTATGTCCCCTGTAGGATGCTTGAAAATTACTATGCCCCCACCATTAGAATACCCTCCTTTAATAGAATGCCCCAGAAGGATAATTGAAAAATACAATGCCCCCTCTAATAGAATGTCACTATATATCCTTTTTCAGCGCCGCAGGCGAAAATTTTGAGAATTTTGGAAGACCAGAAGACAGATTTCTTCCTTTTTCAGCGCCGCAGGCGAAAATTTTGAGGATTTCACAAATACCGAAATACCGGAAAATACCGCGGTATTTTTTCGAGGACCGGTACGGTATCGGTATCGGTATACCGAAAAAATACCGATACCGAAAAATACCGTTTTTTTCAAAATTTGACCGGTACAGTATCGGTATCGGTATACCGGAAAAAAATACCGCGGTATACCGGGAAAAATACCGCGGTATACCGTACCGTGCCGAACACTAATCAAAACTTTGAGTCAAGCGTGGTTGCCCATATATTCCAATATTGACGTACATAAGTTTAAGTCCGTGTTGATTCCGTACAAGTCCAGTATGAGCTGTCAAGTGAAACGGACAGAGCCAGAGGGGATAAATCTGAAGGGAAAAATTCCTTAAGAAATATCTGTTATCCCTATCACCTTCATTTCTTTATCAACAAGTTTCAACGCTTCTTGTAAATCGCTTAAAGGAACCATAATATTCTGTAAAACATGTTGTTTTGAGTAAAGTCGACGAACACGAGAAGATTTTGGAAAAGGAAGAGACAACGGCAGAAACCATCCAATAATCCAACGAAGGGGGAATAGTAAAAGCAAGGAAGGAAAAATTGAACGTAGCTCCCAGAAGAGAGAACGCCAATGACGAGTAAAATATTGGTTTGTTGGAATATATTCTGTTTTAGACTAAAATTGAAAGGAATTATTTTAAAAAATCAGAATTAAAACAAGACATTTACAAACTTGAATAGAACAAAAATCAGAACAAAAAATACAAGCTTAACAAGGAAAACACAAAACTTGAATAAAAATCAGAAAACAGAACACCTAAAAACTTGAATATAAGTAAAATACAGAATAGATAAAAAACAAAAATACAAACTTGGAAAAATACAAAACCTAAATAAACATGAGAATTACAAATTTGACAAAGAAAATACAAAGCTTTAATAAAAATCAGAATTGTTACAGAATATTTACAAACATTAATAATCAGAAAAACAATAAAAATACAAACTTGATAAAGAAAACACAGAGAGAAAGAAAACACGAAACTTGAATAAAAACAGAACATTTACAAAGCAGAAAATACAAACTTGACAAAGAAAACACAAACTTGACAAAGAAAACACAAACTTGACAAAGAAAACACAAAACTGAGAAAGAAAACACAAAAAAAAACACAAAGGAAACACAAAACTTAAATAAAATCAGAACATTTACAAAACAGAAATTACAAACTTGAAAAAATACAAAACATAAACAAATCAGAATTCTCTCCTAAAAACACACTACAAATTTTTATAAATACCACACAATTTGTAATTACAACTAAAAAATATAAACGTACCCCTCCACTTTCCAACATTTTCTTCACATATAAATAAAAGAAAGGCTTGTACCATCTTCCAATATTATTTTTATAATTTCTATCATTTCTAGGTATTTTGTCAATAAAAGTTCCACTAATTAAAACTGAGCATTCCTTATCATACTGAATTGCCTCCACAAATTCATTTTCGGTTCTCTTCCTCATAATTAATTCTTCTATACGCCCAGTCAATTCTTTCGTGGAATAACAGGGTTGGTATTGAATTCTGATATAAGGAGGGCATTCTCGAATTTTGAGGGTGATGGAAACTAAGAAACCGAGCGAACCGAGAGACCAGGGAATGCCGAAGAATAATGACTGGTGAGCACCTTCCTTCAAAAAAATTTTTTTATTTTTGGTTAAATATCCTTCTAGTCTACCCTCTCGGCAATAATTAATTCCCCACTTGTAGTCACAATTTCGTAAGCCAAACATGAGTGTTGAAAAAGCCCATTCTTTGCACTACTCGAAGATATGCCTGCCCCCAACACTAAACCCCCAATTTGCAAGTCTCCAATTTCCGGAACTACCGGAAGTGTATAACCTAGGGGAAGAAGAGCACGTTGGAGTTGGTCGATACTGACTTTTGGTTCAACCCGCACAAATTTTGAAGAAGTGTTTAGCTTAAATGAGTTTTATGAGTTAAACTTGAATAATTAAAAGTAGACCTTAAGTTTGTAAACTTAAATAAAAATTCTGATTTGTTTTGTGAAATTCTAATTTTAATTTGTTTTTAAGATTGCAATCTAGGTAACTAATTTTAATTCTGGTTTTTCAGGAAGAAGTTTGTAAACTTAAAAAAATTCTGATTTTTAATAAAATTCTGATTTAAAAATTCTGGCTTAAAATACAATTTAAAAAACTTAAGACTGAACTTAAATAAATCTTAATTCTGGTTTAATTATATTTTATCCAGAAGAAGTTTTAAACTTAAAAAATTCTGATTCCTTTTTGTAACAAAATTCTGATTTGTAAACTTAAAAATTCTGATTTTTAATAAAATTCCGACTTAAAAAATTCTGATATTGAAAATTCTGATTTTAGAAAAATTCTGATTGAAAACACAATCTTAAAAACTTGAATTAATCAGAATTATTTTTAAAAATCAGAATTTTTTAATTAAGATTATAAACTTAAGACTGAACTTGAATAAATCTTAATTCTGATTTTTAAAATTCTGATCAAAATCTTAAGTTTGTAAGTTTGTAACATTTAATTAATTAATTTAATTTTCACCTCCACAATATTACAAAGATTGTCCAAATTGATTTTGTACATTCCCTTTTTATATTCTGGTCTAGTAAAGCACATTTGTTGACAATTATCCACCCCAGAAGTAGTGAGTCGTTGTCTTTGACGGTGTGGTTTGCCCTCATTTAATTTGTGCCATTTGTTGATCTTCAAAAAAAAATAATTTTTACTTGATTTTACCCCCTCAGAGCACCTGTCTTTGTACTCCAGCAACTTTCCTCCCATGCGATATCCCCCCAATATTCGATTTAAATTTGATCCAGTCAAGTCTAACGTTGATAAAACGTTTCACATATTCAATAGGTAAATTAAAAAAAAGAACATATAGCCATCCAAAGTTGATTACCCAAAGACGAAAGAACCAGTTGATAATAGCAGAGATGCGGTTAATAATTCCAGTAATCAAAAACATTTAAAAATAAAGAGAGGGTTAATGTCAGTAGATGATTAGGGAGGTTATGTGTATGTGATAAAATAATTTTTAGCTAAAAAGGGGAAAAGAAAAAATAAATTTTATAAGGTTAGCAAAAATAAAAAGAGGTCTAGAATCAATATTTGTAGAGTAACAAAAAAGATTTGTAATTTTATGTGATTCCAAATCAAATCTAACAGTGATAAAACGTTTCACATAAGTATAAAATATTTTTTAGCTAGATAGAGGAAAAGAAAAAAATAGGGGAATAAATAGGGGAAATTATAAAAACAACTGAGCCTTCTGCAAAACTGGCCATTGAGTCTTATCGGTTAACTCCCAAAAATTTTTTAAAACCTGTGAGCGCAGTTATACCCTCAAATAGATTGAAAAATAGGATTTAGGGAAAAAATTGAGGGGAAAATTGGGGGAAAAATAAGATTGGGGGAAATATGAAGGATTGAATAATATGAAGGTAAGTTAAACACACAATTTCAGGTATATGAGGCAGCATAAATGGTTATAAAAAATAATAAGTAACCTCAACTATAATGGTGTACTTTTTACTTTGCTTTTTAAGGAGAAGAGAGGAAATGATGAAAAAATATGGGAATTTATTAATTTATTTATCAATAAAACTGGGAATAAATGGAAGAATGCATAAAGGGGACAAAAAATAATAAAGGAAAATAACAGACATTTTATGGAAGGTAAAATTAAGGAGGAATTTAGGAGGAGGTTGGATGGGTAATCGATGAATTACAAATAATTAGAGGTAATTTGAGTAATAAAAATGAGAAAATTGAAATTTAAGGGTGTAAAGGGACAAGAAATTAGGGTAAATTAGGATTTTCGTTTCAAAAAAATTAAAAAAATCAGAGCGCAGTAGTGTCAACGGGCATCACAAACAATAAAAATCCAACTTAAAAAAGATTCAAAAAAAAATTTGGGAGCGCAGTCCATCTTTATATAAAATCAAACACAGATTTGTTCAAATCTTAAAGTTTGAACTCCTCCACCTCCATTTAGCATATTATTCGGCCTGCTAACCTCCACAACCCTTTTTCAAGGTTTTCCTCCTGGCAATAATTTGGTCGTCTGTTTTCATTGTTTGGCGTTTTTTCTACAATCTTAACTGCGCTCCATGCTTTGTCTAATTATTCAGAAGCTATATATTAGCTTGAATTTATTTCAGAATTATTTGATGTGTTGTAAAAGAAAAAGGGAATTGTACTTAATTTTCCTCTCTTGCTTAACGTTTTTCGATTTTTCCGGAAATAAAATTTATTTTCTACATAAATAATTTATTATAGATCAGTCATTAATAGCTAAACATTCGTCGCTCTTATAAATGCTATCTGATTTGGGCGCTTCCAAATATTCTGGTTTAAGCACTCTAGTCCAATTGTTTGGGTGTCCCTTAAAAACAAATTTTTATAATATAGTAATTATGGAAATATTTAGAAGTGAATATTCCGGAAAGACTTCCAAAAAGAATATTCCGGAAAGAATATTCCCACTTGACATTTTTTGGAGTGACTATTCCGGAAAATATTAAATAAATAATTCTGGTTTTTCCGGAACCCTAAAAAAATAATAGTATTTTCCGGAAAATACATAGTATTAAATACATAATTCTGGGTTTTCCGGAATCCTCAAAGAAAATAATTGTCTTTTCCGGAAAGAAAACACTAAAAGAAATTCGAGTAACTATTCCGGAAAATACATATTAAATACACAATTATATTTTTTCCGGAATCCTCAAGAAAATAAAATACAAATTGTCTTTTCCGGAAAAGAAACACAAAAAAAATTCAAGTGACTTTCCGGAAAATACAATTATAAATACTCAATTCAGGTTTTTCCGGAATCCTTAAGAAAATAGTAAAATACGTATTGTCTTTTCCGGAAAATACATACAAATAATCTAATATACATATCTGGAAAAGAAACACAATATTTAATTAAAAACACAAAACATTTACTTTAAATAGCTGCCCAGAATGTTTAAGGCATGCAACATTTAATGGAGAAACATGATAAAATTCACGTAATAAGCCAATTTTGGCTGTATTCTTAATAAATACTTTGCTTACTCAAAAAAAAATTAATTACCCATTTAATCGACAAATATTTTTCTTGAATGCTAAGTCGTTTGTCAACAACTCCTCTAAATATATTTAAATTAAAATTTATTAAAAAATTAAAAAAAAACAATTTAGAAAAGAAGGAGTGTAGAGATAAATTGGAAACTGCAGATTTACACACTTCTATCTAAAATTTCGAAGAAAAATTTCTGATTTTAATTTAAATATTCTGATCTGACCTCAGATGCCGGGTAGTAGTGTATATAATTTACACACATTTCATCCTCAATGCCATAACCACCCTTTAGGAATAATTAAAGAATATTAGATACTTAGTGGAAAAATGTGGAGAATTAGAGGGAAAATTGAGGAAAAATGAAGGAAAAATGGAGGAAAAATGGAGGAAAATGGAGGAAAATCGAGGAAAAAATGAAGAAAAATGGAGGAAAATGGAAGAAAAATTGAGGAAAAAATGAGGGAAAATGAAGGAAAAATGGAGGAAAAATTGAGGAAAAACGGAGGAAAAAAGGAGGAAAAAAGGAGGAAAATGGAGGAAAAATTGAGGAAAAACGGAGGAAAAAAGGAGGAAAATGGAGGAAAAATGGAGAAAAATAGGGGAAAGTAAGGGAAAATAAAGGAGAATCGGGAGCCTTACCCAAGTCCATTTTTCCCGTTCCAATGTTTCATATAAACACGTGGTCGCTAACACATCTCCCTAAAAAGTTTCCGGAAAGAATATAAATCAGGAAAAGAAAAAATTAAAAAATTACAGGAAGAACATTTATGTGTGGCTCCAATGGCTGAATATGTTGCCAATGAGGTGAATAATGCTCGTCTCTATTTATTTCCCCAATCTTCCTTCCGTTTCTTACAAGTGAAGTAAAAAGTTTGCGCCCTGTTAGGTGGGCGTGAAGTTGTGAAGCAAAAATGTAAATGCCGTTGGAGGGTAACTAAAAGAGGGAATTTATAAGGGATTCCGGAAAGAATTTAATAATTATATTCCGGAAAGAAATGTACGTAATGTTGACATTCCGGAAAAGTAATTATGACTTCCCCTGAAAAAGGAAAATTAAAGGTTTTGATTTTTCCGGAAAAAAGTATTTTAATAATTCTGATTTTTCCGGAAAATAATTATTTATTATTCTGATTTTTATAAGGAATTTAAAATTCTGACTTTTCCGGCAGGAAATATTTGACAATTCTGATTTTTCCTGAAAGAAATATACTTAAGTAATTTTGACAAACAAATATTCCGGAAAATTAATTCAGACTATTCCGGAAATTTTTTGGTAATTCTGATTTTTCTAGAGGGAAGTATTTAATAATTCTGATTTCCCCAAATAAATAATTATTTTGATAAATTATTTCAATTAAAAATTATTTTTTGCCTTTTCGGTACACTCAGAAGGGCAATAGCCCGTAAGTGGCCATGCTTTTTGCATTGGAGGGATGGAGTTTGCATCAGAATATATCAGCCCCAACTCCATTATTCCAGCGTCAAAAGGTCTCAAATGCTTTGTGAAGGTTATTTTAAGTCCAGAACTGTCAGTGTAGCCAGAGAGAAGTGCAGGATTGTTGTAGTGTATTTCCACCATTAAAAAAGGGACGAAGCCAGGACCTCCCAACGGCATTCCTGCTTGTGGGGGAAAGACGACAGGCTTATAAGGGAAGGGGAGTATTGAAAATTTAATTAAAAAAACATTCGCCCCCATTGACCAAGCAGCCAAAACTTTAGAACAACTTTTAGCCTCTGTAGGTTTTGCAGTGGAGCAATCGCCAGCAAAAGGTCTTGTAGGGGTTTGACAATGAAATACTTCAAAATGGTGAACAAACTGTTCATTTCCAGGAGTTATTACTGCTTCATACTATTTATTTTTAAAGTAATTAATATTTAAGTCTGTTTCTTTAACCTTAATTGCGTGATGCTTTGTTTGCTTCAATTCATAGGGCAATTCAATAATACTTTAATTGGGGAAACTAAAAAAATTTTTTTTGTTAAACCTGCAATAATAAGTTGTTGTTTGTGGGGGAATAAGTACAGAATTGGCACGGATTTCTATTGTTTGAAAATTAGTTTGTGGAGGGACCTTTAATATTATAATGAGTTTTGATTTGAAGATTAATAAAAAAAAATCGGAGCGCAGTAGTTTCATCGGGCATCGATACAATTACAAGTCACTTGAGCCTAAAGATTGCCATCCAACCTCCATGTAGCATATTATAATGGCCTGCTACCCTCCATAAAACCTTCGCTATGGAAAGTCTTTTCCTCCTGGCCGGCACGTGTGCAGAGTTTTTTTTAAGAGAAATGACCCAACGGGTGGTTAATTCGAGAGTTGTCCCATCGGGCGGTTTTTTCGCGAGTTGACCCAACGGTCAGCATTTTCCGACTTTCGTCAGTTTTCGGCGCCAGACTTGAACGCTCTATGCCCTCCACAATCTTAACTGCGCTCCATACTCAAGTTATTTATTCATTTTATTATATATATGCCCTATATATTAATCAGAAATTTTAAATAGGTTGTAAAGTACATAAGATAGAGTTTTTCTCTGTTTTCTTTTCCTATTTACAAAAACAATAAAAATGGTCAGTTGATCGCAGTTAATAGAGTGCGATCACTAACTAGTTAGTGATCAGTTGAAAAAGTTCGTTAAGCTAGTCGAATAATTTTTAAAAATTATTTCAAGTTTACAGATAGGAGGGAGGCCTATTGTCTAAAATATTATGAGACACCGATTAAAAAAATCGGAGCGCAGTAGTCTCATCGGACATCGATGCAATTCAATTGCAAGTCACTGTGCCTATGCAGCTAAAAGCTGCCCACCAACCTCCGTATAGCATATTATAATGGCCTGCCACCCTCCATAAAACCTTCGGCAGGAAGGTTATCCTCCTGGCCCTTGCCTACAGCACGTTATTAGCGTTTCCTTTTCCGCCCTTACGTCTGAGTTTTTTTAAAGAGCTCGGCACTAGACTTGTTATGCTCTATGCCCTCGACAATCTTAACTGCGCTCCATATCATGGATATTCAAATATTTATTTATATATATCCTCTATATACTAATCAGAAATTTTTAATAGGTTGTAAAAGTACATATGATAGAGTTTTTCTCTGTTATCTTTTCCTACAATAAAAATGGTCAGTTGATCGCGATAATAGTGAGTGTGTGGACTTTACTAGATCCAAATTAAAATTCATACCTTATCTTCCTTGTTTAATCCAATAGTTAAAAGTTTTGTATATCTCATTTCATAAACCATATCTTTGAGTGATTTTGAATTCTTTTTAGTGCTTACAGCAAGGATGATATTGCTTGTTCCATTCTTTTTAAAAATTTTTTTAAATTTATTTTTGATTGTTTCAAGCTTTAGTTCCTTACAGATCACACTAGTCTATATAGTTTCAAATTACTTTTAACTAGGCCCAATCGAATCTCAATGAGACGTCTCCTCTACATATACAACGTCCATTCCCTTATTTAAGTCCGCTCAAATGTGTGGGATGTGTGTGATGAGACGTGAGATGGGACGTGAGATCTGGGCCCTGATAGCCCCTGAGATAGCCCCTGAGATCTAGGGGGGGTGATAACCTGATAATATAGATAACCTGATAATAATACCCCCTGATAACCGCTAAGATAGCCCACTGAGATCTGGCCCCTCACGTCTTTTTTCGTCACCGGCATAAGTTCGTTTCCGAAGGTGACCTCTTATTAAGTTTCCCTTTCTTCACTATAAAAATTTAATTAGTAAATTTACATCGAATCTAAAGTCTCTTGGATCACACGTTGAAAATTTCCTTTGGAATTGAAAAAATGACTCAACACTAGTCCTGGTATCCAATAAATGACAATCTTGTTTAATATCTTTTTGTAAAACCAAATGTGAATCTAACCAGCCATCCAACTTTAAAATTTTTTAAAATTATTTTAAATTTCCCAATCTACCAATTTTCTACTTTTCATTTGATAAATACAAAAATCACTCCCTTCAAATATTCCATGATCAGAAAATCCAATTAAAACTGCAGAAAGATTACTAGGAGAAAAATAAACGGTAAATTCTACAAGTTGTTCTGTCCAATCAACTGTCCATCTCATTTTTATGGAAGATGATTTGGCTAGTTTTTATTATTAAATTAGAAATAGGGAGAGATTAAAAATAGAAGAGATTCCGGAAATTACGGAAGAAATGGTTTGACTGTTCCGGAAAAATATGAATTTTAATAATTCTGGGGTTTTCCGTGGGGGTGGGGGGGGGGGGGGGGGGAATAATTAATCGGAAAAATTAATTAATAAGATACTGGAAAAAATAATTCCGGAAAAAGATTAATTAATTACTTCTGTGTAGACAAGAAACCGGAAAAAATAATTTCCGGAATTTATTTTCTGTGTTTTATGTGTTTCCGGAGCAGAATAAATTATTTGAGGTTTCCGGAAAAATTTTAAAATTCCGGAAAAAAATAAATTATTGTAAGTTTCCGGAAAAAATACAGTTTAAATAAGGTTTCCGGAATAGAAACTTTTCTACATATGATAGAATAAACTATTTTCCGGAACAGAGTAATTTTTATTAGTTACTAGTTGGCCAAAAAATTATTTTTAAATTACCAAAAGAAGAGTTTATCCAAATTACTTGTTCATAATTATCATAATAATTTTTAAATATTTTATTTTCAGTTGGCCATCTTCCACTGCGCATAAACGCTACCAATAGAATAAAAACAATCAAAAAACAAAGAAATAGGGAGTGCCAGAAAATTAGGGAATTTTTCATTTTTATTTTTTAAATAAAATAAATTTAATTAAAAATATATTATAAAATTAAAAAAAAGTTTCTTTTCTGATTTTGACAGATGTCAACTCCATGTGGTAAAATTTAATTAATTTGTATGACCAAGCAATATTTTTAAAAAAACATTCTGATTTAATATTTAATGTTGAATAATCTGGGAAAAATTATTCTGATAATTTCCGGAATTTTTAAATAATCGTTCTAATAATTCTGGTTTCCGGAAAAAAAATAACTAATAATTCTGACTATTTATATTAATTCTGCTTTTTCCGGAAAAGGATATTTAATGATTCTGGGGGTTCCGGAAAAGTATATCTAGTAATTCTTGAGTTTACGGAAAGGATATTTAATTATTTTGTCATTTCCGGAAAGGATATTTAATAATTCTGATTTTTATGGAAACGTATATCTAATAATTCTTGAGTTTTCGGAAAAGCGTTTAATAATTCTGATTTTTCCGGAAAGAAATATTTAATTTAAACTATTCCGGAAAATATTCTTTACTGAAGTATTCTTAAATTAATTAAATTAATTTATCAATTTAATTTAAATTACCGTATCAGAATTCTAAATTTCATTATCATCCTTTCTCACAAGAAAGTGCTCTTTCACGTGAAAACCCCCATAACTTTTCTCTATCGAAGACCTACCTATAATTTCCCAATAATTGCCCCTTTAATGCCTTACCCAAATGAATCCTGACCAAAACAAAAATTTGTTTAAACAAAATTTTCCAAATAAAATTATTGACAGCCGCCGCCAGACATGCTCTTTCTTCACATTTCTCTCCCTTCCCTCTTTTTATTCTAGTGTATTTAATAACGTAAAACTGTCAGTCAGCGCCATTGATTTAGTTAAAGCTTATTAAATATTTATTACTTTTAGTTTATTTTATGTCTATTTTACGATAATTTCTCCATAAGATAAGCATTTATTAACTAGTTTTTATATAAGAATTTTATTTTATATTTTATTTATGAATTTATTTCCTTGTTTTTTATAGCTTCTGTCAGGCTTTTAAATATTTAATGTGTACTCCAAATTAGACGTCTATGTATCTCTACAGAATAGGAACCTATCCGATCATGTTATACATATTTCTACTAGTGTATCGGTTGACTAGAAAGAAGGAGATCAAGCTAGCCCTACTAGAAAGGGATTAAAGAGTAACCCTAAGTAGACGTTCCTTTCTTCTACAAGGACAGGAATATGTATTTCTACTAGTGTATCGGCTGTCTAGAAGGAAGGAAGATCAAGCTAGCCCTACTAGACAGGGATTAAAGAAGAAAATTATGGAAGAAACGAAACTGATAGCTCAGTCGCTATATCACCTATACGCAGTGAGCGGAAGCTTCCAGTTTCAGACTAACTTCCACTAACTCTCAGTTTCAGAATCCTTTCAAAAATATTATTTTTTTTCAAAATATTCTCAAAATAAAAACAATTCCCTACAAAATAAAAATAGAAAATTTGCCTTGTAAAAAGATTTAAATAATTTTTTTTGTTATGCCTGAGATAAACACTAACTACAAAATTTGTATTCAAGCTACATTTTTTGTGCTTTTGAATTATTAAACTAAAAATATTTTTATAAACTATAACTATATATGATTTTTTTTATTTTTTTTTAATTAAATTTCCAACTCCTTTAAATTCTTTTAAAATTCTCAAAAATTTCTTTTTTCAGCGCTAATTAAAAAATTAAATTTTTTAACTCCCTTACAAATTAATTACTTTTAATACTTAAAAATTAAAAATAAAATAAAATGCATTCACATATGAGCCGTGTTTCTTCTAAACAAGAGCGTATGATGTTAACTGAACATGAAAGTTCACCAACGGGAGGAATATTAGAGCAGGTTAAAATACATAGAAATAAATGAAACCTTAATTAGGGAAATTATGCCTAATTGGAATTTATTACAAAGCTTAGCTGTAATATATAGTGACTCTGGAGGAGTGGCAAACTCGATAGTTTGGCTCTTAAGGGTTGGGAGAGTTAAATAAAAGATTTGTTCTATTTAAGAGTTGTGAGTCCTAGAGGCTCTGAGAGAGGGTAAGTGGCTCGGTCAACCTCTTGGTTAAGCACTAGGCTGATTGAATCCACAAGGACCTAATTGACGACTCCACACCTGATTGACGACTAACTCCCAAATTATTTGGCAAACTCGATATTTTGGCTTAGAGGGGTGGGATAGTTAAATAGGAGATCTGGGGCCAACGCAAATTAAGGAGACAATCGACAAACGACAGATATATTTTTCACGTTTATCGTTCGGATACGTCGTTTGTCGAATACCTCGAACGCAAATTAATATCTTTATCGTTTGTCGTTTATCGTCTCTATTATATCGATTGTCGTCGAGATTTGTCGTTTATCGTTCGAAATTAGTCGTTTGTCGTTTGAAACGATAATTTATTATGGTAACAAGTGAAAAACTACGGTAGTTGAACGACAAATTTAGTGGATGCTCAATCCCGTCCCCCAAATTTATCGTTTGAAATTTTAAAAATTTTTAAAAAATCCAAACTCAACCTAAAAATTCCAACTAAAATATTTTTAGATAGAAGAGAATGTGCTCTATCTTTTGATATAAGTTTCAGAAATTTTTCTTTAAAAATAAATTTACTAGAGGCTCTCGCGTAAGGTACATCTATTTTTGAGAGAAATAGGGACTCATCCTCTCAAATAGGACTTTAATTTCTGATTAAGCGTCTTATAAATTTTATATCTATTAGGAAAGAAAAGCTAAAATTCTGATTTTTACTTATATTATGTAAAACAATCTCCTCTATCTAATGGTATAAAAATTGGAGGGATTAAGTGGATATCTGTGGATTAAAAGGGATATTGGTGGATTTGGAGGGATATCGACTGCGAATCTTAGATTTTTTGGCACCATTCGATAGAAGATCCCAGACTTCCTATTGCAAAGTGATGTTCGTTTTCTTGCAAAACGACTTTGGGCCAAGTTATGGCCAGTTAAAGTTTCAGTCCTCGGGTGTGTTTGAGTACAAGGAAAAGAGGGAAAAGGAGTGAGATATCTAGTTTTTTCACTCACTCTGTTTGCTTTACATTTTCTTACAAAGTTGAGAAAAGAATACTTGAGGCACGAGAGATTAAAAAGAATAGAGAAGAAATTCTTCTATTATATCGTTTGTCTCCTTAATTTGTATTGGAGGTAAACGCTAAACGACAATTGACAATTGATAAACGATAATTTCCATAATATCGTCAGCTGATATATTCAGACGACAAACGATATATTTCAGACGATAAACGATATATTTGTAATATATCTATCGTTTGTCGATTGTCTCCTTAATTTGCGTTGGCCCCTGTTCTATTTAAGAAGTGGGAGAATAATTGTGAGTCCCAGAGGCTCTGAGAGATGAGAGAGAGGGGTTTTAAGGGTTAATAGCCCGGCCAACTGCTTGATTAGGCACTAGGCGTAACAAGGATTAATGCATAGCTCCACACTCGATTCAAGACAAACTCCCATATTAACTGACCAATTTTTAGCTAAGTCCAATGTCAATTCCACTGACTGTTCCAACTCCTTTGGATATTTCAACCTCATTGTCCTCTTTGGAGTCGTCTCTTCCTCACCATCACTTCTCTACAAACCCACCACCCCAACCGCAGTATTTTAATCAACCCTACAACTCAAAAACAAGCTTCGGAAATAACCCAACAATGTGGACAACAAACGTTGACGGAGGCCAGCAGCGACGGGATTCACAATACCGATTTGGAATGGGTGAAAATGGAGTTGAGAGAGGAGGAGGATTTGGACGAGGAGGAAATGAAGTAAAGAATTTTGATGTAAAATTTCAAAAAATTTTCTCCAAAATCTTTTACCTACTTTACCTTATTTTACTCTTTAAGCCTTTCAACTACTGGAGCTTTGTCCCCAATGATTCTTACATGGACACCGGAGTGGGAAGCACTGGTGGAGGAGGAATTGAAGAGGGAATACAAGGAAGTTATCCTCCACCAGGAACTTCTCATGGATATTCCGATTGGATCGCCAATTCTTCCACCGCCGCTAAAGCAGGAGTAAGCAAAATTCTGAGTTTTCCGGAAAATAAATAAATGTTTTAGGCCTCTCAGTGTTGTGTTTGTCGGGCCTGAGCCAGGGACTCAGGCTGCTGCCACAAATTTTATTCAAAATGCCAACAACTTTGATTACTCTCCCCCACACCAAAACCCTCCTCAATATGCCCAACAACAAAGCGAACAGTGGATTGACGGAAATTTTGAAGAGAACAACACTATCTGGCAACAACAAGAAAATAACGAGCAGCAGCAATATTTTAACTCCGAGGGACACTATCAGAATTATCAGCAACCTTATGGGACATTTACAGGCGAAGAGGAGTATATGGAGGATATGGGGACTAGGTAGATTTTTTAAGTCATAGATTTTGTAATTAGTTTTCTCTCAGTACCATCCCAACAGTCTCTTCAACCTCACCCACAGCTAGCGCCTTCGAGCCTTTGAGTGTATGCTCCTCTGCCTGCACATGGAGTTCCGGGGGAGGAGGGGAATACTCTTCTTCCTCTCAAGACGAAATTTATGAAGAAATCCAACGAGAATGTGCAGAAATTGAACGGAGATCGTTCTCGCGTTCACCACAGGAGAAAGGTTCAGAAAAGCATTCTTCAAAAATTTTGGAAAAATTACCACATACAGAACGCAAAAAGGAATTAAACAGAGTTGCTGCAACTCGTTATAGAGAGAAGAAACGTAAAGAAAGGGAAGAAGCTGTTGGGGAAATGGCTAAATTGGAAAGTAGAAATTTGACATTGAAATCAGAAATAGCTGCAGTTCGGGCAGAAATTAATTATTTGAAAGGGTTGGCAAAGGAAATTGAAACTGTTAGGCGTACTAAGATAATAAGTTGAGGAGAAAATACTATTTTTTGATGTTTGGAGAAACACGTTCCTGTTGTCTTTTATTTTCCGGAAAAATTATTCTGAAGCTTCCGGAAAAATTGGAGAGTTTTGTTTAGATTACTATTAATATTTCCTGTGTTTTCCAGAAAGAAGAACAATTATAAAATTATGTTTTTCCGGAAGGAATTATAGAACTATATTTTTCCGGAACAAAATATAATAGTTTTTCCGGAAAGAATTATAGAACAATATTTTTCCGGAATTAAGTGTATTATTGTTTTTCCGGAAGGAAATATAGAATAATATTTTTCCTGAAAGAAATAGTACATATAAAATTTTTCCGGAAGGAATTATAAAATAATATTTTTCCGGAACGATGTATTAATATTGTTTTTCCGGGTCGAAATAATAATTCTTTTTTTCCGGAAGGAATATTCGTTAATTCTTAAATTTCCGTAACGAAATTAATCCATACATATAAGAATTCTGTTTTCATTAGACATTCATCCGGAAAAGCTTTTTCCACAAATCTTCGATTATCTTTGTCCTTTTTTCCATAACTCATATTTATTTGTTTTTGGCATTTTTAATATTATTTTGATGGCGGCAGCCGTGAATCTCTTCCCTTGTAAAATTTATTAACACTGAGCATCCTCATAATTGTTTAATTAAGGAGAGATAAATATTGAAATTGAATAAAAATTATTATGTATTTTTATGCTAATAAATTACAGACTAAAGGCACCTTAATAATAAAAGAATTAAAAATCCAAGTAAAATTTTGAAATTAAAATCGAGTTATTTTCACATTTATCCATTAGTTTTTCCATCAATTTAATGATATGATTGTCGATGCTGTTGATCAGGTTCATAACTTGGTGGAGGATATTTTCCTCCTCCTTGAGCTTTAGGAAACGGACTTTCGAATACATTAACGGCAACCTAATAAATTGAGAAATTAATTATAAGACTGAAAAATGTTTCCGGAAAATATTTTTCCGGAAGAAATTATAAAATTATTTTTTTCCGGAAAATGTCTCCGGAAAATATTTTCCGGAAGAAATTATAAAATTATGTTTTTCCGGAAAATGTCTCAGGAAAATATTTTCCGGAAGGGATTATAAAATTATGTTTTTCCGGAAAATGTCTCCGGAAAATATTTTCCGGCAGGAATTATAAAATTATTTTTCCGGAAAACGTATCCGGAAAAAAACTTCCGGAAGGAATTATAAAATTATGATTTTCCGGAAAATGTTTCCGGAAAATATTTTTCCGGAAAGAAATTTAATTTAATTACCGGTCCACCAAACGGATTCATCGAAATCTTCTTTTCATTCTCCCTAGCACTATCAGTCGAGTATTTTTTGTTTGGCTGTTGAATGCTCGATACTTTATGTGGAGTTGTAACCTTATCTTTCTTTATCTTTTCGTTAACTTTAACAGCCGTTTTCTCAGTTAAGAAAGTAATAAGTTGAATCAAGCTTAGAGCTGATAGACCTAACCAAACACCTATAGACCCTCCAATACTAGAGATGAACGACCACAAGGTATAAACATATTTTTGTTCCAAATTCATATATTCAAAAGCACCCCAAATCAGATTAACGTCGGTAATGGCTGGGAATATATAAATTTTAAAATTAAATATTTTAAAGACAAGGGAGAAATGAGTAAATTGGAAAGCTTTGAGGAGAGCCTAAAACCGATAGGTTTAGACCTTTAAGACGAGGTCTAAAGACTACCTTTCTTCATTCTTTCCATCTCTCCTTGTCTCCCTTGTCTGTTAGGCACAGCAAAAAATTGGGCACCCCTACACCATCCTTGGATATGGCTCCAGTTTAAGGCGAATCTCTCTCATTCTAGCATGAGTATATTGGAAGGCTCTTAGGAGAGCCTAAGACTGATAGCGGGTTCACTCTTGGTTCCCTCTCTATACGAAAATTCTCTCCCTACTCCTTCCTTCATGTGCTTGAATATGGATGAGATGAATGATCTTTCGATGATCTCTTCTTTTCTGATCTTTTCCACTATCCTCAAGATACTTTAAAAAATTACCAGGATTAGTGGATCTTCCCATAGGTGTGTTCTGAACTAAATAACGAATCTGCACACAATGTGGGAGGCATTCCTTTGCACAGGTTTTTTCGTTAGTATTTGTCACACTGAAATTTTTTTACATTTTCCGTTATTCTAATATCGTTTAACTTGTCCGGAAGTTGACACTGTTCGTAATCACAAGCAGGGTATCTTACAAATTCCTTCTCATCTGCAACAAGATATTGGAGTGTTGATGGGGTGCATTTACAATAACTCTAAAATATATTTTTAAATATACTGCAATCAGATACGGATTTATACCATAAGATACACCCTTGCGGGGAACTTGAATCTTATATTGAGGGTAAGCCCATGTTTACCCCTTCAGTATTCCTTCTACCCAAGTCAGCTGATCTACCCAATGGAAAGCAACCCGTAAATCCCCTAAAAGTGTCCTAGATCAAGATTCAAGTTCTGATACTTGGTCAAGTACAGAATGAGTTTAGCAAGTCATATACAGGAGCTCGACCACTGAGCTATCGGGGCATCGAATAATGCTTTCTCTTTTATCTTCTAGATCGCTAGGTGAATCATCCTTACAGTACTGACAGTACTGATAATATGTATATCGTCCTTTATATCCCTCACCCTGTCGGTACTAACAAGTGTTTAATTAATAACGAGAATTACCCTAATCATCTGCATCCTGCAACGACTTCTACATTCAAATTCGTTAACTTCAGCATCGTCAACATCATCATAATTTCTGCAAGCGGTTGCTTCATCATCATTTTCGAGCATTATGTAATGCCCACGTATCTCTACTTTAGTTTCGTGTACACGCCCAAGACATAGCTTTAAAAGGCAGAAATTTTAGGGACTTAGGCCCATGTTTACCCCTTCAGTAGTTCCATCCTTAGAACGTCCCTTTCCCTCCATATGCTTGGCCATAGTAGTAGGACGTCCATGAAGATCAAGGGACATACACTCTTCTGCTTGTTTACTATCATTTAAGGCACTAGGGTTGTGTACCAACTCCATTTGGAAGAATTTGCCCTTTAAAATAATTCTGTATAAATTACCTATATTTTGATGGAACTCTATTGAGCCTTTAAACATCTTACTGAATTTTTTTAAATAATTTCTATATTGGACAGGGTTTCTGTTTAAGAAGCACCATTTCCTAGTAGGGGTGTCTTTTCGGAACAGAACCAAAGAAGTTCATGGATACACCTTAACTGAGTCCCGGACCCTATAACTTATGAAGGGGTGTCATCTTTTTTGTTCTTAGCACCAATTGATAGAGCACGGGACTCAGTTTACTCGGGATGAACTGCTCCGGTTTTTCGAGTCAGTTTCGGATATCTGAAAATATTCCATTAACCGGATCCTCAAAAATAAGTTAACATGGTTAATAACCAAAATTTATTAAGGCCAAAAAATTAGCGTTTATTAAAAAGTATTTTTTTGCTACTTGATCTTCAATAGGTTTGAAACTCTCCGCATTAGGAAACAGAGGTTGGAAACATAGTTGTTTGTTGGACAGCCAAGAAATGTGAACTAATGTAGTAAAATTGTCAGAATCATTAAAGCCTGTTCTCATAAAATAGTTTTTTGACTTTTCTAGCGTTTCAATTCCAACTTTCTGAGTAAAATCTTTAAATGAAACTTTGCGTTCGGCAATTGCAGCTAGCCATTTCTATAAAATTTTTAATAGAAGGGAGTTGGGGATTTTTTATTTTAGGTTAGTACTCCTTTTGATATTAATAAGGGTTATACTTCGAAGGATCGAAGGAAGCTATATTTATCGGGTTACAGGATTCTCTAGTTGTTTCGGGCCTGGGTTCTGGTCGGGTGAGGAAGATAAGCTCATCGATTCACGATCAAAGGCTATTATGTCGGGCTACGGGTCTCTCTAGTCGGGCCAGGGTTCGGGTCGTATGAGGGAGATATGCATATAGATTCTTATCGGGATCAGGGATGGGAGTGTTACCCCAAACCCTGACTTTTCCAATCTCTCTGATCGGGATCAGGGGTGGGCGGGTATTCGCGTTTTTAGAGATTGTCTCCCCACCCCTGATCGGGATGCAGGGTTTCCAAATTTTGCGGGGATTCTCTAGTTGTTGTGATGAAGAATCCTTCCAACATGAAGAATCCTTCCAGAACGGGGGTCGGCGTTGTAACTCTAATTTAAATTATTCAAACACATACTTTAACTAAGGTTCGCAATCCTTGATGTTTCGGATTGCTTTGGAACGCTTTAATATCAGCCAAAGATTGTGAATCAATCTTTTCTCGTTCTAGCGAGTTTAGTGTTGCTATTGCCTTTATAAAAATTTTTTGAATTTCAAAAACATTTCTTTTATCTACCTCATAAGCACTCATAATGAGTTCTTGGGGCCACCCACTTGAATTCATAAAAGAGTCATGATTTGGCATCTTGGCAAGTATTTGCTTGAATTTGAGAATTTTTTTAAAAGTTTTTTCTCCTTAAAAACCTCAACTTCAGGGCTCCAATCTCTGTTTGAAGTCGGTAAAGTAGAATTGCTGCTAAAATTCCCAAAATTGCTGCTAAAATTGCCAGAATCGCTAGAATCCCCAAAATTGCCAAAATGGCTCCATGCTTGTCTTTTACTCATACAAAATGTAATATTTGGAAAAATTATTGTACGGTTGAATTGCATTGACATATCAGCACGTTTGGGGAATCCCAAATATTCAGCAGTCTAATTTTTATTTTTTTTAAAAGATTTTTAATTTAATTTTGAGGGAAAAGGGAAGGGGAGATTAAGAGAATACCGTCAGGAATTACACACTATCTCGCTTTTGTCTGACTAGAATCCGGAAAAAATCGGAAACCTTATTATAAAATGAGTTATGAATATTCCAGAAAATATTTCCGGAAAATATTTCCGGAAAATAGACATAGACATTTCCAGAAAATAGACATTTCAAAATAGACATTTCCGGAAAATAGACATAGACATTTCCGGAAAATAGACATTTCCGGAAAATAGACAGAGAGTGAAAGAAAATTCCGGAAAAAAACATAAGAGGAGAAATGAATTCCGGAACAGACAAATTTTATTAATGCGAATGAAATCAGGATAAATATCTAGTGAAGCTTAATGAATAAAAAGGCTATAAAATTAGTTCCAAAATTTTTAAATATTTTTTTTACCAAATTAGTAGTCTCATAAATAGTCATTCCTGCCAGAAACACAATTAAAAAATAAAAGGCCCAGCGTCTAAACTTTTTAGAATAAACAATACTGTAGACTTGGTGAGTTCTGTCGACCATTATTTCTCTTAATATTAAATTGAGTCAAAAAATTTTTTTTGTAATTTTAAAGGAATTTTTTGTGAAGGTAAAAATAAATTTTAAAATTTTAATAGTGTCTAACAGCCATTCCGGAAACAAAAATAAAAAGAAATTCCGGAAAAGTTAGACAGGTATAACTAAACAAGTAAAGCTTTCCGGAAGCTTATATTTTCCGGAAACTTAATAGGTATATTGCTTAAAAATATGTGCTGCATAAATATTGTATTTTCTTGAATAACTACTCAAGGCAATTACTGGAGGGAGTAATTAATCTAGAGAGGGAAATTATTCTAATTTCGAAATTCAAGCGTGTGGTAAGGGATTAGGATTTGATACGGTGTAATTAATTGAGGGAGGGCAATTATTATAATTGTGAAATTTAAACGTGTGGTAGGGCATTTGATTGGGTGTAATTATTTGAGGGAGAGCAATTAAAACGAGTTATAAGGCATTTAAAAAAATTAAAATATAGGTAATTAAAAAGTTTTCATTATTTTTCCTTCTGTTTTTATTAAAATAAAATTTTTTTATTTTTTTAATTAATCGAAGAAAAGTGAAAGAAAGTTTGGGTAAATTAAATAAATGAACACTTTATTTAGTTGTAAATCAAAAAACCAGTAAAAGAAGTGCGCCTCTTTATTTATTTTTTAGGTTCAAGGCGAGATCGACAAGTTTAAGGTTGGGTAGTTTTAACCGAATGACCTAATGATTTACTGTGGGGAATTTAATTAAAAGGCAAAAATTGAAAGGAAATGTCAAAAATCGAATTTAATGACTTTTAATCAAAATATTTGATTTTATGAACCTTTTAATATTTTATTTTCTATACTTTAAATATTTTAAATCATAGTATTTTGAATAAATATGTGGTTTTTCAGTCTATTTTAAGCATAACGTGTGTCTTCTAACTATAGCATAAACATTCCGGAAACAGTATTAAATAAAATTCCGGAAATGCATAATTTTCTTATTTCCGGAATGAATTTAAGTATTCCGGTTAAGTTTACTAGTTAGTAATTTAAGTGTATTATAATATATAATTCCGGAAAGGTTAACATATAATTCCGGAAAATATTTTATACTACCGGAAACAATTCCGGAAACTTTTTAATATTTCCGGCAAAAATCTAAGTGTATATTATATTATTCCGGAAAGTTTAATATATTAATTCCGGTAAATAATTGTATTATTAAGTATGGTTGAATTTTTCCGGAAACAATTAACACCTAGTGACTGTCCGATAAACTAGCACTATTTCATTCCTGATGTAACTACATTTATTTTTTCACTACTAAATTAATTAAAAATTATTAATTAAAACTTTTTTTACTTTTTATTTATTTCCCCTTTAGATATTTTTAATTAATTTTATTTTAAATTAATTTCTTTTATTTTAGATATTTTTCTTAAAAATTAAATAAATGAACTTTAAATTAATTTAAAAACTACAAAAAATTAATCAAGACAAAAATATACCTATTTATTCACTAAATACCTTTAAATTAAATTTATTTAATTTTTTATATTTTAGACACAAAAAATAAAAAAAATAGGTGTATATTTGTTCTATTAAAATAATTAAATGAAAACGTCACAATAGTAAACAAGTTGAATTATCAACTTAGGGTATTTCTTAAATTAAAATAGGTAAAAGGAAAAAAATTAAAAATTAAATTAAGCGTATAATTAAGAGATAAATACGGAATTTTTTAATTTTTTTAAATTTTAAAGAATGACTTAAATTCTGATTTTATAAAAATATACTGAAGATATACTGAAAATAATATTTCCGGAAAATAATTATTGTAAAACATTTCCGGAAAATACAAGTCTGCAGTTATAAAATATATTAATATCTACAATTAAATTTTTCCGGAAAATACGCTTTCTGTATTTCCGTTTGTATTTTTGAAGTAAAGTTTACTTTTCCGGAATATACATTTTCCGGAAATATAAAAAGGGTTCCGGATTTTCCAAAAATATAAAAGGTGTCCAGGAGTTTCCGGAAATAAAAAAGTTCCCGGATTTTCCGGAAAAATTAAATGTTTCTTGTATTTTCCGGAAATATAAAAGTATTTTCCGGAAAATATAAAAGGTTTCCGGACTTTCCGGAAAAATAAAAGTACTATGTATTAATTAATTATTATTAGTAATGCTGTGAATAATAGCCACAACAATTTAAATACTAATTATTAAGTCACATGACAATAGCGGAAAAATCAAAAGATTTATTTTTATTTTATATTTTAATTATTATTCTGTGTCATGAAAAAATACAAAATTATTTATTTTCTATTTTTAACAAATTAATTTTTAATTTAAAAAAAATATTATAATTACTACTTTAATACATAAAAAAATATTTTTTAAGTAATTAAAAATTTGTTGCATATTTATCTAAAATTTTTTTTCATATTTACATAATAATCAGCTACTTTATTTTTTCCTAAAATGGCATTTTTTTATTAAATTAATAGTTAGTACATATAATTTTTAAGAAAATTTTTTGCTTTATTTTTCCTTTATTCAGAAACAGTTGAGTTTTTATTCTCTTTTTTTATTCTAAAAATTAAAAATATATTGCAAATCTTATTATTAAAAAATATTACATTCAAAGTCATTTTTAGCCTCTTCAGATATCTTTTTTGTTTTATTTTATAATGAGGAATATACCAACTAGAAGGTACCAACTTCAAAAAAGATATCTTAACTTGAAGCAAATCTAATATAGAGGCTGTATTTTATAGTAGAATCAGACTAAGATCTCGGTTTCACCTTCTAGAGGGTTATCCTATGTCTTACTCGGTGTTTCAGCTCAATGATCTTCTTCGGCTCTAGGGTTTCCCTATGCCTTACTCGGTGTTTCAGTTCAAATATCTTCTTCGGCTCTTCTGTCTAAGGGGTTTTTTTTGAAATTCTGGGCCCCAAATAGTCGGATCTCTATTTTATAATGAGAACCGACTTTGAATAACCTAGATATTTTTTTATAATTTTTAATATTTTAATGACGTATATGGCATTAACATTCTTTTAATTACTCCAAATTTATCATAAATAATGAATTATTACATTAATTCTCACAGTAACTAAACAATTTTATTTCTAAATTAGGTACATTTATTTAAACATTGAATACACTAAGTTTCTTATTTCCCAAATAATATAGAAATCGGAACAATTCTTAAATAAAATGTACAATAAAGTGGCCTTCGTATAAAATTTATTTAATTTTTATATGATGAGAAGAAGTTTGCTGAATCCATACCCAGTTTAGAGCCCAGGATGATAGAATATGAGGGAATACTAATTAATTATTGTTGTTAGTCCGGCCGGACAATATTCACCGCTCACTCCTTAAGAGCGATAAGACGGGCGACGACAATTCCTCCGATCGGGCAATAAATATATTAATTCACTTTTATTATTAACTGACTAATAAGCTGACTGATTGACTGACTGATCCCTTTCTTCACTTATTCCTAGGATTATATTGGTTATGGATAGGCGGGGTCGCTGGGAAAGTTTGATTTAATATTTCTCAATCCTATTTCCGCCTTACAGATGAAATAAATGGTTCATTGTGAATTTAATATTTATTCTAAATTTAAGCTAAGCTTAAAAATATATTAATTAATTAAAAAAATATTTTTAATGACTAAAATAGCAACAATAAAGGATTAAAATTTAAAAGCTTAAATGTTCAATAAATAATTAAAATTTATCTTTTAATTAAATTTTGTAGTCTTTAGAGAATGTACCGATTATGAGGTTGATGCATGTATGAATGTACCGACCATTAAAATTTTTTTAAAGAAAACTCTCACGCATTTAAGCTAACAATGACAATATAAATTATAAGACTTTGTTTAATTAAAAATTTTTAAGAAATTATTATTTAAAAAATGGCTTAAATTTATTTCTATTAAGTAGAAGAAATTTTATAATAATTATAAATTCTGACTATTATGTATAAAATCAGAATTTTTAAACACTTCCGTTTTAGGCGTATAAAATAATATTGTATTCATTTCCGGAAGGAATTTTCATAATTTACTTATTATCCGAAAAAATCAGAATATCATTTCTAAAAAATCAGAATTTACATAGATTCAGAATAATATACCTGAGTTATTTATCAATATTCATTTCCGGAAAAAATTTTCAGAATTCTAATAGTTTCCGAAAACATTCTTCCTGAAGGAAATAACTGTCTATATGTAATTCCGGAAATAGATCAGAATTTTAATTCAATTGAGAATTTAATGAATTAAAACATTTTTAACAGAAATCAGAATTTAAATAAACAGAAATAATTAAATGTCGTCTAATAAAACCAGCAATGGTCTATTTGGAATTGAAATTAATCCTGATTTAGGAGCTCCGGTGAGTGGATTAATTTATGAAAATAATTAGAAATAACTAAATATATTCTAACAGCTCTACCAAGCATATGCCAACAACGGCCCAACCTGGCACATTGTTCTCCCAGCATCTCTTCTATTTACTGTATCCCTCTTCGGCATTATCCTCAATTCTTTCGTTGTAATAGTCACAATAGCAACCCCAACATTGCGCGGATCAGCCAATTATTTAATGGCTTTAATTTGTTTTTGTGAGGTTTTACATGCTTCTGGACATTCTATATTTTTTGTTATTGCTGTTTCTGGAAAGAATTTTGTTCCTTTATTGGCTGCTAATTTGTTAATGATTGTAAGTGTTAAAAGAATAAAGTCTACATATACCGGAAGAAATTATATTTCCGGAAAAAATCAGAATTTATATTTTCCGAAAAGTGAATACTATTCGTGGAAACATTTATTAAGTTTCCGGAATTTTCGTTTTAAATTTTCCGGATCTAGAATATATTTTTCCGGACATTTTCCGGAACTATAATACAACATAAAAATTATTCCGGAAACATTTATAATTTTCCGGAAACATTTATAATTTTCCGGAAACATTTATAATTATTCCGGAAACATTTATAATTATTCCGGAAACATTTATAATTTTCCGGAAACATTTATAATTATTCCGGAAACATTTATAATTTTCCGGAAACATTTATAATTTTCCGGAAACATTTATAATTATTCCGGAAACATTTATAATTATTCCGGAAACATTTATAATTTTCCGGAAACATTTATAATTATTCCGGAAACATTTATAATTATTCCGGAAACATTTATAATTTTCCGGAAACATTTATAATTTTCCGGAAACATTTATAATTATTCCGGAAACATTTATAATTTTCCGGAAAATAAAATTATATTTATAATTATTTAAGCATATGCTTTTCGCTATAAATATGACTATTGCTTTAATGCTTAGTGCTGCTGCAGACAGACTTTTTGCTGTTGCCGCGCCTTTACTGTAATTTTAAAATTAAAAAATAAAATTTATTTTTATTTAGACATAAAAACTTATGTCTAAGCCATAAAAAGACTTATCTCGGCATTCACACTTTTGCTTGTTCACTGTATGGTTTTTATGGTCTTTACTATATCACTGCATATTCAATTAAAAATCCGAATATGTAAAAATTAAATTTAATTTATTCAAAAATAAATTTTATTAGCCCCACAACTGGATGTCTTAGCGAAATTCTTGCTGGAGATGTTGGAACTGAATATCTTATTTACTGTGCAATTTTTAATTCGTTAACTGCACTGTGTTATATTTTAATTTGGGTGATTATAAGATGCACTAAAGGTGGTGAGAAAATTAAGTTTATTAAATAAAATCAGAATTTATATTTTTGGAACGAACAGAATTTTATTTCAGAAGAATAGAGAATTCCGGAAAATTGATATTTATTTTCCGGAAAAATAGAACAAACAAATATTAGATGTTTCCGGAAAAAATAATACATATATATTTTTCGGAAAGAATAAAATTTTAAAATTCCGGAAATGATATTTATTTTCCGGAAAAATAGAATGGAGAATTCCAGAAACTTGTCATATTTCCGGAAAGAAAAATAAGGTTTCTTTCCAAAAAGAGCATAATTTATTTTAAAAAGAATAGTAACTTCCGGAAATGGATATTTATTTTCCGGAATAATATAGTAGACAAGCAAATACCTATAAAATATACATATTCCGGAAGAACAAACTTGCTTCATTTTCCGGAAAAATAAATATACTTATTTTAGTTAGCCAAGAAACAAATACTCGATTACTACGCTCCCTTGTCTGTATTATGGTTATCTCCATTGGTGGATATATTATAAATCTTTCAGTATATCAAGCATTCTTCAAACTCATTCAAGAACAAATATTTAGTCAAATTCTTCTCTGGCAACTTAGCTTCATCCCCGGAATTTTATTAAATCTTGGGGCTGCTTCAAATGCTTTAATTCTTTATTCTACCAGGTTTTTGAGAAAATAAAAATAAATTTTTAAAAAATGTTTTCAGCAAAGAATACCACAAATCAATGAAGCAATATTTGTTTAACTTGGCTATTCATTGTGGATTTAAAAAAATAAATCAAGTTACTGCAGTGGCTCCAATAATCCCTAGTACAATTAAAAGCAGCAACAAGAAAAATATTTATTAGAAGATCAGAATTATTTTTTAATTTTTTTTTAATTTATTAATTTTGAGGCGGAGACATCCTAGAAGTGGGAGGAGTCGAATAATATATTTATATGATTATCGAAGCATATTTAAATTACGAATCCAATATATACGCTTCGTTTATAAGAGCATTTTTTATTAGTAAAAGATCAGAATTTTTGTTCCCGGAAAAAGTTCTACTTGTCACAAAAATCAGAATTTATTAGCTGGAATAACTCTTTCCGGAAAGAAATATTTATTTAAGAATTATTTCCGGAAAGGTATTATATTAAGCATTAATTCCGGAAAAGTTTCTAGCTTATAAACTTAAGTTTGCAATCTGAGTTTCCTAGTTTATTCTCTTTTATTATTAGTCATATTTCCGGAAAAGTACTATTCCTGAAACAATTATTAATTTTCCGGAATTTTTGTTTTAATTTTTCCGGATCTACAATATATTTTCCTGACTTTTTCCGTAACTGTAATACAACATAATATTATTCCGGAAAGATTTATAATCTTACGGATTTATTTTATATTTTCCGGATCCACAATATATTTTTCCGGAATTTTTCCGGAACTATAATACAACATAATATTATTCCGGAAACATTTATAATTTTCCGGAAAATAAAATTATATTTATAATTATTTAAGCATATGCTTTTCGCTATAAACATGACTATAGCTTTAATGCTCAGTGCTGCTGCTGACAGACTTTTTGCTGTTGCTATTCCATATTTGTATACTTGAAATTTAATTAATTTTAAATAAATTTCTTAAATTAAGACACAAATCAATCTGTATAGAACATAAAAAGGCTTATCTGGGCATTCACACATTTGCTTGTTCACTGTATGGTTTTTATGGTCTTTACTATATCACTGCATATTCAATTAAAAATGCTAATATGTAAAAATTAAATTTAATTTATTCAAAAATAAATTTTATTAGCCCCACAACGGGATGTCTTAGCGAAATCCTTATTGGAGCTGTCGGAACTGAATATTTTATTCACTGTGCAATTTTTAATTCGTTAACTGCACTGTGTTATATTTTAATTTGGGTGATTATAAGATGCACTAAAGGTGGTGAGAAAATTAAGTTTATTAAATAATGTCAGAATTCATAATTTAGAACGATCAGAATTTTATTTCAGAAGAATAGAAAATTCCGGAAAACTTGATATTCATGTATTTTCCGGAATTTTCCGGAAACTGATATTTATTTTCCGGAATTTTCCGGAAACTGATATTTATTTTCCGGAATTTTCCGGAAACTGATATTTATTTTCCGGAATTTTCCGGAAACTGATATTTATCTTCCGGAATTTTCCGGAAAAATATAACAAATATTAAATGTTCCCGGAAGAAATAATATACATAGTATATTTTCCGGAAAGAATAAAATTTTAAAATTCCGGAAAAGATATTTATTTTCCGGAAAAATATAACAAGCAACTTCGAGATACTTCCGGAAAAGAAAAATTAGATATCTTTCCGGAAAGAGCAGAATTTATTTTTAAAAGAATAGTAAATTCCGGAAATGTATATTTATTTTCCGGAATGAATAGACAAGCAAATATGAAATAATGTATATTCCGGAAGCACAAAATTTCTTCATTTTCCGGAATAAATAGTATACCAATTTTAGTCTCTGAAGAAACAAATACTCGATTACTACGCTCCCTTGTCTGTATTATGGTTATCTCCATTGGTGGATATATCATAAATCTTTCAGTATATCAAGCATTCTTCAAACTTATCGAAGAACAAGTATTCAGTCAAATTTTTCTCTGGCAACTTAGCTTCATCCCCGGAATTTTATTAAATCTTGGGGCTGCTTCAAATGCTTTAATTCTTTATTTTACCAGGTTTTTGAGAAAATCAAAATAAATTTTTCAAAAATATTTTCAGCAAGGAATACCACAAATCAATGAAGCAATATTTGTTTAACTTGGCTATTCATTGTGGATTTAAAGGAATAAATCCAGTTACTGCAGTGGCTCCAATAATCCCTAGTACAATTAAAAGCAGCAACAAGAAAAATATTTATTAGAGAATCAGAATATTTTTTTTATTTTTAAATTTATTAATTTTGGGGCGGAGACATCCTAGAAGTGGGAGGAGTCAATTAAACTATATTTATATGTTTATCCAAGCATATTTAAATTACGAATCCAATATATACGCTTCGTTTATAAGAGCATTTTTTATTAGTAAAAGATCAGAATTTTTGTTCCCGGAAAAAGTTCTACTTGTCACAAAAATCAGAATTTATTTGTTAAAATAATTCTTTCCGGAAAGGTATTATATTACTCATTAATTCCGGAAAACTTTCTAGCTTAAAACTTTCTTACTTTCTAGCTGTCTTTCCTTGTTTATTCTCTATTACTATTAATCATATTTCCGGAAGAGTATAATATTATTATCTAATTAATTCCGGAAAGTTAATATATTATTCCGGAATTTAATTATATAATACCTACTGAATTCCGGAAAAGAATTATATTAAGCACTAATTTTTCTAGATTTGCAACTTGAGTTTTGAGTTTTGCTGTTTATTCTATCTTATGTATGATTTCATAATTGTTCTATTTTTCATAAATGTTTTATTTTGCAGAAAATAATAAAATTTATTTGGATTTTTTTATTTATTATTTTTAAAATTCTTTAATTTATGTACTAAATCTATTTTCTTTCGTTATATTTACTATTTTCTGAATAATTTTTTTTATTTAATAAACATGCAATTTTATCATGCAATTTTAAAATATCACAAATTTATATAAAATCCAGAAAATTTATTTGATTCTATTTATCTAAGCTAAACGCTATTTAACGTAACGAGAATAATTTTTTAATTTTTTTCAACGTTAAGGGAAAATTAAAAGTTTAAAAATTAAATGTTTAAAATTTTTCTGGGAACAGAACTATATATAGGTGAATTTAATATGTAAATTAAAGATGTGAGAATGTTGTTTGTCCATACAGACAGACTTCTCTGACTATAGTAGTGGCAAATATTGAACTTAACTTTTTCCTTTCCCATAAAATCAACAAAAAATTATCCCAAAAAATTTCCCAAAATTTCCCCAGAATTTTTCCCAGAATTTCTAAATTCTCCCAAAGCTTCGTCACATTTTAATTAATTTTTGGAATGTTCACAACTTAAAAAAGCACTTTCCTTTTTCAATTTTAATTCACCTAGAGCGCCTCGATTCTTGATATTTATGTATTTCCATATTTCCATATATTCCCAAATAACTACATAAATGTGAAATTAAAATTATTTTAACCAAAAATTAAAAATTATAAAATTTTCCCTAAATTTTTTAGAGAATTTTTTGTTCCTTTTTCAATTTTAGTTCACCTCGTGCCACCGTGATTTTGAAATTTCCCTAAATTTTTTAAGACTACTGACAGTATCTAACACGAGTTTCCAATTTTTTCAAAATTTTCCCAAAATTTTACCTAGAATTTTTCCCAGAAATTTCCCTATTCTCCCAGAGCTTCGTCAAATTAATCCGGGGAATTTTCCATATTTTAATAGACAAACTTTTTATTTTTCAATTTTAGTTCGCCTCTTGCCACCTCGCTTTTTGATATTTATTTCCTTTTATTCCCAAATATAGTTGTTCCTTCCGGTATAATGAAACATTAAAAAATAATTTTCGTGTGACTTTACTTATTTTTTATTTATTTTTTACACTACAAAATTAATTTTATATTTATTTCGTACCAAAAACTTCTAATTTAAGTACTCAGAAAAATACAAAATGTATTATAATTAATGCCAAATTATTAAAAAATTTATTTAAAAATTTATTTATAAAATTAAAAATAAGTTTTTCGCCTTATAAATTAATTTTAGAAATAAATTATTAAAAAAATTATGAAAAAAAATTTTTTTAGGTGGAATTAAATCTCTTCTCGTTCTCTTATACACACTTATTCGTTATTAATAGAAAATCAGAATTTTTGTTTCCGGAATTGTTTGATTTTTTTTTATAAAAAATTAGAATTTATTTTTAAATAATCTTTCCGGGAACAAAAAATTATTTAAATATATATTTCCGGAAAGGTATTATTTGTAGTAACCGGTAGAGACTTAAAATCCTAGCTTGTTCTTAATCCTGAACCAAACTGAGAAGTCCTCAGTCTTCAGTTCAGACTCACAAAAGTTACTGTTACTATTAACAATTTTTTTGATATTAAAAAAATTTTTTTTATTCAAAAAAAAATTTTTTTTAATCAAAAATAAAATTAACATTTTTAAATCTATTTTTAATTTTTTTTAAACTCTACTTATTTTATTAAAAAATTTTTTATTAATTTTTAATTTATTACTTAATTTTATTAAATTATTTTTAAGCCTGCTTTTGTAAATTTTCTTCCGTCTAAAATTATGAAATTTGAAAATATAGGCTTGCCAAGGCCAAAAAAGACCAAGATCATTTAAACTACCAAAAATCTTTTTACCGAATTTTACTACTAAAAATAGAAAAAAAAGTAAAATTTTTTTAAATAATTATTTTAGAGTTATTAAAATAATTTCCAACAATTATAAAAATTATAAGCCTTTATTTCCTTTATTTCCTAATTTTTAGAATTAATTTGAGTATTATGTCCCCATTTTTACTAAAATTCTAAAAAAAATTTTAAAATTCTAAAAATAATTTTTGCATATTTATAGAATGTTTTTTAAGCATTTAAACTGCCATTTAACTTTTTTCAACTAAAATAGCAGTAAAAATATACGTAATTAAAATAATAATAGGTATACAAATAAATTTTAATAAATTTTATTTATTTTTCATTTTACTATTTTTATTTAAAAAATTTTTTTTAAAGCTAACTTGACGTAAAAATTTAAATAAAAGTCTCGTAACACTAAAATCCTTATTGAAATCAGTTTTGATATTTTATGGGGACCAGAAAGCCAGAGTTCTTCATTTTGAAAAGGATGACCAAAGCTGGTCATTGAACTCAGTTTTGGGCATAATGAAGTTTCGGTGCTTTCTGAAGTTTCTAAAGACCAGAAAGGCAAATTTTTTCTGGATCTGGAATTTTTTCTGGGCTGAGTCTGGACCAAGGCCTGAGTTTTTCCTGTACACAGAGTCCAGGCACAGGCATTTTTTGACCTTCCTGGGTTTTTCATAAGCTGGGGTTTCGTGGACTACAGGCCCAGGGATATTTAAATCAGTACTTTCTGAAGACCAAAAAGTCAAATTTCTTCTCTAAAAAACTGGCTAATGTTACTCTAAAATTTCTGACGTTACTGATAAATCAAGAAAATATTTTGACCATGATCTGAAAACAGCGGCAAACTCACGGACTCGTGGTCTAGTCATAGTCACTCGATACTCTAAACTAGAGATAGGACTGGGAAGTCCATACGAGAATCGATATCTCGAAAAATTCGGCACTCAATAACCTAGATTCTTGACCGAGATCTCTTCTTGGCTCGATCTATAGTCTACTAAAGCTCAATTAAAATATCAATCTCTATTGTTTAATTTCCCAGAAATTTTTTTTCACACAAATTTTATAATAAAATTTAGGTATTTTAATAATAATTTTTCTACATTATTAAATTTAGCTTTTCAAAAAACTTTTTTAATAATTTAATTTCACTCATTTATTTTACTTAATAATAAAATTCGAGCCAAATTGGTCTCCATTGTTTTTACTATAAAGAAAATTTTTCTTTTATTTAATAATAACTTTTTTTTGGAATTTATTTAATTTAATAAAAGCAACAAAACTAGCACAATAAAAAAATTTTTTAAATTTTTATATTTAATTTACAAAGAAAATTATGTTTCCATTTAATAATTAAATTTGCTTATTCTCAATAATAAATAATTAAAAATTATTTTTAAAAATTTTTGAAGGTATAAAATTAATTTGAGACATTAAATTCATTTAGGAACAGATTAAAAAAATAACTAAAACCTTTAACTAGTGTCAAAAAAATTTTTTTTGTCGTTGTAAGGTAACAACGGAATTTTAGGTATAGGTAGTTTGCATTATCTGCCTTCCGGAAAATTATATTCCTGCAAGAAAATTGTATTTTTTCCGGAAGAGAATTATATTATAGTATTATCCAGAGACTCGGTATTTATTTATAATCAGGTTCCGGAAAAATATTTGGTCCCGGAAAAAATAAATTTTCTTGCAAGAATATAATTTTCCGGAAGGAAAATGAACCTAAAATTGTTATTTTTTCTACGATTTCAAATAATAAATTTATTAAATTTAAAAATATAATATAATTGTAATTAATACTTTTAAAATTAAATTTTAGAAAAATTATTTCGTAATTATAAAAAATATAAAATGGTCGATCATCAAAGCAACAACGGATTATTTGGAATTGAAATCAACTCTAGTTTGGGAACGCCGGTAATTAAATTAATAAAATTTCGGAAGGAAATTTTCCGGAATATAATTCAGAATTATATAAATTGTTTATTTATATCAGAATTATTTTTAAAGGGAAACTTTTCCGGAAAAGTATGTAGAATTTATTTTAATAGACACGCATGGGTATATTACATAATCTTTTCCGGAAAGATATCTTAATAGACACATATAGGTATATACATACTTTTTTCCGGAAGGATATTTTAATAGACACGTACATATAGGTATAATACATACTTTTTTCCGGAAGGATATATTTAATAGACACGCACATATAGGTATATTACATACTTTTTTCCGGAAAGATATTTTCCGGAATAAGATCTTTCTGTTATAAAAAATATGAATTCTATTTCCGGAATCAAAATAGAACCGGAATCTATTATTTTTTAATAACCACTTGTATTTTCATATATACTTCCGAAAAGAAAGTTTCCGGAATTTTGGTAATTTTAATTTAATTTAAATATATTCTAACAGCTCTACCAAGCTTATGCCAACAACGGCCCCACCTGGCACATTGTTCTCCCTGCATCTCTCCTATTTCTTGTAGCCCTCTTCGGCATTATCCTCAATTCTTTCGGTGTAATAGTCACAATAGCAACCCCAACATTGCGCGGATCAGCCAATTATTTAATGGCTTTAATTTGTTTTTGTGAGGTTTTACATGCTTCTGGACATTCTATATTTTTTGTTATTGCTGTTACTGGAAAGAATTTTGTTCCTTTATTTGCTGCTAATTTGTTAATGATTGTAGGGGCTTAATTTTATTAATCATCCATTAAAATCTTCTAGCCTTCAATTTTCGCTCTATGTTCTTGTATGCCTTTAATGCTTTCCGCCGCTGCTGACAGGCTTTTTGCTGTAGCCATTCCACATTTGTACTTGAAATATTTTTAATTTTAAACTAATTTTCTTAAACAAATTAAGACACAAATCCATCTGTATAGAACATAAACGGGCATATCTTGGGGTACATACGGTATTCTGTGCTCTATGTGGTGTTTATGGCCTTTATTTTATCACAGCTTTTTCAATACAAAATCCGAATATGTAAGAAAAATATAAAAAATATTCACGTATAAATTAAGACCGATAACTTCCTGTATTGCTGATATTCTTGCTGGAGATGTAGGAATTCAATATTTTATTTATAGCGCAGTTTTTAATTCATTAACTGCTTTGTGTTATATTTTAATATGGGTGATAATACGATGTAATAAAGGAGGTAATAATTAAACAAATTTCTGAATTAATAGGAATTGATGAATTATAATCCTGAAAAGATTTACGGAAAATTTAATTCTACCAGGTATATAGTATTTTCATGTTGCTTGTAAAATATTCCGGAACCACTCAAATATATTACGGTTACTTAAAACTTAAGTTTTCAGTTAATTTAATTTTATAATCCGGAAAAAATAAAAATATGTAAGTGAATATTCCGGAAAACTTAAGTTTTTCCATAAAACATATATTCCGGAAAACTTAAGTTTTTCCATAAAACATATATTCCGGAAAACTTAAGGTTTTCAGGAATAACGGAAATTCCGGAAAACTTAAGGTTTCAGGAAAGTTAATTTTATAGTCCAGAAAAAATATAAATTGTATTCCGGAAAACTTAAGTTTTGTACACATATACGGTATATTACTTAAGTCTTCTAGTAAATAAAGTCTTAAGTTTCCGGAAAAAACTTAAGTTCCGGTTAAGTAAACTTAGGGTAAACTTAAGTTTTTTAACTCGGTAAACTTAAGTTTCCGGAAAATTTCAGTCTTAAGAATAATTAAACTAATTATTATAAGATTCTTGTTAATATGTTTATTCTCATTCTTTTAGTTTCTGAAGAAACAAATACTCGATTACTACGTTCCCTTGTCTGTATTATGGTTATCTCCATTGGCGGTTATATCATAAATCTTTCAGTATATCAAGCGTTCTTCAAACTTATCGAAGAACAAATATTCAGTCAAATTATTCTCTGGCAACTTAGCTTCATCCCCGGAATTTTATTAAATCTTGGGGCTGCTTCAAATGCTTTAATTCTTTATTTTACTAGGTTTTCTGAAATAATTTTTTTATCATTTTAATTTTCATTTTAGTTCTGAATACAGAAAAACGTTTAAACACCATTTAAAAAACGTGGCTAAAGCTTGCGGATTAAAAGGCACAAATACAGTAACTATGATGGGTCCTATGCTTCATACAAGTAGCTATAAGAACAGCAAGAATGGAAATAATTATTAAACGGATAATGATATAAATATATTTTTTATGGCATTTCTTAATGTATTTATGGACTAAATTTTATTTTTAAATAATTTTTTATTATTAAGAGCTTTAAAATAAATTTAATTATACAAATAATATTTTAATAAGCATGTATTTTTAAATCTTTTTAATTATTATTCAACTTGTAGTTTTTTTCTGTAAGCCTGTAGGCAACATTGGAGACACTTTAGTTACTGAGACCTCAAATCCACAAAATTTAGCCAAATTTGTCATACTCTTTTTAAATGCTTTGCGATACTCGGAACTATAAAAATAATTAAATTTAAAAAATTTTTACAACTAAAAACCTCGTAAAATAAAGCACGATAGCATTGGAAGCAGCGCCAATATTTAATAAAATCCCCGGGATAAAACCAAGTTGCCAAAGTAAAATGGGATCGAATGCATAATTTATAATCAGTATATATATTGCCTGATAAGCTGCAATATTTATTATATATCCTCCAACAGATATAAGCATGATGCAGACTAAGGAACGTAGCAGGCGTGTGTTTGTATTTTGACTAACTAGATTAAGAAATATTACTGTAAAATAAAATTTTCCGGAAAACTATATTCTTAATTTAATTACTAACTTAAGAGAATAAGAATCTTTCCGGAAAACTATGTCCGTTAAACTATACACTTTAGTTTCCGGAAACTGTTCTTAGAATTCCGGAAAACTATGAACTTAAGTTTCCGGAAAACTATGTTCTTAGCTTTCCGGAAAACTATGAACTTAAGTTTCCGGAAAACTATGTTCTTAGCTTTCCGGAAAACTATAAACTTAAGTTTCCGGAAAACTAATTTCCTAGCTTTCCGTAAAAATATACACTTAAGTTTCCGGAAAACTATGTTCTTAGCTTTCCGGAAAACTATAAACTTAAGTTTCCGGAAAACTAATTTCCTAGCTTTTTGTAAAAATATACACTTAAGTTTCCGGAAAACTAATTTCCTAGCTTTACGTAAAACTATAAACTTAAGTTTCCGGAAAACTATGTTCTTAGAATTCCGGAAAACTATGAACTTAAGTTTCCGGAAAACTAATTTCCTAGCTTTACGTAAAACTATAAACTTAAGTTTCCGGAAAACTATGTTCTTAGAATTCCGGAAAACTATGAACTTAAGTTTCCGGAAAACTATGTTCTTAGAATTCCGGAAAACTATGAACTTAAGTTTCCGGAAAACTATGTTCTTAGAATTCCGGAAAACTATGAACTTAAGTTTCCGGAAAACTATGTTCTTAGAATTCCGGAAAACTATACACTTAAGTTTCCGGAAAACTTAAGTTAACTTAAATTAAACTTAAACCTTAAAACTTAAGTTTTAAGTTTGCGGAATAATACTGAAGTCTATCCGGAATATTATCAAGAAAACTTAGGCTATTCAAGTAAATTACGTTTTCCGGAAACCTTTTCTCGATTATACTTTCTAAATTAATAATCTAAATATTCCGGTAATTCTTAATTTTCTTTAATTATTTTACCTCCTTTATTGCACCGTATAATTATCCAAATTAAAATATAACACAGTGCAGTTAGTGAATTAAGAATTGTACAATAAATTAAATTTTCAATTCCAACTGTCGATGACGAAATTGAAGAATTAAAGATTTAAAGATTTTAAATATTTTTTATATTTTTGTGGAATTTTATTTATTTTTGTGCGGTGACTCAGTGAGTCACTTTTCCTTTTTTGACAATTTTTTATGTACTTTTTGCAATGTACTTTACATTGCATCATTTTTATCATAGAAATTTTTGCCTATAAAAAGTAGGCAGAAATTTCACTTTTCAATGTCTTTTTGAGATATTCATTTTTTATAATATTCTGTGTGAATATTTTTTATTTGAAGATAAAGATTTAGCTGTGTATTTGTGTTAATTTTATTTGTTTATTTATCTAGATTAATTATTTTGTGTGAATAATTAATTTGAGATATTTTCCCTATAAATTAAATAGGAAGGTAAAAAGAAAAATCCTCTCTGAGGAAAAGTATTTTTTACATTTGGTGCCACGGACCCTTACGAAGAGGGGAGAGTGAGATTTAAAAATAAAAGAGAATAAAGAGCTATAGGCTCAGATTATTGAAAGAGCTATATTTTAGAAAGCTCGTTAAATTTTTTAATTGGAAAATAAAATAAATAATTAAATATATAGTTTTTTAAAAAATGTCGGGAACTATACGGCAAGCCATGACGCCGGCCATAACTCGTTTGCGCGAACATTTTGATGAGATTCGCCCAGTTTTAGACGCCCAAGAGCGCACAGCCGAAGGGATAGAAATGTTAAGGACAAGATTAGTCAAAGTTCGACGTATAGTAAATCGTCTTGAAGAAAAAGCCAATCAGTGGCAAGATTATATTCGAGGACTTCCGGTTAATGAAAGACAGGCGGAAGAACAGGTTTTAGCTAACTTTGCTCCATTGGAGCATCATTATGCTGAATGGATAGAAAACGCGCATGAAATAATTGCAGATATTGATATTGTTTTGGCCGAGTCTGAAGACGGCAGTACTCAATCCGATCTTTCAGAGGAATTGGGAGTTGGTCAAAATAGACTGAATCAATCAAGAAGGCCACAAGTTTTTGTAAATGAAGGGCAGACGCCTTTAAATGAGAATTTTGTTCGTAGGAATGAGTATAATATTCCTACACATTTGCCTAGAACTAGATTAGCTGAGTTCTATGGAGATCCTCTTGTTTGGCCAGAATTTTGGCAATCATTTAGTAGGACTGTTGACAGTTTAGAAATTGATCCCGGCCTTAAAGCACATTATTTAATACAGTGCTTGAGAGGAAAGGCCAAGAGAGCGGTTTTGGGTTATCGACCGATAGCCGAACATTATGAACCGCTGAAAGACGCATTAAAAAGGCAGTTCGGCAATGAAAGAGCTATAAGAGATACGCTTCATGCCGAATTGATAAGCCTTCCTGTGGCAAATGAGTCTGTTTATTCCCTTCGTTCATACGTTGAGGAAGTTGAAAGAATTTGTAGATCCCTCACAGCGATGGGAAAAGTCGAAGATGAATCTATAGTTATGATGGCAATTAAAAATAAATTGCCAAAGAATATTATTTTAGAATTATTAAAAAAGGAAAAAGAGACAAAAGAGACTTGGAATGTTGATGAATTAAGAAAAGGTTTAGAAGAGATAGTAACTCTTAGAGAAGAAGTACAAAGGTGTGCTCAAACGTTTTCTAAGAGTGTTAACTATAGTCAACAAAGGTTTGGAAATAATTGGAGTAATAATAGAGGATTTAATCAAAAGCAAGTTAATTTTAGAAAAGAAAATTTTGATCGTGTATTTGCAGTACAATCAGGTGATGATAAGGCCAAAAATAGCAAGAAGTTTGAGATCTTTTGCTATTTTTGTCATGGAAATCATCACGCTGAGAAATGCGAAATAATAAAAGCGATATATCTGAGGACAAAAATTTTGTCAGAGCAAAATCGTTGCTTAATCTGTTTAAGAAAGGGCCATACAGTGGAAAATTGTGTTTCTAGAATAAATTGTAATATTTGTAGAGAACGGCATAATAAATTAATATGTCCGAAATTGTATAAAAATGGAGAAAATAAAAAAGATTTTAGAAAAGGTGAGCAAGTAAATCATCTAGAAACTTCAGAAAAGTTACTTACTATAGTAGAAGAACCAAAAGAGTTTGAAAAAGAAAAGAAAGGACAGATTAAGAAAGATGAAAGTGTTAATCAAATAAATAAAAACATACAAAATAATGAAGATAATGCTGAAGGAAATGTGATTTTAATGAAAGCAGATTTAATGTTAAAAGAAAGAAATAATAAAATAAATGTGAAATGCTTCTTTGATTCAGGAGCAACGGTTAATTTCTTATGTAATGAAATAGTTGAGAAATTAAAATTGAAAAAATTAAAAAAGACAGAATTAGGCGTTGTGCCATTTTTCAGAAAAGAGCCAATAAAGCTGAAAACTTCGTGTTATTCTTTGAAGGTTCTTCTTGATAATGGAAATTTTGAAGAAATAATTGTTTATAGTATAAATAAAAATATGATGCCGAGATTTAAGTGCGCAGATTTAAGAACAAATGAGATTGTTTGCGCAAATATAGTCCCCGATATGCTTATAGGGATGAAGCATTTTTGGAGGTTCTTTAAAAGAATAAAGCCTTTATCCGATTATTTATTCAAAGTTGAAACAATTGTAGGACCAATAATTTGTGGTGAAATTAGCGGTGAAAAATTTAGAAAGTTAAATAAAAAAGAAAATTTATGCACTATATTAAGTTCCAACACTTTGGAAAACGAAGAGCTTAATAATTATTGGTCACTAGAAACAATAGGGGTCAAGGATGATCCTGTTAGTAAAGACGATAAAATCGCTTTAGATTTATTTAATAATTCGATTAAAAGAAAAGAAAATGGAAGCTATGTAGTGAAATGGCCATGGAAAATTGAGAGAGACAGTTTGCCATCTAATTTTTCATTAGCATATAAAAGATTTCTAAATCTCATGGATAAATTAAAGAAAAATCCAGATTTATTAGATAAATATGAGGAAATAATTAATAATGACTTGGAAAGGGGTGTGATTGAAAAGGCTGAAAGGAAGAAAGATGAAATAGAACATTTTCTGCCTCACCACCCAGTTAATAACACAAAAAAGGTGCGAATAGTTTATGATACCTCCGCAAAAATGCGAGAAGGAAAAAGTTTAAATGAATATTTATTGCGAGGGCCAATAATCATGCCAGATATAGCGGGCATATTGATTCGATTTAGAGTGCCAAAAATTGCCATGTGGGCGGATATTGAGAAGGCATTCCATACATTAGAATTAGAAAAAGATAGAGAAGTTACAAAATTTATATGGGTGAAAGATACGAAAAAGCCCATATCAACTCAGAATATTCAATATTTAAGATTTGTAAAAGTTCCCTTTGGGGTAATCTCGAGTCCATTTTTGCTATCAGCGACTGTCAGACATCACTTAGAGAAGTGTGATGATCCAGTTGCAAAAATTGCTAAAGAAAATTCCTATATGGATTATATATTTATTGGAATAGAATCAGCCAATGAAGCTTGGCTTGCATATAAACGATTAAAAGAGATATTTAAAGATGCACAAATGAATTTAAGAGAATTTATTAGTAATAATATAGAACTTAATGAAAAGTTTCCAATCGAAGATAGGCTCGAAGCAGAAAAGACATTTACTCGGAGCAGTAATGGCCTTATGTTTCCTTTCGACAGAGGAAAGGCCTTTGGGGCATCCCTTTGCGGGTATCAAGTATTCGTCATTAAGTTTTTGGCGGGAGGTACACATTCTTCATGTGTAGAAATATTGGTAAATGAAAGAAATTTAATTAACTATTATATGAAATGTTTCTGTGTGGCTGTGCCTGAAAAGTATAAAATACAGATGAAAGAAATTAGAGAAAAGGAAATCGAATTTCCAAGTTTTTAAAGAGAGATAATTTTGGATTGTAAAAAAGAGGAGGAAGGATCTCCTAATGAAAAGACAAAAGAAAGCCAGATAAAGCAATTTCAGGTCATTCGGACTACCTCACAGGACTTCCCCTCATCTCTAATTTCAACTACTGCTCCTACTCTAACAACAAAAAATCTACACCAAAGGCAATCATCAATTCAACAAAAACACAAAAGTCATCCGATAAAACTCAAATGCGGCATACAAATAGAAAGTATTATTCTCATCACACTTTCGGACATACTGCAAATAATTGTCCAATTAAAATCAATGACATCAGCTCCTCATCAAGTCATTGCCCATAACAGAATCTTTTATAAAATCAAGCGCTCTTCAATTATCATCACTTCACTTGCCAGTATGCCGCAACAACAATCAACTCTCTTCTTCAATGCAACCACTGAGAATATGGAGAGATGAGAGGATTTTCTGGCGGGAGTGTCGATGACGAAATTGAAGAATTAAAGATTTAAAGATTTTAAATATTTTTTATATTTTTGTGGAATTTTATTTATTTTTGTGCGGTGACTCAGTGAGTCACTTTTCCTTTTTTGACAATTTTTTATGTACTTTTTGCAATGTACTTTACATTGCATCATTTTTATCATAGAAATTTTTGCCTATAAAAAGTAGGCAGAAATTTCACTTTTCAATGTCTTTTTGAGATATTCATTTTTTATAATATTCTGTGTGAATATTTTTTATTTGAAGATAAAGATTTAGCTGTGTATTTGTGTTAATTTTATTTGTTTATTTATCTAGATTAATTATTTTGTGTGAATAATTAATTTGAGATATTTTCCCTATAAATTAAATAGGAAGGTAAAAAGAAAAATCCTCTCTGAGGAAAAGTATTTTTTACACCAACATCTCCGCTAAAAATATCAGAAAAGCATGCAGTTGTTGGTCTTAACTTTTTACGTGAATATTTTTTTATATTTTTTCTTACATATTCGGATTTTTGATTGAAAAAGCTGTGATGAAATAAAGATTATAAGTACCACATAGAGCACAGAATATTGCATGTACTCCTAGATATGCCCGTTTATGTTCTATACAGATGGATTTGTGTCTTAATTTGTTTAAGAAAATTAGTTTAAAATTAAAGAGATTTCAAGCACAAATGTGGAATGGCTACAGCAAAAAGCCTGTCAGCAGCGGCGGAAAGCATTAAAGGCATACAAGAACATAGAGCGAAAATTGAAGGCTAAAAATAATTTTCGGAGTTAATTGATGAAATTAAGTTTCCTTACAATCATTAACAAATTAGCAGCAAATAAAGGAACAAAATTCTTTCCAGTAACAGCAATAACAAAAAATATAGAATGTCCAGAAGCATGTAAAACCTCACAAAAACAAATTAAAGCCATTAAATAATTGGCTGATCCGCGCAATGTTGGGGTTGCTATTGTGACTATTACAACGAAAGAATTGAGGATAATGCCGAAGAGGGCTACAGTAAATAGAAGAGATGCAGGGAGAACAATGTGCCAGGTGGGGCCGTTGTTGGCATAAGCTTGGTAGAGCTGTTAGAATATATTTAAATTGAATTAAAGTTACCAAAATTCCGGAAACTATCTTTCCGTAAATATAAATGTAAACACAAGTGGTCATTAAAATAATAGATTCCGGTTCTATTTTGATTCCGGAAATAGAATTCTTAGTTTTTATAACAGAAAAAACTTATTCCGGAAAATATCTTTCCGGAAAAAATATGTAATATACCTTTATGTGCGTGTCTCTTAAATATATCTTTCCGGAAAAAATTTGTAATATATGTTTATGTGTCTATTAAAATATCTTTCCGGAAAAATATGTAATATATTAATATAGATATGTCTATTAAAATAAATGTGGACTTTTCCGGAAAATTTTCCCTTTAAAAATAATTCTGAACTACTTACAGGCCCAGTGATCGGAGTAATTAAATTTGGATTTATTTCAATCCCAAAAAGACTGCCGTTGCTCGTTTGATTACCTTGCATTAGTTTGAGATACTTTATTTTTATAAGTAAGAATAAACGGAGGGTTTAGCTTTGTTAATATTTTTTTAAATTAAAATTTTTTGCTTGAATAAATTTTAAAGTTACGTTTTTATTTGTACTTAAATTTTAAAATTTTTTAATTTTTAAAATTAATTCAAAATTATAACATTTCTAAGAAATGAAAGAAAAATGCACGCAAAAAATGAAAATAATTGAGTGGTTTACGCTACAAAATTTAAATAACTCAAAGTTAAATAAACATTTTTTAAATTGAAGTGAATTATTATTGATAGCGGAAATATATCCGTAAAGTGATAACAAGTTAAATATCATCCATGTCTTTTAAGCTGATTTGTGTGAGTCATAAAATTGAGATAAATCAAAAGTGGCTAGAAGATGGAAGGAAGAAAAAGATCCAGCTGGCTAGCATTTAAAACGCTCACTAGGCGGGGGTTTAAGATCTATTAAAAGAGAAGGTGAAAGTTCAGTTGGTAGAGCACCTTTACGTGGTGAGCGAAAGCGCCTAGCAATACATAACTGCCAGGAGGTCGAAGGATCGAAGCCTGCCCTGGATCAAACTGTTACTCGCTCTTACTCTCACAATCAGTTCAGTTGAAAATGCTTGTTACCTTTTGTGTATTATTTAGCTGAATGAGAAATAGCCCATTTTAGGTTTATTGAAATATACATATACCTAAATAATAATTTTTACTATAAATTTATTTTAAAAATTAAAAATTTAATTAACTTTTTTTTCTTCTCTATTTTTATTTTATAACTAATTAATAGACTTGTTTGTTTAACTTAAAAATGGAGTAAATTAGCGGTCCTTTGAATTTAAATTCTGAAGCAATACATATAAAACAATTTAATGGAAATATGGGTGTAAGTGCATTGAATGGCCGTATAAGTGGCACATTCAAAATTGAAAAAAAAAACAAAAAAAATAGATAAATGCCTTAGCTTAAATGCATTTTTCAATTGAAAAAAATTTCTGAAGGGAAGAGAGAACATCCCCCACATCCCTACCTCCCCCCACCTCCTCATCCCTCTCCCCCACATCCCTCTCCCCCACTTCCCCTCTCCCTCCTCTCCCTATCTTCGCCCTCTTCCCCTCCTCCTCTCCCCCTCTTCTCCCTACCCCCCCCCCTCACCTTCCTCCTTATCCCCTTCCCTATCTCCCTAGTTATCTTCAAGTAAAATAGGCTCTCTAAATGCATTTATGTGCTTGTTAAATATTTATTATAAATAATGAAGAAGGAAAATATACAGCAAATTTTATTTGAAAAAATAAAAATTTTGCTTCATCCTTGTCCCATTCCAGCTGTTTTATTTAAATATTTTAAATATTATTCATGCTTTATTTTATTTTTTAAATTTGAAGCAAGTAGGTCGAGCTAAGACACTCTCTACTTCCTCAGTTATTAACTAGTTAGTAATTAGTTTTGAGGATATGTAAATGTAACCGGAAGCGAAGAGAAGACGCTCGAAGCTTCCAATTTGAATTTTGAATTTCAAAGCTTTAAGCAAATAAGAAGATATGTAGCTCTCTGATCTTCTCCCTTATTATGGTGAACCTTTCCTCAAAGTTAATTTTGTCGAAAATTTTTGTATAAAAATTTTTTATTTAAATTTTAATACACGAAATCAGATAGAATCAATTTTCATCATTTGACAGGAATAATTAAATAATCAATTTTTTAATTAAAAAATTTATTTAATAAATTATTTAAAAAATTACTAAATTAATTCTAAGCATCTAAGACACTCTCCCCTAAGACACTCTCCTCCTAAGACACTCTCCCCACCTTAAATGATTACCCACCTCCAACTACCCTACTGCACGTTCAAATTTCAAGCCTCGATTAATTCCACGCCTAGAAAAATTCTCTATCTTACAGATGGGTTGAAATATTACTTCCCCAGTAACTCTGAAAATTAAATTTTTTAATATTTTTACCAATATTCCACCATTTAATGACTAAAATTCAACAAAAAATTCAACACAAATTCATTGCTCCTCACAAAACAATTTTCTACATTCTCAAAAAAAAATATAATTTTCTCTCTATTTTTGTTTAAACACCTTTTTAATTTCCGAATCATCATCCAATCATTCCCTTTTATTTTTACTTTTTTTAAAAAAACATTTTTAGCTTCATCCAGAAAAAGGAAAATCATTGGAAAGCACGCTGACTATGACATAATAAAAAAATATTTTTTTGTTTTCTATTTTATTTTTATTTTCTGTCAAGACGTGAATAATTTTAAAATTAAAAAGAAAAATTAAAAACAATTGAAAAGATTTTTTTAAATTATTTTAGGTAATTAAAAATGTTTGAAACTTTTTTGCTTCAACTTTTTGTATTTTTATGTTTACTTGTGTTTTATGTATTTTTATCAGAATTTTGTTGTATTTTTATTTTAATAAAGAAAATACTTAGCAAAATTCTGATGAAACACACAAAAACACACAAAAACACAAAAAATCAGAATTCATGTATTTTATTATAAAATCAGAATATTGTGTTTTCTTTTAGCATCAGAATATGTATTTTTATTTAACACAATACAAAAATAATTCTGATTTATTAATATTCTGATTTCAAGTTTATTTGTGTTTTATTGTATTTTCTTATTCTAATTAAATCAGAATTATTATGTATTTTCTTTATTTTTTTTCTCCTTTAATTTAATTATAAAATCAGAAAAAAAGTTAAAAATCAGAATTAAAAATTAGAATTTAATTAAAAATCAGAATTCTTTCTCTTAAGAGTTTATATTTTTATTTACAGCCTTAACAATTAAATGAATATTTTTTAAATTATATTTATAGTTTAAAGCTTCTAATGGCTTTACATGTAAGTGACATAAACTATTCTCATTCAGCTGTAATTTTAATTATTTTTATTTTTTCTAATTAAACATGTCAATAAATAAATTAAATCGATTCAATTTTAAATTTAATTAATTAATTAATTTAAAAAAATATTTTTTCTATTTTTAATGTCAAATTTTGTTAAAATTGTCAAAAATTCTTTAGAAATTTTTTTCAGAATTTTCCATCATTTTAAAAATTTATTTTGCTTCAAATTTGCATAATTCGCTGCTTAATCCCCACCCTCTTTTCTAAGAAAATAAATTTGCCTAAATTTAAAAAATATTTATTTTTGACTATTTTTCTTTCCAACATCTATTCTTGACTTGTCCAGACAAATTATTGATAAATTTTTTTCTCTAATCTGCTAAAAATATTATAAAAAATTTATTGGCAATATAAATATAGACAGTTTTATATTTTACAAGAATACAAGAATAAAATCAGAATTAAATAAAACTTATCAGAATTAATTTAAATAAACTTGAAGCAGAAAAAGTTTATTTGTATTTTTTGTGTTTTTCGTATTTCAAGTTTATTTTAAATTAATTCTGATTTTAGCAATTATTTCTGTCGCATACCAAGTTTATTTTTAATTCTGATTTTAAATGAGCTTGAAAATAAGAAACACATGTAAAATACAAAATTAATTCTGATTTCAAGTTTATTTATTCTTTTATTTTTATTTGTATTTTCTTGTGTTTTTCGTATTTTATTTTAAGTTCATTTTTAATTCTGATTTTATTTTTGTATTTATTAAACTTGAAAAATTCTGGTTTTCTACAAAATGTGTTTTTGTATTTTAAGTTTAGTCTCCCCTCCATATGCCTTTTATTTATAAACAAAAGGCTTTTATGGCATAAGCATTATTCTCTTTAAGGACTTACTGCTCTCTACTTCAAGTCCAATATTCTCAAAGGAGCACTTTTGGGAATTTTGCCCTAGAGGGTTTTTCGGCTTTTTTGCCAAGTCTTGTCAAGATTGAAAGAACAAAAAGGAAAAATAAGAAAAGTGGCACAGCTTTCCCCTTCCTTTTATTTTATTTATTTTCAAATTCTTCGTGTAAATCCCCTCCTTTCCTTCCACTCACTTCCTCTCTCCCTCCTACTTCTTTCCTTTATTCTACCCTTTGGGCAAATCCATAATTTTATATGTATTTTATGCTTTATCCTATGTATTTTTTATTTGTTTTAAGCAAATTATAAATATTTGTATTTTTGTATTTTTTGTATTTTTTCTAATATTGTAATTATCTATTGTAAAATCTCTCTAAATGTCTCTTATAAAATAGTACTCTCTCTCTCTCTCTCTCTCTCAAAAAATAAACTTGTTTTAATTCTGATTTTTAAATAAACTTGAAAATACAAAGAAAATACAAAGATAATTCTGGTTTAATTATATTCTGATTTCAAGTTTATTTACTTAACATTTATTTGTATTTTTTGTATTTTTGTGTTTTTTTTTGTATTTTTTTATTCCAAGTTTATTTAATAAATTAATTCTGATACCAAGTTTTATTTTTAATTCTGATTTAATTCTGATTTTAAATTTACTATAAATTTTGGTTTTGTTTAAGTTGTAGCATATTGCTTCTTATATTGTTTTATTTGTTGCTTCAACGATTTTTTAAAAATAGAAATTAATTAAAATTTTTTTTTTAATTTTCAGAGCTTCCCAATTATTAAATAAATAAATAATAATTTTAAAAATTATTTAATTAAAAAATTTCCAAAAAAACTGAAGCGTCCAAAGCCTCAAAATTCGCAGCAGTCCACATCGGCTGCTGTAGAAGAGGAGGAATTTAAAAAATATTTAATTAATAAAAAACAGAATTATTCAAAATTACCCAAAACTACGTTTGATTCATCATTAAATAATATGCAAAGTGAAAAGCAAAAAAATATTCCTGTGTTAACCAATGGGTTGTTGAACGAAAATACATCATCCTCCTCTGCTTCTAGTTCCTCTTCCGCCTCTTCAGGCATTTTATTTTTATTTTAAAAATTTCTTAGAGTCATAGACCTCTGAAAATATTAATAAATTTAATTTTATTCCAAAAAAATTTTTTAATGGAAATAATTTATGAAGGGCGTCATCGTCCAGAATACCAGCAACAACAACTACCTAACAAAAATGCATCTCCCTCCTCTATGTTAAATAATTCTTCTACTTCGTCTTCTGCTGAATTACAACAATTAGTACAACAATCTATACTGTATGGGCAACAAGTAAAAAAAATTTTTTTTAAATTTAATTTTTTTAAAATTAAATTTTTAGCAACAAAATAATCACTCTCTTCCACAAACTACAACCCCATTTTCTCTCGCTTCATTAAATTATGGCCCCTTTGGGTTACCAAGCTTTTCACTTTCCCCCCAAAATTCATTAAATTTGTTACACTTTCCACAACAACTTCAACAACAAGAAATTGAGCGTCAAACGGCGGCGATTGCTGCTTCAGGGGCAATAAATAATGGGTTGGTTAGTCCACCAAATGCGTTCGAAGTAATAATTTAATTATTGTTTTTAGTTTAATTTATGGAATGCCACTTATTTAAGGCAATAAGAGGAGAAAGATTTAAATTTCGTAGAGAAAGATATAAATTTCGTATTATTTCACAAACTTAAGTTTTCAAGTTTTCCGGAAGGAATTTTTAATGAAAAGAATTAATTCTTCCGGTTATCTTAATTCTTATTGGTCTAAAAACAAAAGTTTTCAAGTTTTCCGGAAAGAATTGTTGAAGAAATAGTTATTTATTCCGGTTCTTAAAGTTTAATTTACAAACTTAAGTTTCCGGAAAGAATTTCCGGAAAGAGTTTTATAGCATAATTAATTTTTCCGGTTTCACAAACTTAAGTTTCCAAGTTTTCCGGAAAGACTTTATATGAATAATTAACTCTTCCGGTCATATTAAAGTCTTATAAATTTAGAAACTTAAGTTTTCAAGTTTTCCGGAAAAAAACTAGAGGGGAAAATTTTAATAATATTTTAATAATTTGGTTTTAAATTTATAATTTATTTTTTTAGGGTCTCCCAATATTTGTAATGCCAAACAATGGTTCTCTTTCACTCAATGCACTACAACGTGCAGCTGTAAATTATTATTAAATATTAATAATTATAAAAATAATTTTAAATAGGAGTTTAAAGCAATGGCTATTAATGCATTTATTCAACAACAACAATCACAACAATTAAATTTAAAAATAGATACTAGCAGTAAGATTCAAAATACAGTTTGAACCTCATTTTTGGATAGACCCTAGATTAAGTCACCTCAATTTAAAATAAATTTTTGAAAAAGTGATTAGTCTCTGAGTAAGGGTCTCCCATATTCTATACCGTCTAGAATTTAAGTTACCTCTCGTTATAAGGACCGATTTTTTCATTACTAAGTAGGCATCTGAAAATGAGATTTGACTGTAATAAAAGTTAAATAAAATCACACATATCCCCAATTTAAAAAATTTCTTTTAAAGAACATTTTCACGTATTTGTCGGTGATCTCTCACAAGATGTTGATAATCAAATGTTATATGACGCTTTTAGCAAGTTAGGGCAAGTCTCGTGAGTTGCTTAATGTCTAAATACCTATATTGAAAAATTATTTTAAAGAGAAGCCAAAGTAATGAGGGATCCACAATCAACAAAATCCCGTTCCTTTGGATTTGTTGCTTACCCTTCAAAAGGCAAATTTATTTTTAAAATTTCTCCAAGAATTCTGATTTTGTATTATAGAAGACGCTCAAAGGGCTATTGAGGAAATGAATGGAGTTCAGTTAGGTAGGAGAGCGATAAGAACGGGTTGGGCTATTAGACGGAGTGGAACCGAACAACTAAAAGTTGGGTCAGAAGATGAAAAGGAAGAGGTACTGTTTGAATTTAATTCTGGAGAAAATTCGGAGACCAAAAATTAAAAAATGTCAAAATATAAAAATATAAAAAGACTCAAAACGGTCAAAATTCAAAATCTCGAAAAACATAAAAGTTAGAGATAGGAATTCGAAAAAACCGGGTCCGGAAACCGGGAATTCCCGTTCCCGGTTTCATCCCGGTTGCTTAAAAAAACAGGAAAAGGGACCCGGGAACGGGTCCGGGTCTCGGACCCGTTGATCTCTAATATTAGTATTTCGAAAAAATATTTAAAAAATACAGTATTCCAACTCAAATGCAACCTTCGAATCAATCTACAACTCCACAGAAGCGGATAACACAACAATATACCTGGGTGGTTTATCAAGTGCAGCAACAGAAGAACCGATAAAATTAGCTTTTAGCGAGTTCGGAATAATTAAAGAAATACGTCTTTTCGCCTCACAAAATTTTGGTTTCGTTGTATTTTCTGACAAAACTTCAGCTACAAAAGCAATTTTGGAAATGCATGGAAAAGAATTAAATTTAGGGATAGTTGGAGGGAAATGTCGTTTGCGTGTTAAATGGGGAAAGCCTGTACAACAACAAAACAATAATAATAATAGTGGGAAAGGAGGAGATAAGGGATGGATATTAAATAATGATTCGGTTAATGTTGCTTTGAATAATCAACAAAATTCTGCGATTGTTGCCGCAATTTCTCAGCAACAACAACAATTAGCATTAGCTTCTGCTATTTTACAGGCACAAGCACAACAACAGCAACAACCAATATTTCAACATCCTGTTATAATGGGAGGAGTTGTACAACAACCGCCGACTTTTCAACAATCGGTAATTGGGGAAAATAAGCAAATAATTCATACTAACTTGACTTTTTAAAACTCAGGATTATAAAGAGTAAAAAATTTTAATTCAAACTTAAGTTCAAACTTCTAACTGAACTTAGTTTGCAAACTTAAAATCGAAGTTTCACAAACTTTAAACTTGAGTTTAATATATTGCAGACTTAAGTTTTCTGTCTATTTAAAACTTATTTGCTTATTAGAATTATTTGCTTATTTTTTTTAAGTTCCGGTTACTTTTTCAGCTTAAGTTTCAAAACTAAGTTTTTCCGGAAAAAAAATAAGTTTACAAGTTTTCCGGTTAGACTTAAGAAGTTTTATTTCCAGAAAAATGTTTTTAAGTTTTCCGGTTAAGTTCAAACATTTTTAAATTCATTGTATAAATAATAACTAAAAATTACAGCAACACCTTATTGCCCAACTCGCAGCACAACAACAACAAAATCTACAACAATCTTTAGCACATAATAATGGGTTCGGTACATTCCTAAATGGTTCAATTCCTGCAGCTACAAATTGGCCCCAAACTCAACAATTTTAAAAAGAAGAGGTTATAATCTTAATTATAGGTGAAATTTCTACTAAAAATCTAGTTGTTTAATAATTATTTCCCAGAAAATTGCTTTATTTTATGTTTATAATCCTTAAATTTACTCTTTGAAGCAAATAAATTTTTTTTATTAAAAATTAATTTTATCTTCCAAAAGCATTCCAACAAAATATTTATGTATTTATTAATTAAAAATTAAAAACAAAATTGCGATTGAAGAAAATTATGAATTTGAAAGGCAAGTTTTTCGAAAGAGGAACAAGTACAAAAATGAGAATAAAAGGCAAAATAAAAAATTAGATTTAAAATTAATAAATTAAAAATTAAAGAGATGCTGTGTGAATTTAATTTAAATAATATAAGTTTATAAACTTAAGTTTTCCGGAAAGAATAAAATTCTTCCTGTTATTTTATTTTCTACTAGTTTGCAAACTTAAGTTTTCAAGTTTTCCGGAAAGAATTTTTGAACTACTTCCGGTTAACTTAAATTATTATCAGTTTACAAACTTAAGTTTTTAAGTTTTCCGGAAAGACCTTCGATAGGAAAAATTAACTTTTCCGGTTACTTAAATTCGTATTAATTTACAAACTTAAGTTTACAAGTTTTCCGGAAGGAATAAAATTCTTCCGGTTACTTAACTTTTTACCAGTTTGCAAACTTAAGTTTTCAAGTTTTCCGGAAAGAATTTTTGAAAGAAAAAACTAATCCTTCCGGTTGCTTAAATTCGTATTAATTTAACAAACTTAAGTTTTCCGGAAATAACCTTCAAAAGAAAAAATTAACTTTTCCGGTTACTTAAATTATTATTAGTTTACAAACTTAAGTTTTCAAGTTTTCCGGAAAGAAATAAAATAGTCGAGAAAAATTGAATAGTAATTTAATTAATTATTATGAGTCATTGATAGAAAGATTAGATAATTTTATCAAAATCAACTGCTATATAGACTATGCTCCATTAAAGTTCCACTACTTCCCCTATTTTTCCGCATCACTCTCATTAAAATTACTAACATTATTAACAACAATAGAAGCAGAAGCAATCCGCCAGAAATTATTGCAATTGGTGAGAGGCAAACAACGGTATTATTGCCTCGTTCTTGGGTAGACCAGTCGATGAAAGGAGCTTCTTGAATGGAGCTGCGTTGGATCGACCCACGTTGAGCAGCAGCAGCGGGTTCTGTGAAAATATTATTGTTACTCATTAGACTTGAGTTTTTAAGTTTTCCGGTTGTTTCCGGATGCTCGGTAAGCACAGCTTACTTAATATTCGCTAACTTAAGTTTTTAAGTTTACACTTAAGTTTGAAAATATTTAAATTAAATAATCTACCATAATCATCCATTATCATCAATTCGGGTGAGCTTATGTCAAAGTCGACTTCGTGTGTTCCTCTCCTTCTGTTATGTGCTCTTTTCCCATCACCAGCATTTAATGAAGCAGGTGGTCCCCGCGTAGTATCTCTTTGCGAACGGGCAGCTGATTTTGCTTCATTACCAGAACGCTTATCGAAAACCTGTTTAAAAATCAGTTGAAATGATTTTAAAAAATTTTCTGACTTGAACAGGTTTTGTCGTTCCATTAAACACTTCGTCATTTTCTTTCTTCTCTTTTTCCTCCTCTTGTTTAACTTCTTCAGCAGAAACAGTCCAATTTGGATCAGCACGTTCAACTGCCTCATCCATTCTATTACTTGTTTTAGAAGCTGATGGAGGGATTTTTCTCTCATGGGGCACTAACATAGCTTTGTCTTTGTGTAGCAATAAATCTGGTTGGGGAAATTCGTCTTTCTTTGAGGAAATTATGTTGTTGGAATTTGTGGTGTGGAATGTTGCTATCAATGTTGGGGGTAATGGAATTCCTTCAGTTGTACTGCTTGATGACCAAGTGGAAGAAGCAACAGTTTCTCTGCTGTTCTCTGCCGAGGCGCTATTCATACGCTCCACACTACTTAGAAGTTGTTCACTTCCTTCAGAAGTGGTTGTACTGCTTGAACTTCTCGGTATACTGCTTGAACTTCTTGTTGTGCTGCTTGAAGGCCTTTGCTGCTCTTCGCCTGATTCTTCCTTTATTGTTGGTTTAATACGATCTGATCTTGTGCTTTCTGTTGACGTACTGCTTGAAAACCGCAAACCGGTTGTACTGCTTGAGAGAGTGCTTCTACTATTTTCAGTCTTTTCCTCAATTCTTTCCTCGTTTTTCAGATCTTGTTTATGTTTATTAGTAGAGGTAGCTGTTATGGCCTCCATAGTAGTTCCAAACTCAGTCTCAGGAATCACATCTCCACTAACTTCAACCCTTTGTTTAACATTTGTTTTTGTAATAATCGAAAGTGGTGTAGTTGAAGCAGAGGGAGGCAGAGGAGTTTCAGTTGCATTAAGTCGGGCAGATGATTCTCCGCTGGTGTCCTCATTAAAGTTCCCGTTAGATGCACTCTTGGCACGTTTTCCGTTGCAATTTGGAGGCTGAAATTTTGGATTTTAAGATTTTTTAAAAATACATGGAAAATTTCAATTACAGTTAAATTATTGCATTCCAAATCAGAGTTCATACAAAGCTTAATTTTGCAGGTAAAAGACATTGTATTTCGATCAGGAAAATTAAAAGCAGCAGAAGCCTATAAGAATGTTGATAATTACAAAAAATAGAATTAATAATTTAAAAACGTACAGCCATAGCTTTTGTTCTTTCCACTGTATATGTTATTTGGGGCATTAGAAATTCTGAAAAATAAAAGTGATAAACTTAAGTTTTTAAGCTCTCGAGTTTTTAAGTTTTTACATTTAAGTTTGTCATTCCGGAAAATTAAGTTTTTATTTTTAAGTTTGTGTTTTCCGGAAACTTGTTTCAAGTTTTAAATTAGTCCTTTCCGGAAGCTTAAGTTTTCATGTTCTAACTTAAGTTTTACGTTTAAATCTGTACTTTCCGGAGACTTAAGTTTTTAATTTCTAACCTAAGTTTACGTTTAAATCATAGAAAGAGTTTGCAAAAGTTTAGCCACCGGGCAGGATTCGAACCTGCGACCACCTGCTAGTTGTTGCTAGGCGCTTTCGCTCACCAAATGCAGAAGCTCTACCTCTAAGCTACCGGGGCATCGACTAATGCTTTCTCTTTTTCCTTTCTAGATCGTTTATCCCTCGCCTAAGCGTTTTCAATGCTGCTGGGTGAATCATCCTTACATTATTGCTTTCTGGAAACTTAAATTTAAGTCCAACTTAAGTTTTAATGCTTCCCACCTAATTTTCCTATTGTTAGTTAATCGAAGAATTTTTTAAGTTCCTGATTTTCTGATTGTCTTAAAAATTCATTTAAATATTACCATCTTTACTGCATCCATTAGCATCAATAATAGCAAATTCAGCTCCCTTTCCATCAACAGCTTGACAATTATATAGAAGCATTGAATACATACGTGAGGGGCATTCCCACACATGATAGAGTTGTTCACCAACATGTGTGTATTTAACACGAGGACCGTTTGGACTATCTCTGAAATTTTTTTTGAAAATAATCTCTAAGGGTATAGGTTTAATTTTTATGTTGAGGTTCTATCATGTTATCCTTAATTTTGTGTTTTCCACTGGTCAGGATTTTTAAGGGTTTGACTGTTTTTCTTAGCTATTTTTAGCTTGCTTTTTTAGCCTTTTATCAGGAAACTTAAGTTTGTACGTTCAGCTCTTGTTTTAAGTACTCAAGTCGTAGGTATTCAAATTTAGGTTTTCAATATTGAAACTTTTAAATAAACTCAGAAAAATTTTTTTAAACTCGTAAGTATTGTGTTTTTATTGTTTCCAAGTGTTTTGTGATTTTATTAATTTGCAACATTTTTCAATTAAAAATTCAAGTGTAGTAGTGTGTCAAGGTTAATAATTTATAAATAAAAACACTTTAAGATTAAAATGAATTTTATTTATATATTAACTAATAAATAAAAGCTCAAGGCCAATAAACAATATCAAGTGTTTATTATTATTTTAAAAACTTCAAAACTTGCCTATGAACAGAATAAGTACAGGCAGGTAGTAGAGGTTCAGAATACAATTGTTGGGTGACAATATCGCTTAAATATGTAAATATCATAATTTTTATTAGATAAAAATATATTTGGGAGGATTTTAGGAAGATTAGGTGAAGTTTGGAAAAAAATTATTTTTGAGAACGAGAGAGGATTAAAGATTAATCTCTCTATTGGAACGTGTTGGAACGCTTATTTAAATTTTATCAAAATTTTAATCCCAAAAATTTTTAAAAAATTATTTAATCCATTAATATTCAATTTACCTCACTCCAAAATCAACACTAACATCCTGAGGCTTTTCTTTGTAAAAACAGTTGACATTGTATGCACGATCAACTTTAGTGACAAACAACTGTAAAATAATAATTTCATAAGCGTGTCTTAAAAATATTTTCCGGAAACTTAAGTTTGCATATCGAACTATGTTTTTAATAATTTATTAACAAAAGTAATCCGGAAACTCAAGTTTTAGGTATATTATAATAAAGTTTTTGAGTTTATTCCGGAAACTTAAGTTTTTGTTTTAGTTAAGTTTTTGTTTTCCAGTGTTTTCCGGAACTTGAGTTTCTGTTCGAGTTAAGTTCTTATTTTCCGGAAACTTAAGTTTCTGTTCGAGTTAAGTTCTTATTTTCCGGAAACTTAAGTTTCTGTTCGAGTTAAGTTCTTATTTTCCGGAAACTTAAGTTTCTGTTCGAGTTAAGTTCTTATTTTCCGGAAACTTAAGTTTCTGTTCGAGTTAAGTTCTTATTTTCCGGAAACTTAAGTTTCTGTTCGAGTTAAGTTTTTATTTTCCGGAAACTTAAGTTTCTGTTTGAGTGTTTATTTTTCAATGTCTTCCGGAAACTTATGTTTTTGTTCGTTTCCTTAATAATAGTATTCCGGAAACTTAAGTTTTATGTTCTCATTAGTTTTTAAAGAGATAATGCATAAAATAAAAAGTTTAAAAAATTTTTTCTTCTAACCGGATGTAATTGAACTACAATAGTCATTTGATAAGCAATTCCAGGATTCGGATTAATTTCTCTTTTCCTTCTAACATTACACTTTGCCAGTTCAATAGTTACATTTCTTTTGTTATGGAAAGTACAATCCTCATTATGGCTTTGTCCACGTACATAAACTGCTGAGGCGTTACCACGTCGAGTGTTAACAGTAAAGTGTACAACACCTGGGCCACATGTAATTTCTGGTTCGCCTTTTTAGAGGAAAAATTAAATTTAAAGGAAAGGAAGGGAATGAAGATTTGTTTTAATTAAGAACGATTAAGTTCAAGGTTGCCCCTCGTTTAAGGAGGGCAAAAAAACAAACAGGCAATGACCGCAATAAAAACCAATTAAAATTCAATGTTCCGGATGATTGTCTTATTTTGGATTAATTTTTGAAAAAAAAATGATTTAAGCTCACTAATAATTTCATTATCATAAGCAGCTAGTTCATTCTTTACTGAATTACTTCCCTCATTCCTTTGAAGAACCACTGCCCCATTTCCGGTCGAAAAAATGGAAAGAATGCAAAGTATTATTGGCAAGGTTTTCACCATTTTTGAATAAGAATATTGTTGTTTTTGATGGTAGAAATTTGTTGGAGAAAACCGTTGCAGTCTTGAGCTTTTTATTTTGTTGCAACTCGAAAACATCTTAAAAACTTGGAATATTAAACATGATTACAAGCATATAAAAATAAAGCTTGGAAACATTTTAAGCTCAAACTTGAAAAAAAGTTCTAATTGATGAACTTTTCAAGTTTAAACTTGAAAACAAGTTCAAAACTTAAATTTTTAAGTTTAAGCTTGAGAAAACTTTAATGTTTAAGTTTAAGCTTGAGAAAAAGTTTTAATTCAAGCTTATATTTGTTTTTAAGTTTAAACGTAAATCTTAAGGCGATTAAAACTAATTTTAAAATTATTTAAAAATATTTTTACAAAACATTTTCAAAAACGAACCGATAGCAATATTTGTTTTACAAAATTAGTTAAGCTCGTTTTAGGCTGTTTAAAAGTTTCATTTCTTTCTCCAGTCATTTTAAAAAATTATTATTGAAATATTAATGTTGAACTTGAAATTATTTTTTTGATAATTTTAATTTATGTTGAATAATTTTTTTAATAATTATTTCTTGAAACAATTCTTAAATTGTTAAAATTAATATAATAAATATGTAAATTAATTTATGCACATATTAACAGAAGAAAAATAATAAAACTTGGTCAAGTTTATTTTTGTTAAAGCATATTTTTAAGTTTATAAATTAAATTTGTTTAGTGTTTTTAAGCTTGTGGCCTTCTTATTTATTAAAAATTTTTTTTAATTTTCAAGAAAAATATTTTTTCTAAAATTTTCAAGAAGAAAAAATTCTTTAAAAAAATAATTATGTATTTTACAACTGACACAAATAAATGACAAACTAAAGCAATTTTAACGGACTTAAATGAGTGTCTTCTAAAATATTTTGAAGGTTAACTTGTGTGTTAATCCTTTTAGTTATCCTTCATTTTTGAAAAAAATATTTTTGTTGCGTTCTATTAAAAATATTTGGAACTCAAAATTAGTCAAAATTAAAGGGAAAATATTTTTTTGAGTTTATTAAAATAAGAGCATTTTTGTCTACTTTATTTTTTCTATTATGCTCGATTAGTGTTGGCTACTGGAAAATTTTTTTTGAATTTTTTTTAATTTTTAAAGAGTGTCAAGGCAAAATAATTATATTATAGTAGAAGTAAAGGGGAGGGATTTAATTTATTTTTGAACATAAATGCAACTTTTCTTATTTGTCTCTTTCAAAGATTTTAATGGGATTTATGAGGATACAAGTGAGATGCGGACAGATATTTACTAGATTCGACAGGTTAGAAAAATTGGACATAATTTTTATTTAGTTACCTCAAACTCTTCCTCTCCCTTCAACGATTATAATCGTTGAATCCTTTAACCATTCCAAACTAGTGTTTGGAATGGAAATTTAACCGGAGCCGGAACCAGATCTAATTTTTGGTTTGAAAATCCCGGAACTTCCGGCCTACCGGAAATGGAATTTCCGACAAAGCTCTATTCAAAACACACCATATTAAAGATCTATAACAGCTCCAACCTATTTTGGGCCTCTTCCACTATCGAAAAATAATTTTTTTTCTCACAAGTGTTTTATCTCAAGTCTGTCTTATCGCATGCCATTGCCAATATCCAAGGAAAATTTTTTAAGAGTACCTCTACCTTATATCTTAATTAGGGGTTGCCGTTTTCGAATCCATCAAACCGATCCGAGCCGTCAACCCTAATCTTAATGTAAACTAGAAGCCTGAAGACTTCTATGTAGTATAGCTCGAAATAGCTAGTTAAACTAAAGTTAAAAAGGCATCTAGAAGCAAGTGTGTTTTTACCTCAAACTCTTCCTCTCCCTCCAAATTTTTTTTATTTTTTAGTTTGTGAGGAAATAAAAAATATTTTTTAAAGGAAAAATGGTTGCGCAAAGTTGGAAGTTTCAAGGCAAAATATTTTTAGGTGGGAAATAAAAGAAAAATAAAATAAGCAGGTAATTTAGGTTTTGAAGAGTGAAGGGCACTAACCTATACAATAAAATAAATTTGAGGGTTTTTCTTTGATTTTTGGACAATTTTTAAAGAATAGTTTGACAATGGGATAACCTTGAACTGTGGTTTTTAATATTTTCAGGGAAATTAAAATTTAGAACAAATTTTTACAGGTTAATTGGTTACGAATACATGCTGACTGTTATCTGCCTTTGTATAAGCCAGTAGCCCGTGATTATTAGGATATCCACTGATGCCTAGATTAGTGATAGGATAATTAATAGAGTAATCTATTTTTGAGCTAATCTGCCCTACTCCTAATTTATTTGGCCTTTTTCAGTTAACAAGGGTACCTAAACTTGGTTTAATTAAATATTTGGTGGGCAATGAAGATACCTTTAGCATCAGATAAAATCTCTGTGGTTTCAGAGAGTTTTCTCTACGAGAATAAAAATAAATATAATTAAATATCTCTCAAACTTTGTCAGAAAGGCCAGGAAATGAAAGAATAAAAAGAATTTTCTTTCTGATCTAAGCAAAAATGGATTTATAGATGTAAAGGTACGGGAGGCGTTATTCGCACTGGGTGGGCGGCATATATTCTTGAGCATGATGCACTACAAATTTGGATGAAAATTAAAGGACATGGGGGTTTTTATGAAGGGAATAAACATTCCTTTTCTTTCATTAAATAAAAAACAGCCTAGAACTAATCATATTGGATTAACAGGTCTGTGCTCTCGAGAAGGACCAAACGGGCAATTAAATTGTTTATTAGTCTAGGAATAAGTGTTCGATCAAAATACTTTAATATTTAAATTCCCCAATCATTTTTACATATTCTGACCAAATTTGAGCTTTTTTGGTCAAAAAATAAATTATTTACATTAATTTGTTTAGGCCTAGGTCAAATATAGGAATATTCAAAAAATAAAATAAAAAATAAAATAAAATGCCAATTTTCATTGGTATTGTTTAAAATACTTTTGAATAGGTTCAGTCTTGCAAAAAGAGCAAAAAGAGACTTTTTATTATCCATTTTTTGTGTAAAAAGACACAATTTGCATGTGACGCTCTCTACAGAGTACCCCCACCCCTCCGAAGGGAACAGGTGGATAGAAAAAAATTATAATGAATGCCGCGAGAATGCCAAGAGATTGAAAAGAAAAGATAACTAAGGGTCAAGACCACCGCAATATATTTTGCTATTGAAGGATAATAGCCTTTTTGGGCATAAGTGGAAGGTCAAGCAATTTGGAATATAAGGGGAACAGGTGAGAGGTAGGGGAAAATTAATTAAAAAAATAATAAAAAAATTGTATTAAAAATTACTCGGAAATTGAGAGTCTCAGCATGATAACGAACACATTTTTAAAAATAAAATTGGATTTTTAATGAATTAGGTAGTCTCCAATTACTTTTAAATTAAACCAAGTTTACAAGGTTAATCACTTTACAAAACCTTTTTAGAAAAAAATTTAATTTAACGACTAAAAGTAAATTAAAATTCCTAAAGTTTTTAATATTTCCCTCTTCAAATGGAGCATCCTATTTCGAAAGGACAGAATACCCCCTCCGAACGGAACAAACTCTTTCGAAGAGAACATCTCCCTCCTAAGAAGGCATATCCCTCATAAGGGGACATATCCATTCCAAGGAGGGCATACCCCTTCTAAAGGGACCATAACCCTGCAAAGAGAACATTTCCCTCCTAAGAAGACATATCCCTCTTAAGATGGCATCATATCACTTAGAGGAGAACATATCCCTCCGAAGGGACCATGACCCTCCGAAGAGAACATCTCCCTCCTAAGAAGACATATCCCTCTTAAGATGGCATCATATCACTTAGAGGAGAACATATCCCTCCGAAGGGACCATGACCCTCCGAAGAGAACATCTCCCTCCTAAGAAGACATATCCCTCTTAAGGGAACATACCCTTCCGAGGGGCGCATACCCCTCCGAAAGGGACCATAACTCTCCATAGAGAACGTTGAAGTAAATAAAAATTTTTTAATTAAAAAAATACAAAAAATTCTTGACCCATAAATACTAAATTGGATTAATTTAAAAGTCATTCCACTCATTTAAAATTTATTTTGCCAAAAAAACTAAATTAGTACCAGCTATTTGTCTATTTCCCCCTTTTTTCACTCAATTAATCCCATTTTTCTTGACCTTGAATTTTTTGTAAAATCCTCTTGGAAGTTGCTGGCAGAAGAGAAAAGAATTTAAAAATAGATCAAGTCAAAAAGAATAAAAAAATACAAAAGGTATAGACTAAAAAATAATTTTTTGTGTGAGCATGTAAGTGTGGGGGTGTGAGAACAATAGGTGGAATAAAAAAAATTAAAAAGTTGTTAGGAAGGTTTAAAAGTAATTTTTAATACCTATGTTAGCCCTAGCTTGTAGGACAGAAATGTGTCGAATTGAGAAAAAATCTGGAGGAGTTCGAGTCGCGTGTTCAGAAAAAATATTCTTAGGATCAGGTTTCGAGTAACCCAACCAATCCCAGCTGTAGAAGGGCAGTTTCCAGAGGAATCGCAAGAAGTGATTCGAGCTTAATCTCTCTTTATTTTTGGGAGAAAGTTCGTCTCAGTCACCAAAAAATATTTAAAACCCCGATCTAATGGATTGCTGATTCTCCATATAAATCCTAAGGTAAGGGGCACAATATCTCCCCAAAATAGTACAATATTTGCCATTATATCAATTTTTCTATAGAAAATTTTTTTGGGTATTTTTTGTATTTAAATTTAAAAAAAGTGTTAGATTGTGCCTCTCTCTACTAGGAAATCCGTCTAAGGAACAAAAATAAGAAAAGAATTGAAAATAACAATTCCTCCAAAACTTTCAGGAGGATGAGACTGACCTTCAAGAAGAAACAAACCGCAGAACAACAAAAGAGGGAGAGGAAGGATAGTAAAATAAAGGAAGAGAAGTTTTTTGTTAAAAATTTGAGTTGAGGGGAATATATTAGAAAAATAAGAGATGAAAAAAGAAAGATTTTTTGAGTAAATATTGAAATAAAAAAAATTTTTTTTAATATTGAAAATTAATTTTACTAAGTAGTGTGTTAGAAAAAGTGTCAGTTTGATTACCCAATTATTCGCAATTAATAGCGAAATTAATTTATCAGGAAAATAAATTCCGGAAAAATTAAATAAACCAGAATTTAAAATAGGTAATTAATTTTTCCGGAAAATAAGTCTAATTTATAAACCAGAATTTAATAGAAATCAGAATTATATAGAAATCACAATTTAAAATCAGGAAACATAAAATAAAATAAATTTCCGGAAACATAAAATAAAGAAAATAATTTCCGGAAAATACAAATTCTGAAAATTTAGGGAACAAAAAATCGAAATATATTAATAATTATTTTCCGGAATCCGGAAAATTCTTTTTTCAAACTTCTTATTTCCGGAAATTTAGCGAGGAAAAGAATTTCCGGAAAAATAAAATTCCGGAAAACTAAAAATTCCGGAAATATAGAAATAATTCCGGAAAACTAAGAATTTTCGAAAAAAGTAAATTCCGGAAACTAAATATTCCGGAAAACTAGATATTCCGGAGAATAAATAAATTAATTAATATATTCTGATTTTAACCGGAAAGTAAGCGAATAGAAATACCGGAAAATAAATTCTGAAAAATACAATAAACCAGAATTTTTTGTTTATTTGCCCTTTCTGTCCCTTGTAAAAATTTAATTAATTAATAATTTCCATTAAAAAAAATTTTTTATATTTTATTTTTTTAAATAATATTGGCCTATATTCAACAAAAAAATAATTTCTCGAAGTAACAAAAGGCAAAAGGAAATTTATAAAAAAAAATTGAATAAAAGAAAAAAAATTGAGGAAATGTGGGGCGTGAAGAACAAATTGAAGAAGCAAAAATTTATTTTTTTAATAATTATAAATAAATACAAGGGCAAAACCCGAAAACTATCCTCATTCAAAACACAATTTTTGTGGAGTACAATAAAAAATAATAATTTTAAAAATTAAGAAAAGTGTCTGTTAGCTGCCCCATTTAATCGCAAAGGTTAAGGGATTTAGTTAATATAGGTACTGATAGAAAGTAGAGTCAATCGAGAGGTTTATTTTATCAATCTAGAATACTACCATGGACTCTAGAATTCTCAGAAATTCCTAAAAAAATTCTAAAGATGGGGTGATTTTTTAATCCAAATAATATCAGAATTGGGGTTGCCGCACGGTTTGGCCCGTTTCGATAGATCGAATCGGGCATCGAATTTTGGCCCATCAAATTTTGGCCCGAAAAAGACTCAAACGGCACGGTTCAATAAAAAATGAGACCCAAAAAATGACTCAAACTTCGGTTCAGTTCGAAAATAACAACAACCCTAACAAGATGCCTAAACAGGCTCAGGATGCCTATAGGCTAGTTTATAGACACTAGTGATGTTTGAGAGTGAAAAAAAGCCGAGAGCCGAGACCGAGACCGAGAGCTCAAAAAACCCGGGAAATTTCCCGACTCGGGAACCGAGACCGAGAGTCTCGAACATCACTAATAGACACCTATCAAATAAATTAAATAAATTATTAGATAGAATACTCAGTATATTTTAAAAATATCTCTAGTCTATCTAAATTAATTCTTAATTTAAAAAAATCATTATTTAAACTTGAAAAAATTTTATTAAAAGATTTTTATCATGCGAATAAATGGACCTTCTCCAAAATTCCTGAACTACTTACCTTTAATAATAATAAAAAATAAATAACTGTATCAAAAATAATTTAGAAATTAATGAAAAAAAATTAATTATAGAGGGAATAGAATAAAAAAAGGAAGAGGAAATTGAAGATGAAGAAGAGTAAAGAAGAGAAGAGTAATGAAGGGAAGGGTAATTTAATAATTCGGTCGGTTTATTGAGGGCAACGGTGTTATTTTCTGTTGGAAAAACTCGAAAAAAAATTTTTTGTTAATTTTTAAATTTTATTGGGATTGCTCGACTAGTTAATTTGCTCGACTAGTCTATATTAAAATTAGAAAAAAAATATAGTGGCTAAATTAATTTAAGGAAAAAATAAAATTGGGGCATTTTGTTGAAGAAGGAATTTAAAGACCACAGTGACAAAAAATTTTAAATAATAAAATTTTTTAAGCATTTTTATTTGACCAAAACATCTCTTTATTTGTAAATAATAAAAATACCGATGTTATGACCATTCTCGCTTAACAAATAAAAAATTAAAGGGTGAAAAAATGGCCAAAAATGTGTTTTACAAGAAAGGAATGATTGAATAAAATAAATCAAATAAATTTTTTTGGGAAAAACATTTTTAAATTGTCGAAAAAATAAATGAAATAGGTAGATTGTTTTAGGAAAAAAATTAGTTTAAAGAAAGAAGCCATTTAATCGCCCAAAATTTTAGATAAAAATTAGTTATTTTTCTTTAAGTCTGACGAGTCTAGAAATGAGTTTTAAACCTATTTTAGTCAAAAAATCATAACTTTGGAAATATCTAACCAGAGATTCTAAAATTTATAGTGAATCTAGTTAAGACTATTAACTAGCTATATACAAAATCTTAGATTAATAGGTCCACTTAAAAGGTTGTTATTTTTCTTGCTGTCTACTTAGTTTAGAAATGTAGGGTTTTAGCCTCTATTAGTCAAAAAATCATAACCTTGGGAATATCTAACCAAAAATTTTGAAACTTATAGACTCTCTAGCTGTGACTGTTAGCTATACCCAAACAAAATTTTAGATTAATAGGCCCCCAATAAAATTAGTTATTTTAATTTCCACAACTCTCTCTCTCCCTACCACCACAAATAAAAATAAAAAAATAAATTCTAGTTAAAAAATCATAACCTTGGAAATATCAAACCAAAAATTTTGCAATTTATAGACTCTCTAGATGTGACTATTACCTAGCTCTATACAAAATTTTAGATTAATAGGTCCCCAATAAAATTAGTTATTTTAATTTCCGCGCACCATGTCCTCTCTCTCCATCTCCCCACAAATAAAGAAATAAATATTTTTAAAAATTAAAGAAATATAAATTTATAAAAGAATAATTTTATAGGCTAATAATGTGTTTCCTTAAAACCTCAAAATTGTGTAATATTTTAACAAAAAAAATTTAAGACACGCCCATTGACCATCAAAAAATTAAAAAATATTTATTTAAAAGTTGCGCGCGTTTTTTAGCCTTTTTCCGGAAGAATAAGCACAAAAAAGGGGCAAACTTTTAATTGAATTTTTTCATCGTTTTAGCACTTTTCTTTGAAAAAAGGCCAAAAAATAAGAGAAAAAATTGAGAATCGGAGAGATATTGGTCAATGAGAAGGGAGAAGAAGTGACCCATTTATTCGCAGGCAAACTGTTAGTGGGTGAAGGTGAGTGAGGGGGACTTTGGAGAGTATAACTCAGGGAAGGAAGAGCCTTTCTGGATAAATTTGGTACCATTGGATAGAGAAGAAAGTGAGCTATTAGATTTCCAAGTTTCATATTTTTTGATTCATAAATGATAAAGTTATGGTCAAAGATAACAGAAAAACTTTGCTGGTTTAGGTTATGATAACAACATTTGACCGATAGGTGATTTAAAAGAGAGAGAGAGTGGGATATTGAAAGATAGTGGATCAATCGGCGCCACTACTAAGGTGACTTAACCCTTCAATTTATTGTAGGGACCCACGGAGTGGCGCATTACTGATATCCGAAACACAGCCAAAACCCGCTCTGAAAAAAATTTTTAAACTCCGATTTGGTAGGATATTGCAAGCCGAATGAATGGCCGAATGCCAATAGCCGAATGACTTAACCCTTGAATTTATTGTAGAGGCCCAAGGAGCGGCGTGCTACCGATACCCGAGACCCAGCCGAAACCCGCTCCGAAAAAACTTTGAAACCCACACTCGAAATCTGACCCACCTTTCATTTATTCTCAACTCAAGATTATATTTTTACATATTCCTTTTGCGAATATTTGGGCATTTTGTATTGTGTTTTAAAATTGAAAAAAAAATATTTTTTTTAATGTTTGCCAATTTTTTGTTGGGAATCAGGGCGTGCTTTTATTTAAATAAACTTTTTTTTCTCAAAAGTTGGTCATTTCTTTATATATTGCTTTCCCGCTTTTGTAAAAGGGCAAAGATGTAATGGGAAAAGTCTGGGCCTTTTTTAATAAAAATTTAATTTAGGGAATGTCAAGGTTATAAAAATAGTACAACAATATTACAATTTTTGTAAAGGAAAAAAAGTATTTAAAAAATTTAAAAAATTATTCGATTGAATATACTAGTAAAAAATAATTTGGGTCCGTATTTTCGGGAAAAGAATTTCTCAAAATAGGTGGGAAACTTGGAACGAAAATTACCAATTTTTGAGAGTAGAGCTTGAGGAGTTCAGTGTTGCGGAGTTCCTAGACCTCGGGGAGTTTGGGAAAAAATAGAAAAGAACCTAAAAATTTAGTTACTAGTATAATTAGCAAGGAGGGATGCCAAATTTAGCCTGAGTCATTTTAAAAAAAGGTTGGTAACAGTGAGAGAATTACAATTGTAATTAAATTATTCAGGTTCAATTATTCAGCACAGGCTTTACAATCTTTTTTTAAGTTTTTCCAGATTATATTTTTTAAATTTAAGTTAACAATTCTGATTGGAAAGGAAATGAGAGAAATCAGAATTTGTAATAATTATAATAATCAGAATAAAAAGGGTGTATAATTTGTTTTCCGGTTTTTTTTCCGGATTGTATTTCTGATTTATTCAAGTTTACAATTCAGGTTGGAAACGAAATATGGGAAAATCAGAATTTGTAAAAATCAGAAGAAATTAGTAAATGAATCTTACAAATCAGAAATTGATTTTACAATTGTAAAAGGCTTAATTATAATTATCAAAACAAACAAGTTTTACAATTTATTCAAGTTTTAGGTTTTTCCGGATTGTATTTTTTTGATTTATTCAAGTTTATTTATTCAAGTTTACAATTCAAGTTGGAAAGGAAATATGAGAAAAATCAGAATTTTATTTTTTCAGAAAAATTAAAAAATGAATTTTAAAAAATCAGAAATCGATGGAGAAAAAAATTTTTTATTTAATTTATTTAAAAAATATTCTAAAAATTCTTTTGTATAAATCTAAATAAATAATACAAAAAGGATTAGAGTAATGTGCAAACAGGTGAAACTTAAAAGGGGCTAAGTGGTTAATATATTCAGATATATAAATTATAAAAATACTTAAAAAATATTTTTTGAAAGGGAGAAAGATGAACATTTGTATAAAGCTTCTAATTTTAGTATAGAATTTTATTGTAAATGTTAAAAGAAAAAAAATTTTTAGAGAGAAAGTTTTGGAAAGAATAAATATAAGGGAAGAAATCTGTGATTAATTTTACAATTGTAAATTTAAATTGTAATAATCAGAACAAAAATGAGTTTGTAATTTGTTTTCCGGATTATGTTTCTGATTCAAGTTTACAATTCCAGTTAAAAAGAATAAACCAGAATACCGTATTTCCTGAAATAAACCCCATGGGTTCTATTTTTCAACTATCCTCCAAAGTGGGGCTCTATTTTAAAGTGGGGTATTTTCAATGTTCTGTAAAGCGTCTTTGATGTGGAATTAAGTTGAAGGTACTGTTGGATGTACAATTTAAGTTTACAATTCAGGTTGCAATAAGCAGAATCAAAATTTTGTTCTCAGTTTCGGAAAGTGTCTCTGATGCATTACAAGTTTGATTTACAATTCAAGTTGGAAAATGAAAGTTTGCAATGAGTTTTCCGGTTTTTTCCGGAAAACTCATTGCTTCCGGAAAACTCAGTGTTTCTTATGTACATTTTCATTTTACAATTCAAGTTGTATGCTACAATTTTAACTCTCCAATTCAAGTGAGAAAATGTCAAATTTATCAATTCTTGATATACTTAGATATTATTTTCCTGAATTTAATTATTTATTATCTCCAGCAGTGATTACAGTTCTGATTTTATTAATTCTATTTTTTCGATCTCTTCTGCTGAATAATTAAAATAGACTCAGTTATACAATTCCATTTTCCGTTTTACAACCGGATTGTATTTTACTCGATTTTTCTTTCATTCTCTTGAAGTAAAATTATTTTCGATTTCCTCCTTCCAATTTTTTAATAAATAAACTTAGATGTAATGTGACACCACTGAACAGCAAAGTAAATTTCATTGGCAAACAGCTAGCTACCTTGAAAAAATTATTTTTAATAAAAAAAATAATTATTTTGTTTCAATTTTGCTTTTCTTCTTGCCAGTCGTTCCCCCTTTTTTTAACTAAAAAATAATACGATTATCGACTCTTCTTCCAAAATTGATAGCGGGGAATGTTGATGTTTGTAACAATGCTTTAATAAAAAAGAAAAGAGAATTTCCGGTTATTTTTGGAAAAAAAAAGAGGAGGAGGAAATTGAGCTGGTCCCTAAACCTCTTCCTCCCTTCTATTTTAATTCATTTTTTTCATTCAATTTTTTATCTTTACAAAAAATTTTTTTTAATTGTGACCAATTGTCACCAACTAAAATTTAATTTTTGTTAAAGACCCTAACTTTTATTAAAATAAGATGATCTTAAAAATAGAGTGCTGTTGAACTTTTAGGGAGAGGTCGTATTATAAATTAGATAAATATCTCCAGAGATCTCCAGTCAAGACTTGGACATGGACGAGTCTTATTCAGGAATCAAGATTCAATCTTGAATCTCAATCGACCTTGAATAGGTCTCCAATAAATATTTTATTAGAAGTCTTCTCTAGAAATTTTTGAAGATTCAACTCTGGGGATGACATTCATTTTGAAAACCTATTCGAAGTCAATTGAGATTCGAGATTGATATCCCGATTTTTGAATGAAACTCTTATAGGTCGAAGTCTCGATTGGAAATCTTTAGAGATATTTATCTAACTTCTGATACGACATCCGTAGCAGGGGTGGGCTTAGTCTCGTATCTCTTGGCTCGTATTTTGTGGGACTCGGCCCATCCATGCTTTCTAGTCTTGTTCTTAGTCTCTCAAAGCTTCAAAGAAAGCTTAAAACTAGTTCGTCAATTTAAATTACTATCTAATTAAGAACTAAATTGTTTCCAATTTTCTATTTTATTATTCTTCCTCCTTCCGCTTGACCGATAATAAATTTTATTTTTCTCTAAATTTGAAAACAAAAAAGAAAGCTTAAATGACTCAAGTTTAACTAGGCTTTAATGTTTCTGATGATTATTTTCATTGAGAGAGAGAGAGACAGGCGCTTCCTGGCAAATGAGTTTCTTTTTGAGTTCCCTAGGGTACTCAACCCCTTGTGTTATTCTAGCTTATCTAAACTATAAATTGCTTGACTATTTTCATGTCATTTTTCATTTTATTTTTTTTTATTATCAACTTCCTTTTTGGCTTTAATTTTGGTTTGAAATAGGGAAATAATTACTCAAATAATTGGACACAAATAACGACCTAAATGCAAAAAATACCCCTTAAAATTAAACTATAAAATTTAGAATGGGTAAAAATATCATAGGACCAATGGGTTGGAAGAGATCAAGTTTCTGGACTTAAAAATGGACTTGGACATTACAAGATGGTTCTATTCCATATCCCTTTCAAAGAATAATAATCTAGTCTAGACCTCGTTCTTGAGGTACGAATACAAGAAAAAAGGGCAAGAATGGGGTTGATAGTACGAATACGAGTAGAGTTGTTGGGGATTGGGAAGATCTTCGGATATCCGGGACCTAATCAAGAAAAAATTGGTTCTTCGGATCGTTCCGACTGGCACACTAATTACAAGCAAAATCGGAACTTCCCAAACGCATTTTCAAGGAAGGGTTCTAAACCAACGCCTAGTTACATGCATTATCGCAATTTTCAAGCACATTTTCAAGATCAACTACCAAAATCTTTGGCTAATTTTTGGGATGATTTCTTCAGCCTATACCTTGATAATTTTTTTTATTATTATGTAAATGCACTTTTCTTATTTTTCTTTTTTTCATTAATTTAATTAATCTCGCCTAAAAATTCAAACAAAAAAAGGAAAATTTACAGCGTTTCTAAATAACATTTCACTCAAAACGCTTCCATTTCTCTCCCTTTACCTCCCTTTCTCTCCCTTAACAAAGTTAATTTTACAATTTTTTCGCCTCGGTTGTCAACAAAATTGAATTATAAACGAAGAAAAGCTTCAATTTCCTTAAAAAGTACATAATCTCCCTTTACAAAAAAATTTTTTTGGCAAGAAAAACGTCAATAATACCTATCCTTTTTTTTATTTTTTTTTCGAATTTTATTTTTATATTTTCACAGCTGTTCGCGGCACAAACAAAAAAATTTTTAGAGAGGGGAGTGAGTCTATGGGTGGTAATTGTGGCTTTTATTAAAGGTATAGAGAGGAGGGGAGAAAGAATAATAATAATCTCGGTCGTCATGTCAACAAGATTTTTTTTTATTTTTTTTTTATTTTCTAACTATCATTCACGGTTATTCAATTGTTGGGGGGCTGCCTTGTTTATTTTTTAGAAAGTGAATTTTTTATTAAAATCAAATCCATGATAAATGGACTGATTAAACCACACTTGACTGTGAAGGTCGATTTAACCATGAATTAATTATCAGATTTCCGATTCCAATTTCCGAGTTCCAACTTTTGAGCAGTTCCGATTTCCGGCTCTTCCGATTTCTGATACCTCTAACTGTTCCGACCCACCTCTGATCATTATACACTAGAGATCTACCGCTCCCGCCTTCCATTGTCCACAGAATTCTAGCTTTTTTGCCCCATCCGTTCCGGGTTCTTTTGCCTCTTTTTAAAATGCGGCAGGGCCTATTTCTGATACCTACCAACCTGTCATTCCACATGACTCTTGACTTTGAACATCAAGAATTTACTATATGTTTTTCTCCATATTAATCATTTTTTGACTCATCTCACTGAAGAAATGTCTATTATATATTACAGAAAATTTTAATTAAGATGATACCCTTTAGCTCTGATAAAATTCTGATTTATTCCTCAGTATCCTCCCCTCAGAATTTAATTACTAAACTTAAAGCCTCTTAATAATTTTAATTTATTTAATCCTCTTAATTCATAATCCTCTTAATATTCAAAAATTATTTGTTTTTAACTAATGTTTAATTTTCAAGACTGATAACTAATTAAAACATAAAAACATCCCCTTAGCGACTGGTGCAACCTTCCACTACCATTTAAATTGTTAAATCATTCCTTTTGCCTCTCCCCAATTATTTAATGCCTATGGCGGGAATCAATCGAGAGTTGTTGTCGCGCACGTCTAATTTTTCTTTCACAATTTTCTCTGTTTTAAAGGGGGAGAAAAATTTTTTATTTTATTTATTAGTTTACGGCAGGTGGTATAAAAATATTTGGAGTTGTAAACATCCAAAAATGCGGTGGGTAAAGTGTTGCGGCCGTTCTACGACGGGTGGTGGTTGCGGGTGACAGACACACTGACTAGTAGAAAATGAATGAAAATAAGAGTTTATCCTTTTTAACAATCAGAAACTTTAATTTACAAATTGTAAATTTTAATTTCACAAATTTATACAACTTTTTACAAATACAATTAATATTACAAATTGTAATCAAGTTTGAATTGAATTTCCAACCTTTTTTACAAACCGGAAAAGGTTCGGATTGTAATTATAATACAATATTCCTTTTATTTATTCCAACCTTTTTTACAATTGTAAACAAGTTTGAATTGTAATTTGGATCTTTCAGCCTGTTTTTACAATTTAGAAAAGGTTGGAATTCAAAATATAATTGGAAATTACAAATTGTAATTTTTAATTCTCAACTTTTTTACAATTCAGAAAAAGTTGGAATTGCAATTTACAATTTGTAATTTCAGCCTTTTTTACAATTCAAAAAAAAGTTCGAAATTACAAATTGTAAATTGTAATTTCAACCTTTTTTAATTGTAAAAATGGTTGGAGACTTCAAATTACAATTGTAAATTTTATTTTCACCCTTTTTTACAATTCAAAAAAGGTTGGAATTTTTACAATCCTCTATTCATTCCAACCTTTCCCCCTTCCCTATTCGATACCCATCACAACCTATTTAAATAATACCCCTCCCCCCTTGTTAATTCACGCAATTTTCTCTCCCTCCCAGCTTCCGCCACACATTATTATATTTTTATTTATTTGACAGCTCCGTCATTTGTTGTTATTTTCCTTTTTTCATTTTCTAAACTTTCCTCTCTCCTATTGAAAAAAAAATTTCAGGGGCGAACAAAATAATTTAATTTGCGTCTTCAAGTATTTTAGAAAGAGTAGAACCAACACCAAAAATATTTTTATACAATTTTCTTTCTATTTTTCTTCATTCTTTTTTACAATTATTTATTTTTAACGTAAAAAAATGTAAAAATAATTTTAAAAAATTTTTAAATTTTATTTTTATTTAATATTAAATTTTTTATTTTTAATAAAAATTTTTTTAATTAAATTTTTAATTGAAATATTTTTTAATTTTAAATCATTTTTAATTTATTTTAAACTTTGTTGAAGTATGTATTCGCTTTCTCTCTCTCTTCTCTGTCTTTGAAGTCCTCCTCGGAGTCTCTCTTTCCCTTAGAGCTCTTAGTAAATTAGAGCTTGATCCAAGACGATATCTTGTTCAGGTATCCATCTCCAATATCCTAGGTATCCATCTCCAATTTTAAGAGATTGATAGCTCTCTCTCGAACTTTGTACGGTACCAAATACAATGCTTATTTTATCTTAGTCTACCTATTCAACTTAAAACAACCACTAACTACTCTTTGTTTAATTAAGGCTAAAAATCTTTAATCATTCTAATATGAAAATAAAAATATTTTTGGTTATACGCAAACCTTTCCGCATTTTTTTTTTCTATTTTTTTGTTAAATCAACTAGAAACCGCCTCATTAAAGCAACATATAAATATTTACCACAAAATAGGAAACCTGTTTTTTTAACAAAAATAAATTTTGTGTCTCCATATTTGTGTCTCCATGGATTTATTGTTATCATCACACTCCACCCATTTATACCGTCTTTAACATTGTCGGTCTTTCTAGTTTAATTTTAGTAAATTACCTATGTAATCCTTGGACATTAATTTGGTTTGTTAGCCCTATTGGATAGTTCGAGCGAGGTTGCAAAATTCAGTTTGAACCCCCAAAAGGCTGTCTGTTTTAATTTATTAATTCTTTTTTTAATTGATTTTAAAATTATTAATTTCTAGCTTATGTAAACTAAATTTATTGACAACCGCCCCTCGCTTCCCTCTCTCAACAAACTTGAGTTTAAACCAAAAAATAAAATTTCCATTCATTCCAACTCCTAAAAACTTTTATAAAACTAATCCAAAATACAATAGAAAATAAAAAAATTTTTTCTTCCCTTTTTTCTTCCCTTTTTTCTCTTCACTCTTCAACCAGATAAGTGCCCTCATCAACATTTTTATTGTTATAGTATTGTCACAAACGCCTCCATATTCTCCCCCCACCCCCCATATTTTCCCTCAATTTTAAACAAAATTGTAAAACAATTTTTGGTTGTTTTTTCTTTTTTTAGTCAAAAAAGACGCAAAAAACTTTCAAAATTCTTTATAAATTTAATTTTCTTTTCAATTTTTTCTGTAAAAGTTGAATGAAAATTGAATGAAATGACATTGGTGTAGCAAGAAAAAAAATTTTTTTTTAAATTTAATTTAACTTTTATTTTTTTCTTTATTTTATTTTTTGTTTGTGAAGACAGTTCTCTTTCACTTTTCTCCAAAATTTTCAAAAAAAAAAGTCATTTATTGTGCCTAAAACCAGTCTAAATTGAATCCCTTCCTTAATAATCTAATTAGACCTCATCTTGTTCCAGCCACCGTAACTCTATGTTAAGTAAACCTTTTCTTAAGTTCTAAGTATCATTGGATAGAAGAGAAAATTCTCTACAAGATTTCGCTAAAATTTCAATTTTAGCTTCGGAAACAATAAAGTTATGAATGAAAACCCTCAAAAAATTAGTCAATTCCATGGTTTTTTGACCATAACTTTTGTTCCTTTGAACTTAGAATATTGCTTTTCATATCATTTTATAGCAAATTTTTCCCTTTATCGAATGATCCAAAAATCTTTTTAAAAAGTTTATCCGTTCATAAGTTATAGAATTTTAACTGTAGTGATGTAAGCATTTACTCTCGATTAATTTAAGGGTACGGTATTTTCTGGTGTAGTTGGAAAATTTTAATTCTAGTAAGGGCAATGGAGCAAAGTTCGAATCCCCTCGAAGGAAACTATTTTTATTTTGCCATAAAATTAATTTTTAATCAAAAACTGACTTGGAATTGATAATCTGGTCAGCTTATCTTTTTTTATTTTCAGCTTTTTTACTCTCTAATTTTAAAAAATTTTATTAATAAAAATGGTATCCTCCTTAGCAGCTTCCTCAACTTCAGCCTCTTCCACCTCCTCAACTTCAAGTAATGCCCAAGACCAACAATTGTACTATGCCCAATTATTAGCTGTACAACAGCAAAATGAAGGAAATGTTGAAAATAATTTAATTAAAAGTGTTGAGGAACAACAAGAATTAAATGATAGGAAAAAGGAAGAAACTGAACGGGAAAGGAAGGAAAGGGAATGGAGTGAAAGAAATACTAATTTAATTGTTAAGTTGTTAATATGTTTTTAAGACATACATTAACTCTCAGCTTAATCCCAATAGCCTATAAGCCTTATAACATTTAGCTAACCAATACCTTTTGGTTATTACCAAAAGGAGTTGCCCGCTTCCCGATCAGTTTTTTCCAGGTGTATCTCCAACCAGAACTTCGATCCAAAAAATAAAAACCCTCAAATTGAAGGCCTAGTATCTCCTTTTTGTTTCACGATCTCGTAGTTCTCATTAAAGCCTTAGTTCCTTTTCCTAAACCACCTTCCCCACCCCCACCGGTCCTTCTCGCAACCTTTACTACAAAAAAGGCTCTGGTCTAGTAAAGGTTCACTGGATTGATAAACTAAACTAGAACCAAAAAAGATGAGATCCTTCCTCTTTGTTTTTTATTTTAAATTTAAAGGTTAATTATGTTCCCCAAAATATGAGCCAAGAAGAAGTACGTGCCCTATTTGGATCTATCGGAGAAGTTGAAGCCTGTAAACTCATTAAAGACAAAAATACAGGTCATTTATACTTTAAAATATTTTTAATTTTTAAATTAACCTAAAAGCTTTTTTTCTATCTTTGCCTTTCTAACCTTTCAAAAACTGATTTTTTGCGTTTTTGAAAAAATTTTTCAGGAGTTTTTCATTTTTAATTTTGAGCCTTATTCTTTAGGGGACAATTTAGACACCAACCACTAGTCATGTCCAAACTCGTAAGGCAAGAAGGGAGATCCAGAGCTCGCCAGCTTAACTTTCACTAACATCAGACCTCATTTTATGTACACTCTTAGGGCTTGAAAAACCATATTTTAAGATTTGTACACAAAATTTAAGGATGTATGGCCCTCTCTTCCTCCACAATTACTTTTGGTATAAGAACCGTGGCTACTTGGCATAACCAAATATTTCAAATAATATAGAGGGGTTCTATTAATATAGGCAAATATTAAAATTTACCCCCCCCCCCCCAAATTTAAATTTAAAAAATAATTTTCTCTCTCTCTCACTGTCAGTCTCTGCAATGGTTTTATTTATTTAATTTTTCATTTATTTTTTAGTTAATTATTTTTATTATTATTAAATTTATTTTTGTTTTCAAAAAAAGTTTTTTCCTCATTTTTTCTTGATTGGTTTAGGCCAATCGCTTGGCTATGCTTTTGTAAATTATGAAAGGCCTGAAGATGCTCGCAAGGCCCTTATTTCGATGAATGGGCTACGTATCCAGAATAAAACGTTAAAGGTGTGTGTAGATAACGTAAATGCTTTTAATAGAATGGAAGGCTGTTTGAAGGCTTTTTTCTATTTTTCAAATAAGGAAGGTAATAGGAAGCCCGTTATAAAGCATCAAACTTAGTAAGAAGGCAGCATCTCTCTGATATTCCAACCTTCTTGTGGACGATTTCTCTTCTATATTAAGGCACTCATATGCTTAATGTGAGTTTTTAATGGAAGGCATTCTCCAATAGCATTTTTAATGGAACCTAAAGTAAGGCGGCCGAACTCATCCAGAAAATAGCAAAAGTTGGATAGGACTTGATCCCGATAACTTTCCGGCAAAGCTTTTGAACGCTCAATCATCACCCCCACCGACTGATCGTTTCATTGTTGCTTTATCCACTAGGAAACCTTCTTGGGGTTCATCAGACCCCTTAGGAAGGCGCATTTACTGTTCTTCATATAGAAACCCTCTCTCTTATTCAAATCTGGCAGATTTTCTAAGAAACATTTTTAATTGATAAATATTAGATAATTAACAAAAACAAAGCCCATTCCATTCTATTAAAGCATCTACGTTAATAAAGCTATAAATAATATTTAATTCTCGTTTGTTTATTTTGTTTTTTAAATGGTTTTAGTTTTAAATTTATTCTCTCAACTTTTATATTTTTAATTTTAATATCCTTTTTTGATTTTTTTGGTTTTTAAAAAATTTTTATTTAAATTTTAAAATTAAGTTTTTTGCCTTTTCTGTGCTAATTTTATCGGAAAATTAAGAAAAAAAAATTTCAGGTGTACATAGTTATATTAAAAAGAAGTTTAAGCTTAAATAAAACTTGAGTTTAGGTAGAAGAGTTAAAAAAAGTTTTAGCTCAAACTTAAGTTTTTAAGTTTAAGTATATGTTAAGTTCTAGCTTAGAATTCAAGTTTGCGACTTAAGTTATAAGAGTTAAAACTTGTTTTAATTCAAGTTTTAAAGAGAACTTTAGAAACTTAAGTTTACAACTTGTTTAAATTAAATGTTTAAGTATAAACTTAAATCTAAGTTTTAATAAAACTTGGATTGTTTTAATTCAAGTTTTAAGGAGAACTTAAGTTTATAACTTGTTTCACCTTAAAGTTCAAGTTTAAACTTAAAGTTTAAGTTTAATCTTAAAGCTAAATTTTAATAAAACTTGAAAACAAGTTTTAATAAAAACAAGTTTTATAAGAGTTAAACTTGTTTTAATTCAAGTTTTAATGAGAACACAACTTGTTTAAACTAAAAGTTTAAGTTCAAACTTAAAGTTTGAGTTTAAACTTAAAGCTAAATTTTAATATTTAAATCTTGGAAACTTAAGTTTTAGTAAAAACAAGTTTTATAAATTTTGTTAAGCCCATAAATAATACATACATCTTCCCACCCTTATAATTAAGTAATTTCCAATTTTATACTTAAACTTGAATTATTTTAAGGTTTCATTAGCCCGCCCTTCAAAAGATGACATTAAAGGTGCTAATGTTTATGTTAGTGGACTTCCAAAATCTTTGACTCAGCCAGAGCTTGAGGCTGTATTTAGACCCTTCGGGGCTATCATTACTTCAAGAATTCTTTATGATAATGTTACTGGTAGGGATTTAAGCTAAATTTAAATTGACATCCTCTCTAGGCCTCTCCAAAGGTGTTGGATTTGTCCGTTTTGACCGAAAATCTGAAGCTGAGGATGCCATTGAAAAAATGACTGGTACATCTCCTTGGGGTGGAGACGAGACAATTTCTGTTAAATTTGCAAACAGCCCTACTTCTAATAATGCTAAAACTTCACCTAATGCTTCTGTTCAAGTAAATAGGGAGATTTTAGACTCTATTTGAAAGTAAGAGTCCCTTTCCTTTTCTAACCAACAAACAAAGGAAGGGACGCTTCCTTTCAAGTAGATCCTTTTTCTAATAATCTCTCTCATTTAGTCTCTTCTTCCTCTTCTCCAACAAAATACTCTTCCTTCCATTCCCCTAACTGGAATTCAAGCAGCTCAGTTAAACCTAACACCTTCATTGTTCTCAAACGCAACGGCTGCAACTTCTTCAGCTGGAGGAGGTCCAATTCCTGGGCATGTTCCTCAACATCGCTTTCGATTCTCTCCTTTAGCTGGTGCTCCTTTGATTAGGTAGGGATAGAGATGTTAGAGTCTCAAATCTTAAAACTACCGTTTGAGTCTTGAGAAATAGCCACTAGAGTCTGGGATACGGTAGCTAAACGATCAGACTCTTGTATCACTTTTAAGGACACTGGAGTCTCACATAGATTTTAATTGGGCCCACTAGTTCCATCGGTCCAGTAGAGTCCCATGAGTCCATTAGAGTCTCAATAAATTTTAAAATCTCATTCCTTCTTCAGTGCTTCTGCCCCCGCGATTCCTCCAGGCAACACTTCTGCAAACATTTCCGCTCCTCTCTCATCTCTCCCTTTATTATCCAATCCAGCAGCTGCACTATTACAAGGTGCTAATACTCAAGATTATTTAAATATTTTACAACAACAATTGCTTCAACAACAATTGGCAGCTTATGCTGCAAACATTGCAGCTGCTACAGGACAACAACATCCTCTAGCAGCTCAAAATTTTAATGCTGCGTCACTTGCTGCTGCGGCACAGCAGCAGGTATTTGAATATTAGAGTAGACTATTAAAGTAGCACCCCGTCCCCCGAAACCCATACCCCGAACCCCGACCCAAAAGTCAACCTCGACACCGAACCCTGACATGCCCACCCAATCAAACCCCGATCTCCGACACACCCGACCCCAAAGGCTCGGTATTAAAGTCTCTATCCTTTCCTCTCTCCATTAGAGTCTCAAAAGTTTTTCTTCAACGATTAGAGTCTCGCATTTTCCTCATTTTCAGTACAACATGTATGCCGCCCTAGGCGCCCTTCCAACATCAAACGGAATAAATATCAACACCTCCACAGGAACTTCAACATCTCTATCTTCAAATTTATCAAAAAATCCTTCCCTTCCAGAAAATACCAACCCTACTTCATGGACTATAAACATTAGCAATTTATCCCCCGAAGCAGAAGAATCGGTCTTATGGAAATTATTAGGCCCTTTTGGAGCTGTACTTTCTGCTCAAATGAAAGGAAAGGGTGTTGGTAGTGTTTTGATGGCAAATTATGAAGAGGCTATGGCCGCTATTAATAGTTTAAATGGGCTTATGTTGAATGGGAGACAATTGAAGGTACTTTAGTTCAGCCATTATAAGACTTATTGAAGTATCGGCTATAGTGAAACATAACCCCTCTATTTGGTAAACACAACCATTATAAGACTTATTGGAGTACCAGCTATAATGAGCTATAACCCCTCTATTTAGTAGACACCTATTATAAGGCTTGAGTAGGTGTCGACAGTTGTGTGTCACAGTGCCGAGATTCATTGTCTTAAGACTTTTCTTGGGTTTTTTCGGTCTTGTTTGGTGTAGAATCTTTGCCGTGAGTCTTGAAAAATTTTCGCTCTCATACAGCTCTAGGATATAACCCCTCTATTTAGTAGACATAACCACTATAACCCATGACCTATAGCGTATTTTCTTCTTTATCGGAATCGCTAATAATGAGAGTTTTATTATGGGCTTTTGAATTTTTAAAAATTCCTTTACTTTTCAGGTATCACTAAACAAATCATCATCTGGAAATCTTTATTAATACACAAATGAACAAAGAGGGACGCATAATAAAAAATAATTTGTTAGAAATTACAAAAAAATTTACGATTCGAAATAAATTTACTAATTCTTTTTTAGCCTGATTTTATTAAATTTTTTGTTTACTCGTCGCTAAATTTATTTTTTTAGAAAGTTTATAAATTTAAAACAATGACCGTGTATTAGACAATTATTTAATGCTTCCTAGAATTCGTATTACTCGAGAACAGACATGACTTTGATCCTCCCATAAGTTAGGAATAGTCGTTTTCAACAAGTGACTTTTCGCGACATGGATGGATAAATTTGAATTTTAAAAAGCGGAAGCTGAAGAAGGCAGAATAAAATTAAAAAAAGGAGGAAATCAGGAGAGCCAAAAGTGCGGAATTTTGTGGATGAAAAGAGTGAATTATACTAAACGAGATTTTGATCCCCCCGAAGAATGCTCAGTTTCCGGAGGTATGTGCCAGCAGATAAGTCACCTCTGTTAAAAGAGTGACAGTGATGTGCTCTTTATTGTATAAAGGAAGATTTTGATCCTCCTTGGAAAGGGAGGAATGCGCCGTTCCCGGAAATAAGTGCAAGACCGGGCCGACGCGCGGCAGAGAGGAAGCAAGCTTCCAACTCTTACCCTTTTCCAAAAATTGGTTAATCTCTTTGATCCCGATAGGGATCGTTACGGAGATTAAGCCGTAAAGAACAGATACTACACTTTGATCTTAGCCAAAAGGCCGAGAAGCGATAACGGAAGGTAGAAAAGTCAACTACAAATGGAATTTACTTTAAAAAATATTTAATAGGATGGAGAGGAGTATGGGGGTATTTAAATAAGATAGTTCTGTTTTGTGTAGGAAAAGAAGACTGAGAAAAATGAGAGATTGAAGTAAGGAGGAAGAGAAGGTTTGTAAAAGGCTGAAGAGAGGTATGAGGAGAACGAAGAAGCAAGGATGAAGAAAGAAAGGAAGGAGGAAAGACAGGAGGAAGAAGATGTTTTTGAGAGTGTGAAAGGAAGGTGAAGGAAGGTTTGTAAACTTGGAAAAAAATAAAAATAAAAAATTTACAATTTGTAAAGTTGTAAAATCGGAATAAAGTGGAAATACAAGGGAAGAATTTTCTGATTTTTGTTTGCAATTGTTTATTTTATGAACAAAAATTGGTCATTTGTCAATATTTTCGAAAAAAAAATTAATTAAAAATAAACTAGAACCTTAAATTATTTTTTGGGCGTAACTCTTAATTTTGGGTTGTTTTTTGATTAATTTAGAGTAGTAAATATTTATTTTTATTATTTTTGAACGTTCAATTAATAATTATGTACTATTTTTATTTTTCAATTTTTAATATTTTTATTTTGGTTTTTATTAAAAGATATGATGCACAATTGTATGTTTTTATCTAAATTTTATTGAAATTAAAAAAATTTTGTGTTATTAATATTTTATATTAAAATTCTGAGCCGTAATCCAAAAGTCTCACAATTATTGCCACCCCTAGATAGCAGGGGTGTGCCGAAACGGATTTTAAAAAGCGAAACGCAAAACGCGAAATGCGAAAGTAAATTTAAAAAAGCGACACGCGAAACGCGAAAGTCCAAAAAACGCGAAAATCCGCGAAACGCAAAACGCGAAACTCGCACACCCCTGCTAGATAGGTCTCTCCTCGGTCCCATTAGAGATAGGACTGAGACAAATCTAGCCTATCTAGACCGTAAATTTTCTTAATCATATTAAATTTTTATGAAAGTCTTTAGACTTTTATAAAAATTTATTCCAGATCTCGAAAGTCTACCCGTGATTAAATCTATAATCTCGAGCCTTAGGGGCATTTTTAATTTAATCAGTCTTTGACACTTTTTAGTACAATATCACGAACTCCAGGCTCCAAACCTTTACATTTACGTATTCAACTACCTCCTACCTCTTCAGACAGTATATCATTTATTGCACCTTTTCCCAATGAAAATTGCTTAACTAACAACCTAATTGATAATCGGTATGGGGATCTTTCAGATAAATTTTTTCTAAATTCCTTTAAAGAATTTTTCTCGATTTTCATGGATGTCGTGTAAGTCTGGATTGGTCTGAAACTCTGTTTGGAACCACCAATTATTTTAAAAGTTTGAGACGACAAAAAAGGAGATGGCGTGTTGGACCTGTTCAAAAATGTGAATGTTTTTGTATTTAACTCGAGCTTTTAAATTTTATCTTTTAATCACTAAGGCCTCTTTAGGTTAAGTATTGTAAGGCTGACTATGTTGATAAAGCTAAAATAAAAAATACCAGTCGGTTGAGGGATGATTGAATGGATTTTTTGGACCCGACAGGTCTAAAAAACTATGGTTGATAGCTCAAACCCTATCTAGAGATCGGGCCAGAGCTTCAAAGGTCGGAGATCGGAATTATAAAACAGCTCTGGATCTGACTGAGCGAACAAACTCGTACAACCTTCCCAGTTCAGTACAACCCTACCAGTCCGGGAACAAAAATTTAGGTTCTCAAGAAATCGAGATTTTTTGAGATATCTATCTTGAAACTCGTACGTCCTTCACATTCCAGTACAATCCTTTTAGTCCGGCCTCTAATCCTTGCTTATATTTTGATATTCTCTGACATTTGGTTTTAGCCTACCAAGCCAAGGTTTTACTTGATTATCTCATCAACCTATTTGGTTTAAGTAATTTCCAATCAAATTACTCATAAAATAGTTCAAATTATTTCGCTAATTTCCAGTAAAAATGGGCTCAGCTATTGCCCATTACGGTAATGATATGCACATTGATATGGATTCGACAGGTCTAACAGCCTCTTCAATCGCTCCAAATGGCATTCAAGTTGGTCCTCGACAGCACAAAAAATTTAAATGTTTGTTGGGTATTTCGGCAACTAGAATATTAGAGTTTGACTTATTCATCCCACAAGGAACTGCAAAATGTAGCAGTTTGTCTATTCAATTTGTAAGGGGTTTTAAATAATTTTTATTTCTATCGGGTCCTGGCAGGGATATCCGAGTAACTAATCACCTTATAAGTCGAGGTTGAAACGATAATTACCCAGATAATATACTCAGAATTTAAAGTAGGGTAGCTCCCAAAGTCTTCGGGGTCGGATGTTCCCTTGGAGGGGAGTTTCCCTGAGAGTGGTTCTGGGTCGGGGTTGACTTTTGGGTCGGGGTTGGGGTACGGGGAGCTACACTAATTTAAAGTACACCTCATAGTTAGATACAATTTAAACCCCAAGGTTTTATCTTAAAATGAGCTTCAAAAATCCTGGAATGAACGTAATAATTGTTTTGGAAGCTTGAGATTTCTTCTAATAAAATAATGAAAGCTAAATTTTAGGGTCCTGATTATAAACTTTTGGGTACTGAAGAAAGAGGAGAGAAGAAAATCAACGAATTGGATGAAACAGCGATTGCTGATTGAGTTTCTGAATAATTAAAAATTAAGAAGATATTGCCTAAATTTGCGTTATTTGATAAAATTATGTATACAAAATTTTACCATTATGACCCCAAAAAATAAAAATTATTTTATTTGATAAAAAATTAAATATTGCCATGTTTAATTGATTAAAGCATCAAAAAATGCCGCTTTTTTAAAATTTTCTTTAAATTTAAGGAAACATCCTTTCCAAGCCTTTAAGCCTTTCCCAGTTTATTCTTCCGGCTTCTTCTCTTTACAGACACTGTTCTGTCCACAGTAAGTCGAATTATTGCCTGGTGAAGGGTAACAAGCCCCACTTTTCCCATGGTAGTATTGCATGTGGCTATCACAGTCCGTAACTTTGCCGCGTGAACCAACATAACGCCCAGCTTTCACAATACCACGTTCTACAGGTCCGTCAAAATTATAGCCCGCAAGACACGATTTTCCGGCAAACCCTTTGTTAACATCATATTCGTAGAATTCTCCATTTGAGCATTTAAAACGCGTCTGAATAAATAATAAATTTAAAAAAAAATACATATGTATATTTCCTCATTTTTAAATCGGTTGGGCCCCTTATTTAAAATAAATTATGGATTTAAAAGAAAGAGATATGGTATCCTAAATTGGAGGGGATTTACAAGGGTTCCGAAAGTGAAATTTAATTTTTATGTCGACAGGATCCTGGTGTGTATCTACATATTGGCATGCTTGAATTAGGGTTCGATATTACTAGACGGGGCTGGGCTTACGGGGAACGGAAGTTGCGGGGAATTCGAGTTAAGAGAACGGGGAATTCGAACCGCGCGGATGTGGAACTGGGGTTCTGGGGGAGGACCTCTTCCGTCCCTAGGGAATTCCCTTCCCCGGGGACGGGGATGAGCCCTAGTTTGAATGTCTTACATTTTTGTCATGATTCTCCGTTGCTTTATAGTCCGCTGCTTTATTCTCAAATGAGTGTTTATCATCCGATGCTTTATTCTCGAATGCTTTGTTGTCCATATGTTTGTTCTCCATTTCTTTATACATAGTTCATTGTTTTATTGTCCTGTTTATCCGAATCTTTCATTATTAACTTGTTGGGATTTTAATTTAAAAAATTTAATCTAAAAAATATTTTTGTTAAAAAAATTGTCCTTTTAAAAAGCTGTTTAAAAGGGTTTCCAATTCACAATGCTTCAAATTTATAAACAAAAGAATATGCCCAATTTTTAATGATATATGGGCAAGCCGATGATTTAACAATGTATAAACAATAAAAATTATAAACAAAAAGTGTAATTGGATGAATAATGTTTATTTAAAATATAGAGATTAATGCCTAGGATAAAATATTAAATTTCAAATATAAATAAGTTTGGAATGCCGAAGGAAAAAATGTTGGAATAAGACTATTAGGGGATTTAATTAAATTTTCTTCAAAAAACGCCACCCTTATCCTCCTACTTTCCATCTAAAGAGGGTCATATATTTATGCGGACCAGACGTGGGCGAAACGTTTCGTTTCGTTTCGTTGTTTCGTATGTTTCGTATGATTTTTACTGTTTCGTCTCGTTTCGTTACGAAACACTTTTAAATTTGTTTCGTGATTTTTCAACGAAACGAAACAATTTTTTAAGCCTAAACTAAGGCCAAAATCTATAAAATTAACCATCTTTTATTGAAAATTAAAAAAATTTTCGCCTGCGGCGCTGAAAAAGAAGAATTTCGGCTTCTTGGCCTTCCCAAATTGTCAAAATTTTCGCCTGCGGCGCTGAAAAAGGAAGATATCAATTACTTATATACTACAAATCCGTTTATACTCCACTCCCTAATCCGCATATACATATTACTTAATCGACGACAAATTCTATTACCGGACTCGCATCATAATTTAAAAATTGCGGATTGCGAGTTGCGGAAATACTGGAACCGGAACTTCCGGCGAAGCATTAGCTTATATCGCTCTCCTCTCGAAATGGAGATATGGAGACAATTTGGGTAGGCAATGGAGCAAGATAGTGAATTTTTTGGCCTACGGCCTTTCAAAATTTTAAAATTTTTCGTCTGCGGCGCTTAAAATAAAATTTTACTTGAAAAATATTAAATTTTATTTGAAAAAAAGCGTCGCCAAAAATTCGGCTTCGAAAATGATTGACCCCCCCCCCCTTCCCCGAAAATTTTCCTTGCTACGGGCCTGGCTTATGGGACAAATTGTTGTAAATAAACCAAAAACTAAATCATTTATAAATCGTAGGCGACTAATAAAGTATTTGAGGTCGAATAATTGCGAAATAAATGAAGTTTTGAAAATTTTTTGAATATTAAAATGTTTCGTTTTGTTTCGTTTCGTTTCGTAAGATTTAGGTTGTTTCGTTTCGTTTCGTTAACGAAACGATTTTAAAAAAATTTTGTTTCGTTTCGTTTCGTCAGAAAAAAATTTTGAGTTTCGCCCAGGTCTGATGCGGACTGATGGGCGGATGGAAGCCTGATTTTTGTGTCATTATTATTCCTGGATTAAAATTAGGGTTGTACCCCGAACGCTCGGGGGCGGGTATGTCGGGGTACGGGGTTTTCCAATTGTTTCGGGGCGGGGTTCGGGTCGGGGGAGCAAAATATGGCCGGGGTTCGGGTCGGGGTACGGGGGTTTAGTGGAAAAATTTTTAGAGAAAAAAATGCTAAAAATAATTAGAAATCGATATATTTTCGTTGATTTATTCAAAAATTAAGTAGGATTTGAAGAAATTAGAGGGGATTTGAAGGGATTAAAGTGTATAACTTGGTATATAAGTGGATATGGAGGGATTAATTAGGATTTTTAGGGATTAAATGGTATATTTAGGGATACAAGGTGATCTGGAGTGATTTTTGTTTGTTCAAGGGATATAGTGATTTATAAGGATATTGATGTATTGCGGATAAGGGTATTTGGACGGATCTCAGGAGATATCTTCGATTAATCCTTAAATCTCCCACGAAATCCTTGTTAATTCCATTAAATTCACGTAATCCTTTCAAATCCATTTTAATCTAAACCTTATATCTCCTTCATAACTCCTTAAATCCCTTTATAACTCCTTAAATCCCTTAATTCTTCGAATCCTACAAATCCCTTTATATCTCTGATTCCCGTTAACAGGACCTCGATAGTTTTCCAACTGTTATGGTTGAGAATTGGTGATACAGGGGGTTTGAAGGATTAAGGGTGGTTCAAGGGATTCAGTTAAAAATAAAATTAATATTTTCAAATTAAAATTTAACTCGTTAATAATTTGTTTTTGTAAAGAAATATAAAAAATCGAGTTCTCCTTATATGGATCCAGACCCGATCCTATATTAATGAAATATCGGCTAAAACCACGACTAAGCCACTCAACCACAAGTCTCTTACCAAAAAAGGAAAGAAAATTATGATATTTCATTCATTTTTCTTCAAAAATAATAAAAGAAAAGTAAAATGGGTGGAAATTTTTTGAATTTTCTTCATTAATTTCTCCAAAAAAGGACATTTTTTAGGGGTATAAAACCCCGATAACCCCGAAACTTTTTGGGCCGGGGAACGGGGTTTTCACTTTTTTTCGGGGCGGGGTTCGGGTCGGGGAGAATCGTGAAAAAATCGTTCGGGAACGGGGTCGGGGTTCGGGGTACGGGGTCGGGGTACAACTCTAATTAAAATGTATAGCTTGAGTCAAACTTGTTAAAAATCTTGTTAAGAATCTTGTTAAAGATCTCGAAGATTCAAATGATCAGAAGACGCTCCTTCCTCTCTATGTGGACATTATAATGCCTCCTATTATACACTAAAATAATGTGAAAAATATGAAAAAATAAATATAATTATTATTCATTTTTTAAAATTTTTTATCAAAAAAACTCATTATAATAATCATAAACCCGACAAAATATTTTTTAAAATATTATTTTGTTCAATTTAATCTTTTTAATATGTTTGTACTAGGGATTTGATTATTTTTTAGATTTATTTATTTTTTAAAAATTCGGAAAAAATTTTATTTTCCTATATCATCAATTTTTAACATATTTTTAATTTTATAAAATAAAATAAAAATTTATTTCTAATAATATTAAAAAAAATAAAAGTTTGTACTTATTGTAAAAATGAGGCTAATAATTAATTATATTCTGATTATTTTCTTGATTAAAACATCAAGTTTTACTGTTGCGTTAAAATGTTTTCAGGTAATAAATAATTACAAACTTAAGTTTGTAATTAAATCAGAATTATTATATTTAAAATCAGAATTATAAAAACACAATAAAATTAAAATCAGAATTAATGAAAACAAAATAAACTTGAAATCAGAATTGTAAAAATATGTGAGATTATCAGAATTATTAATAGTAAAATAAAATCAGAATTGGGAATTAAACTTAAATAAAGATCAGAATTAACACTTTTTTAATTAAATTAGAATTACAATTTGTAATTAATAAAATCAAAATTATTAAAAACAGAAGAGAATTAAAATCAGAATTTTAAAAATATAAGAGATTGTGTATCAGAATTATTAATAATAAATTAAAATCAGAATTACAAACTTGAATTA